AGGAGGAGGACCCAGGAGGAGGACCCAGGAGGAGGAGGAGGAGGACTGAGGAGGATGACTGAGGAGGAGGAGGACTGAGGAGGAGGAGGAGGACTGAGAAGGAGGAGGACTGAGGAGGAGGAGGACTGAGGAGGAGGAGGAGGAGGAATGAATAGGAGGAGGAGGGGGACTGGGCAGGACTGAGGAGGAGGAGGACTGAGGAAAAGGATGAGGAGGAGGACTGAGAAGGAGGACTGAGCTGAGGAGGAGGAATGAGGACTGAGGAGGAAGAGGAGGAGGATGAAGAGGAGGTGGACCTAAGAGGAGGAGGTCCCAGGAGGAGGACCCAGGAGGAGGACTCAGGAGGAGGAGGAGGATGACTGAGGAGGAGGACTGAGGAGTACTGAGGAGGATCGCTGAGGAGGATGGCTGAGGAGGATGGCTGAGGAGGATGGCTGAGGAGGATGACTGAGGAGGATGACTGAGAGGGAGGAGGAGGAGGACTGAGGAGGAGGAGGAGAAAGAGGACCCAGGAGGAGGACTCAGGAGAAAGAGGAGGAGGAGGACTCAGAAGGAGGAATGAGGAGGACTCAGAAGGAGGAATGAGAAGGAGGAGAACTGTTAACGGGTGATACTCGTAAAATATCTGTCCAACTCGGCGCGCGTCCTGGTAGGTTGTAAACCTACAAGAGAACTGAGGAGGAGGAGGAGGAGGACTGAATAGGAGGAGGAGGGGGACTGGGGGAGGACTGAGGAGGAGGAGGACTGACGAGAAGGATGAGGAGGAGGACTGAGGACTGAGGAGGAAGAGGAGGAGGATGAAGAGGAGGAGGAGGACCCAGGAGGGGGAGGACTGAGGAGGATGATGAGGACTGCAGAGGAGGAGGACTGAGGAGGATGGCTGAGGAGGATGACTGAGAGGGAGGGGGAGGAGGAGGAGGAGGACTCAGGAGGAGGACTCAGGAGGACTGAGAAGGAGGAGGACTGAGGAGAACTGAGGAGGATGAGGAGGAGGACTGAATAGAAGGAGGAGGAGGGGGACTGGGGGGAGGACTGAGGAGGAGGACTGAAGAGGACTGAGGAGAAGGATGAGGAGGAGGACTGAGGAGAAGGACTGAGGACTGAGGAGGAAGAGGAGGAGGATGAAGAGGAGGAGGATGAAGAGGAGGAGGATGAAGAGGAGGAGGAGGAGGAGTCAGGAGGAGGACCCAGGAGGAGGACTCAGGAGGAGGATGACTGAGGAGGTGGAAGAGGAGGAGGAGGAGGAGGAGGAGGAGGAGGAGGAGGAGGAAGAGGAGGAAGCATCTAAATGTTATTTCAATTTTTGTTATTTTTTGTCCGTTTTTGTCCGTTTTTGTCCGCTTTATTTTTTGTCCGTTTTGAAAATATGGCTGCCAAACGGACAAAAACGGACAAAAAACATGATCCCCCCCCCCCCCCCCCCCCCCCCTTTAGAAGCAGAGTTATTTTCTCTGATAGATCCTGAATAGATTTAGTCTTAAAGTTAACACCTATATTTTCGTTCACACATTTGTTGATGTAACCTTCCAAGTCTACTAGTTCCTCGTCGTAAACTTCTTCCTCTATAATGAAACAACAAATAGCGGCGTCGATCAGAAAGTGGGCTCTCAACGCTTTATAGTAAGATCCTCCATCCGATATATGCGTGACGTCTCCAGGATACACGAGTTTGATGAGCTCCTCTAAACCAGAGTCTGCCATTATATAGCCTATGCAGCCAAGAAAACTCGTGAGAGTGTGGAAGCCCCCAACCCTGATCACAATAGGCATCCCAGTTTCCAGTACTATTCGGGTGGCCTTAATCCACAATGGCAAATCGAATGTGATTATCATCGGCTCACTGTAGGATAACTTAAGACATTCAACCAGAGTAGCATGTACCGTCGAATAGCTGTCTGGGGGTTGGTCAATAATCTGTTGTTTGTTAGTTAACCTTGATATTTGTTAATTGAAGTTATTTCCCGAGTAAGATTTGAAATAAGCGTTAAAAATAATTTGGTGTATTTTTTTCGAAATTTTAATAAAATTGAGAAAAATTTCGAAAAATTCCATTTATTTCGAAAAAATAAAGCCCCAATCGTTCTGAAACTATCATTCGCCTGCCATAATGTGGCCATTGCGGTCATTTTGCACCCCCTATGGAGATCTCAAGACCTTCGGGAGCCGAATAACCAATATTAGGGGTGGGGCGTATGGGTTCCTGGAGAAAAATGACTATAAAAATTTTTGCCCAAAAGTTTCAGCTGGACGGTTTTTTTTGGTGGTTCCTGGGACTATGGACAACACATTCCAGTAGACAAACCTTTGTTACGAATTTGTTCACAGAAAAATCAACTCTTGCCCTAATATAACACTAGCTGCAATACATCTCCGAGGGCAGATAGAACAGATAGAACAACCGTAACCTTAACGATGAAAGATAGGAAGGAAAGATTCGTATGTAAATTTTACGATAGAAACTTTTGGGAGGGTAAATTTATCTATCGAGAGGCAGAGGGTGAATGTGTCAATTTGTTCGAGGGAGATATTGATAACAACAGTAAGTTTCTAACCTTGCTTGAAGTAGAAAACTTGCTTGGGACAAGCAGCAGGATCATGAACATATTCCTCTGCGAAGTCAGCATAAGAAGTTTCTCTAATGGACGGATCACAGAGCAGTTCACGGCGTCCAGTCATCTCCTCATGCTTAAAATAAAGTCTAGCTCGGAAGAGTCTAACCAGGACGGGACTTTGTGGACTTTTTTCTTGAATGGTTATCAGGACACATCGCGGGGTGCAGTGGAGCATTTAGCTGGTACGTGCTACTTCACAAACATTATGAAGTCGACACCAGCACACTCAAAACGAAGAGCCAGCTCGTAAAGATTAAGGTGCTGAAAAGGGATGAAAGTTTGCAACGTGTGGGCCGATTGTGTACCTATTTGAAAGAGCAGTTCATACCAGTGTACCAGAGGAACCACATACCTGGTGACACTTTCTACTTCTCTCTGGAGATATTTAAGCGGTTATCAAAAAACATTTCACACTTGCCCCGGTTTCTCCGTCTCCCTGGTCCCCACTATAAATCTTCCTGGGAAGGTAAAATTGTGTTGCACGATTACGAAGATGGGAACAGACAGGAATACACAGTTGATAACATCTCACAACTCTGTCAGAATCTGGATCCGAACCATTTGCTCAGGGTAATAGCTGTTGAGATATACAAAAACCCGCTAGCAGGCTGGCTCGATATCCCCCATGTAGCGTTCCATCCCTACGTTTTGTTCCGCACATCTGACGGTCGGCACTGGTCGATAGATAAGTATCCTTGCGAGTTGATTCTACAGCGATCATTTGACGAGAATGAACTTAAAGAGAAGATCTTGGGGCAACAGAGATTCTGCAAAAGTAAATTCTGCAGAAGACAAGCTTCTAAATGTATCATCTCTGATGATAGCAATTGTCTCTTTTCGGGAGTACTTCGCTATCTTGAGACCAGTGGAGAATTGCAGGCACCCTATGTTCTGACTACGGACAATTGCATGCGATTTGCGGAGGTCATGTTTAATCAGATTGCTAGTAATAAGGAATGGAAGATGCCAGCCATCGCAGAGCTCGCCAATAAGGCTACTAACAAAATTCATGGATGCAGGAATTTTAGACAAAGAATGTTTACTAACTAGTCAGAAATGACCGAATGTAGCCACAAAGACAAACATTTGTTGTAATTAACTTCCCTAGTAGCATGTGCATTGTGCACGTCTTTACACACTTTTTATCTTTCATATGTTAAATTTACATGTTTTATAGCTTTATCAAAAGGGTTAGTACAGTTAGTATTTTAGTTAGTTGTGAATGTGCCATTTTGGGACCGTTTCAAGGTGAAATTTATTTTCCAGTTTTTGCTATGTAAAATGTAATCATCCATATTATAATTGTAATGTAAAATGTAATTGATTCGAATTTTTAACAGAATTGTAATAGTATAATGTTTGTAACATATTGAAGTTTTAATTCAGTATAATAGTATGGTTAAATTAAGGTGGAGATTATTGTAGTTGTTCTTTAATTAGTGTAGAATATTACGCTCCCAAATAAAACATTATATTCTTTCGAACAATTGAAACAAATGCAATCAAATTGGCGGGCATACGATCCGTTTCATGGTATAGTTATTATTATACGAAAAAACAATACCAATCCTCAGTTATATTATAATATTATATTGTTATGTATAATATATATTCAATGTTCAATAAAACAGCGAAAGTTCTGTTAACAAATAGCAATCATTGTTTCTAGACAGGTCCACCCCAATAAAAATACAAGTTCCTAGGGCCCTTCACTTTTACTCGTCATTAAAAGGCTCCAAACTTTACTAAAAATAAAAGTGCTGAACTTACAGAAAATCTTACAAAACTCTAAAATCTTGACCCAGATGTCAGATATCTGTAAGTTGAGGTTTCTGTGCATGATTACCTTAATCTAACATAATATAGTCAGTACGTTCTCCAATATTCCAGCTTCGAGGAGGTTAGAGCAGATTTCAGTTAGTTCCCGCTCAACTAGCGTTAACTAGCGTTAACTTAGGTAATGTCGTACAAGTTAAGATGTCTGATAATTGGGATCATTATGATAGGACTAATGCAGTAACACCCCAGTTCCATGGCCGGATATCATGCCAAATTATTAGACGGAGGTCCATTTCCCGTAGATCATCTCCGGAGATGATTCTCCGGCTCCGTCTACTGTATTAGACGGAGATGAAGCTCTCCAGGAATTTCTCGGAGATTAATTCATACAGAATCATACAGAATCAACAAAATTACCGTAGATGGTCTCCGGTCGTGGAACTGCAAACCGGAGAAATATCCGGAGAAATATCAGTAGACGATCTCCGTCTAATAATTTGGCATAATATCCGGCCATGGAACTGGGGTGTAATGCGTCTCCATCTGAGATGTCCATATTGTTTATGCGTGTTTTAAAATTAACAAGGCTGACTCAGCTTTTACTTTCAGGTTGTAGTTGACGATGCTAACAACTCGCTCTGGATAGGAACTACGAAAACATCTGTAAACAAATGGGAGCTGCCATCAGTCAAGTCTACTCATAGTATTAGTATATCGGAAAAACCTACCGTATCTACCCCTGCAGCTATTATAAAAGGTGGGTTCTCAGCGACGGAATGTGAAATTATATGTAGTTGTACCCTCATAAAAAACATTACTTTTAGTTCAGTTAATAGGTTACCAAAAGTCGCGTATTAACTCCACTAAGTGGTGTATTAAGAGCACTTGGTGCAGTTAATAAATTACTTTTTGAGCCGCGCGGAACATGTGCTCGCACATTGAGGATACAAATAAAAACGTATGCAGTTTTAAGTTTGACTTATATCTGATTGTTTCTCATTTATATAATTGTATAGCCGGGTAGTACTAGTAAGACAAAGAAAAACAATGTTACAATTTAATCGACGAGTATTTTTTTTCAATGTCAAGTCAGAGTGTATTGCACTCTTCTTTTCCGGACTGATGATCTGGAAGACTCACATTTGTTGTTAATGCTAGTCAATACTTCAATAGTCTCGCTGGTGTCATTTCTCTGGTCTGCTCTCTGTAGTTCGTTCAAATCGCTGATTATTCTAAGCTTAGTGCAACCAACAAGCCCTTTAATTCCGGTTAATCATCCTTTAAATTAAGACAAAAATAAAATGCGTGGGCGGCTCACGATCTGGCCGTTTACTGTTTGGTCGTATAAAAAAGGCTGATAAGATATAAATGAAAAGTAGCGTCCTCAAATGGAGACTTGAATGTAAAGTACAAAGAATAACAGCTTAACCCCAATCCAGGAGGTGACGGATTGAAAAGCGCGATAGTCCTGTCGGACAAGCAGCACGTTATTTGTACAGACAGTGCTGGTAACGGCTTCCTTTACAATGTTCTGGGGGCTAAACTTGTGAAGGAGCTGGGTAAGATTGATGTCAAGGAGGAGGTCAGGGCAAGGAACAAGCAGGAGTTTATACCAAACTGGTTCTCAGCTGATGTTAAAACTGGGGTGAGTTCATTGTAAACTGAAGTAAACCAGGTAAACTTGGGATCACTATTACTACTCTCAGTACTCAGCTATCTAGAATATAGGCTTTCTCTCGATTCATTCAAATGTTAAACCAATTTTTAAGGAGCTCTGAAAATATTTGAATAATTTAATCGCCGCAGATGCTGACAATATGTCTGGATGAGAGTGACTGCTACAGTGCATGGGTCTGTGTCAAGGATGATCTAGACGGGAACAACGACAACAAAATTAACTACGGAGGTCTGATAATCCAGGCGTTGCTCCAGAACTGGGTGTGCACGGGCGCGCCAAACGACCCGACGGAGCAGGAGTGCCGCGCGCTGTACAGCAAGCAATGCGCGTTACCCCCACACACGCCCTTTGCTCTGATAGAGGGCAGTGATGGGTGTGGTAGGACCTTGTTTAGAATCAGAGTGGACGAGACTGGGAACCCTAACGACAGTAGGATACTAGACGAGCTGATACCGGGCTGGGTTTACGATCTTAGGGTTAAAAACGAGATGCCCAAGTTCACCAAAATAGCCTTTTATATCGAGCCATACGCCGAGGATCCGCCACCAAAATCCAGAGAAGGGAGATTATCTGCAAACGATTTCCTGGCGATATCAAAAGTAATCGAGTACGTAGGAGACAAGATTCTGGGTCCTCAAGAGGGCCCCAACCCTGTGGCTCACGAGATATTGATATTCTGCAACAAACAGAAACTTGAACCCCATATGGACTTAAGGACTGTAAAACATACCATTTGGAAGAGTGGGTCGGATCTTAGGTTGATGTATCTTGTGTCATGAGGGTGTCACGTGGGTGGGCGGCCACTCCTTATATGGGCATCACGTGGGATGTATCGCGTGTCATGAGTTGTCATATTGCAGTCCGTCTCATCTGTTACTCTATCACTATGTGCTTTGAAGGGATATTGTTTTGAAGCATTATTTATGTTTATTATGATTGCAGGAATTTATAGGTTTGAATTCCCTGACGTAGAACAGCTCTAAGTTTTGTTTATAGCTGTTTGTTTAATTGTGGTTTAAACTTTAGTTCCTTTATGAAGCTTGCTAATTGAATTTGGAAATCTTTGGAATTGTTATTTAAATCTTTATTTCTGTTGGCAGATTAAATTTGTGGTTGTCACCTGCATTTATTCATTACATAAGTAGTAAGCTTAAAATTACAAATTGAAACAAGTAGTTGGGAAAATCATGTGGGTCAATCATTTCGGTTTTTATCAATACAAAATGAGTCTTAAAATCCTTTACAGTATCAGCATTAAAGTTATTTGCAACATAAGGTGAAGACTTAAGAAGTTCAAGTATGATAAAGGTGAGCTAACTATTACTAACAGATTAAAAATTTGGCACATGCTCAGAAATCAAATTCTCTATTTTGACTTCACCAAGATGAAAAATGTGATCGCCACAGCAAAAAGACCTGGAATTACAATGGACGCGTACGCAAAAATATGTTTCGTATCTTGAAGCCCAGCACAAATCATGGCAAAATGTCCAAAGTCCGATATCATCATATTAAGAAGAAATGAGATCAATAGTGTGAGGAGGCATCTCAATAAGTTGTGCGTGGGTGCCCTCAAAGCACCGATAATAGCGAAGGTGAAGGAGACAACAAAGAGTTGCAACCAGTATCCAGCCCCGCTGCCGCGGCAAAGCTTCCCAAACATTTCTGTGTCGAAGAAATCTCGTTTTACGTGGTCCAGAAAACCGCTTTCTACCAACAGGCCAGTTTCTAGACCTTTCTCCAAAGCGATCTGGGTCAGAATTGCCGCGAGGATTGCTCCCCAGAATGGATCCATTGCCATGCCCATAGCTCTGAAATTAATTCGGGAGATAATGAGATTATTAAAAATTATGGTAATACGTCCGTATTCAGATATCTTCAATTTTATAACAAAACCTATCACGAATGTGAGTGTCTTTTTGATATTGATAGCAAAAACCCCAGGCAACAGTTCCTATCACTTAATTGATTTAATTCAGAAAATATTTGCGGTAATAATACTATTTCTATGCTGGAGTTTAAGTTCAATGTTATAAATTTTTGGGATAAGAATTAGGAATCTTTCACATGTTAATTTAAACTGAAGCCTGCCCTGGGGGAGATGAAGTATATATGCTAATACGCTAGTGTAATTTCTCTGTTCCAAATCATGACTTACTCTTAGTCTTAGTATGGGGGGGGGGGGGTTGGGGGGTTCAGATTGAAAAAATAGAACTACAAGTTTCAGTCGAGCATTCAGCATTGAGATCTAAAAACCAGTATAATCCTATTTGCAATTAATGTCCGGAAACTAATGCCAATTAGTTCGATCGCATGCACAATGAATATGAAATAACGACAGCCGGAATGATAGTTATTAGTCGGTATGTGAAAAGTGTAGTAGTATAAGATGTAAAAGTATTAGCATTGTTTCCAGTGAAAAGCTCTTGTCTGATGGTCGAAATGGGGTTATACTTGTTTTGTGCTCTCATTATGACAGCATTTTTCCTTGTACCACTTCCACAGTTCATTGCATGTAGATTGTAGACAATGCGACAAGATGGCTTTGCGATACTGCGACGAATTGAAAACGTAAACTTCTTCATTAAGCAAAGACTAAAACTGCCCAAACCCAAAGAAATTTTACGTGTCTCAAATAGATCCTCAGCCTAGGGTTCGTATTTATTCGTAATCAATTCATCGATAAAAAGAATTAACATACTGAACATGAGTAGTAACGTAGTTAATAAGCTCCCAATAAAAATTTAATTCGATCCTGATTATTTGATAGGATAGACAGTCAGGTTGTCTCTGCCTGGCTTTATGTTCAATGTCATTGTTACTGATAGCTCAAACGTTTTGTAGGTGGCACGTGCCACGATTTCCATAACAATTTTTAGTGCGACCGCGACCGGAAGCATTGCTTGTCTCATATTGCATATACGGCAAAAATATCATTGTTTGTACCACTTATCCAATAAGCATAACACTGATGTGCTTAATTAAGCTTATCAATGAATACTATGATCATGGAGACACAGTTATGTTTAGCTCAATCTCCGCCTACTTTTTCACAAAAGAACTGACAATTCCGCATTAGGTTTTTAGATCGTCCATCCAACAACAATAGCATAAAATTGAAAATTTCGCCGTACATCATGAACAAAGAAAAAGCTTTTGAAAAACTAACTTTATTAATAAACCGGGTGTCACTGGGTGTCACCCGGATTTTCTTCAAAGGACGAAAAGCATTTTAAGAACCATTCTAGACTATAGTAGTAATGGTACGTCTACATTATATTTATAGTAATGGCGTTAGTTTATGGCACGGGTATCCGTTTAAACAATAAAGTAACTTCATTACATATTCTGGCGCGATGTTTAGTGAAACATCGCGCTGATTCGTCGGCCTTTTCTCACGTACTCACAATCGCGAGGTCTTGATTGTGACTATTTGCTCTAATAAATTTATAGCACATCCAACAATGAAGGTTGCCGGCAATTATTATTTTTCCCTCTTTTTAAAATAATGCCTCTCCGCTCCGATCCACTCTCGCAAAATCATAATATTGTTGACAATTGCCATTGGGCACAGCGCATTAATATAAGTCGGGATCAAGGCCAACGATAGACATATATATATAATATGGCTATGCTGATGCATAATTTAATCAATAATATTATTATTGTCATTTTGTCAATCAAATAAATACTATTTCATATTTTGTATTTATTATTGATTCTTTACTTGCCCCCACGGGCTGCACATTCAACGTTGTGGGCACGCCGCGCAGGATGCAGGAGTGCGCGCCATATCATCGTTTATCGTGGCTTCCGCCACGGCACACGGTAGTAGTTCGTATATGCCTCACAGAATGGCCAAAAAAAGGAAGGTCTCTCAAAATCACAAAACACACTTTATTCCAGTTTTTATCTCATAAGAAGCTAAGTTGACACTCATATTTTTCTTCCCGGGGGTTGATTTAATCTCATAACCATTTTTTCTTTGAGAAAAATTGGCCGGAAAATCTTCCTTCAAAAAAACATGCCTCACAGAATGGCCAAATCTGAATTTCTATAATTTTTTGATGGAGATACTTTTTAAATTTCTATCACCACACGTTGTTAAAAAACCTATTAAGGAATGCATGAGGTAATAACCTAAAACTCCCGAAAAAACTGAGCTGTGAAAAATTATTTCACAAAAAAGAAAAAATGCCTCACAAAATGGCCAAAAAAAAATGAAAACAAGAAAATTTTATTTTTCTAAAACCTTTCATGGCTCTTGTTTCAGGCATGCTGCTGGTATTAATATGCCTTGTTAACACCCTCATATAGGTGAAATTTCTTAGAACTGAATAAAAAAGGCATAATTTCCTACACCAAAAATGGCCATTTTGTGTGGTGTTGTTCATATTCCCTGATTTCATGATTTATTGATTGACGATGTCAATCCGTCGAGATCGTTGCTCTGCGAAGCAGAGCAACGATTTACGATGCGAAGCAAGAATGCTAGTTCGCGCGGCGCGTCAAAGCGGCGAAGTCCTCCAAATGATTTATAACCTTCATTCGGCTGTAAAAACACTCCATCTGACGGTGTTATTGTATGATAAATAGCTTGTGAATACTTTAGACTTATTGTTTCATTGAATAAAAGGAGTTTTAAATTCTGGCCATTTTGTGAAGCATATTTTGGCCATTTTGTGAGGCGTTTAGCCATTTTAGCATTTTTTTCTTCCTATATTGAACAATGTTCGTTTTGTTTGATGAATACTATTCTTTAAACATCTTCTGTCATATTGGTGCCAGAAGTTTTCACCAAAATGCAAACTTAGTTCAAAAATTTGAAAACAAATTTTGTGAGGCATATTTTGGCCATTTTGTGAGGCGTGTAGCCATTTTAGCATTTTTTTCTTCCTATATTGAACAATGTTCGTTTTGTTTGATGAATACTATTCTTTAAACATCTTCTGTCATACTGGTGCCAGAAGTTCTCACCATGAAAATGTAAACTTAGTTCAAAAATTTGAAAACAAATTTTCAGTGCTCAAAATTTCTACATCATACATAAACAGTCATATTTATGCCAGAAAATGTGGTCCTAGTTAATGATTTCACCACAGGAAGTGTTGCCAGAAGACTTTTGTTTCATATGGTATCCACAAAACCTACCAGTCTTATATAAAAAATTAGTTACAAAAACATTTACAAATTTGGCCATTCTGTGAGGCTAGCCATTCTGTGAGGCATTTACCCGTAGCGCGATCAAATGAAATGGAATGAAGATCGCAAAATGAGTTGTAGTTGTACTTGTAATTTGTATTACCATTATATTATCACCCGTTAATCACAAAAAAGAGCGCTGCGAATAGTAATAGTATAGGTATTGGCGTGCCAAATATAAAAAATCGATGATCAACTGCAAACTGATCTTATCTATATTTTATAATACACTATACATTTTTCTTTTACATTACTATACTTATTTACCTCATAATACCTTTTATTTTATGAATTAAATTTACCTGGCGGACATTTTACTAGACAACATTGACAATTGAACATGCACCCAAGAAACCTTACCGGCTGGGGCCTAACTTCGAAAGTTAAGTAAAAGAGATAGCTAGACTTCCGGTTTTCTGCAAAATGTTCACCTCGTAAAATACCTTTTCCCCCAGGTCACAGGTAAGGGGGAAAATTTGAGATAACGTAGATTTTGAGTTATCTCAAAATCTACATAAAAGTCTAATTATGGGCCGAATAAAAGTTTGTAACTTTAACTTTACGGATTTCTGTACTCCGATTGACTGAATTGTGTCACGTGCTAGCTACTTGAACATTGTATTGGAATGTTTCACGCGTGCAATAAGCCTAAGCACGGACGCGAGCATGAATTCGCTGTGAAAACGCGATCATAATATTTATATTTCACGATATTCTTGCCACCCCAAGTCCAACTAATTCTTACTCATACTGGGCGGCGCTCAGCCTGTCATTCCGCCTAATTCTCTATTATATGATTATGAACATAAATATAATAGCCTGGCCGGGTCCCCAGGTAAACTAATTCAAGTAAGTCAAGAACTGAGAACGGAACATGTCATTCTGACTTTTAAAAAGTTGTAATCAACCGTTATTAATCAGTAGTCAGTACAATTATAATGGTGTAGCCAGTACAATAATGGTGCAATAATGGTGCATATAAGATCTCTCTGTACAGAAAGCTTGAAAAGAGCGCCTCGCACAGGGACTTAGTATTAAATAGTAAGGACTTGATCTTGACGTTTAGTTGCCAAATTCCAATCCTTTACAACTCGTAGTCGTATTTACCGGGCCGCGCTCAGCCTGTCATTCCGCCAAAGCTTCAACAATCAACATTTCAGCACTTCAACATTGCACTTAGTTACAGCCTGGGTCCCCAGGTAAACCTCTTAGCCGCCCAGTAATGCATGATCGCTAAAATCGGAGATCTGTGGTTGCGATAAACATTATTTGATGCGCTAGCCAGTATATACGTATATAGTGCATCGCGCTACAAGCACTGGACCGGAGTTTTCAGTTAACTGATCAAGTAGATCAGTTGATTGATTCCAAAGAATCGTACATTCATTATTCATGGGCGAAAATTAGGTTCTATTAAGTATTATAGTATAGGAAGTAAAGCTTGTGACTGAACAATAACAATAAGAAGAGGCATTTTGTCAATTTGATCAACGGATTAAAACTAAATTAAAATAGCAGAAAAATTATCTCTGAGATCGTCAAATTCCAAAGTTATTAAATCAATTTGGTATATACTAGACATTCGACCCTAAGTTTATTAAGGGGGCCGGGGGGGGTCTTCATCAAAATTCTCTCGAAATTGACTTTGTAGTTGTTTCTGATAGAGGGGAGTGATATCTATCAGCTGTTTTTAGTCCCATGGAAAAATATTGTTCCTAGCCGAAAATATTGCCGGTCAAAGGTCAGCGCTTATGTGTAATTGTATTGCGCGAGCGATTTTCAATCGCGCGCCCTGAAAATCGAGTCTAAAAATCTATCTTCTCCTACATTTGTTGAGCAATCACCCTGAAACTTTCAGGATATGTTCTAAGGACCATTTAGAAGAGATTGTCGGGCCAGAATTTTGAGATAGGCCTTAGAAAAAATTTTATTCGATTTTGAAAATCTTGGACCTGAAAAAATCGTCAAAATACGAGGTCCAAGATTTTAAAAATCGAATAAAAAATTTTCTAAGGCCTATCTCAAAATTCTGGCCCGACAATCTCTTCTAAATGGTCCTTAGAACATATCCTGAAAGTTTCAGGGTGATTCCTCAACAAATGTAGGAGAAGATAGATTTTTAGACTCGATTTTCAGGGCGCGCGATTGAAAATCGCTCGCGCAATACAATTACACATAAGCGCTGACCTTTGACCGGCAATATTTTCGGCTAGGAACAATGTTTTTCCATGGGACCAAAAACAGCTGATAGATATCACTCCCTTCCATCAGAAACAACTACAAAGTCAATTTCGAGAGAATTTTGATGAAGACCCCCCCCGGCCCCCTTAAATCAAAAACCTAGATTTAAGCGACAAATTAGAAATAAAAACCCTTTTCTGATTTCAATTTGATAATAGATAAGGATTAAAACACGAAATAAGGTCATATTATTAGGTCATATTATTAGGTGACCTGGTCTAAATAAAAGTCGTTCTTCTCTTGTTATACTATATCAATAGTTCGATAACACACCATAACATCATGGAGAATAAAATCCACTTACTCCAAATTAACATCTTATACAGCTCTAAATTAGCTTTAAGTTAACATTGTCTAACATCTAAACTATGCTGGGGTTCCAGTACTGTTCACGGTTTAACACGTGACTCATCCAAACGGAGCAGGGCCAGCAACATCAAAATTCAAATACTAATTTCGCTGATGAGAGCGGCAGTTGCGCGGAAGTCACTACACCGATGAAGATGCTGAAGAAGATTAACTTCTTTTCTCAGTCTTCACAACTCTTCTCGATGTCAGTTTCTGGTTTCCGTAGAGTTGGGAATAGTTTGCTCGTCTCTGTCTTATCAGTCAGACTCTTGTCTTTGATGACGTCAATCAGTTTCTCGATAACGCTCGACAGGAACGCTTGTCGACTTTTCTCGAGCTGATATTCGGCTTCCTGTGAAGGGGTCGATTGTTAGACAGAGTTCGAAGCTCAAATCATACGAGATACCATTTAAATTCAATAACATGACGTGTGGATGTCAAATGTCAATTTGGGAATTTCCCGCGTTCGGAAGACGTAGCAATTTCCAGGAAATGTCCTAATATCACGTTTGAGACCAGTTACAGAGACACCTCATGAAGAATCCAACCCAGGATATAGATAGCGACATGGTGTCTAAACCTAATACTAGTACCGGGCCCACCAACAATACGATCATGTTGGGCCCCCGAGAATAGAAGTTTGGACATGTCATCACCGAGCCCTCAACACTCACCAGAGTAATGTTCTGGACTCCTGCCCATATTGTCACTGACATTGGGTCTGAATGTAAGTTTAGAAGTAGACAGCTTTTAACAATCTGTGACCAATCACCGACTTTTACTTGCGGTAACAATAGCTGCTCCGCAAATTTCTACCATTATGTTCTATAAAGATCGTCCTGATCTTGTGGTAAAGCTAGATAAGTGCCAGACACAAGTAACTAGTTGATAGTTAAGTTAGAAAGATATCGAACTATCATCACTGATAACATCCAATCTGCCAGGAATCACCGAATCGGAATCTTGATATCGGACCCAGAACGGGCAACCGTGGTTTTTTGCATCAAATAATTAATGATGGTACAATCTCATAAGATAACGTTAGTCTAGCCTGTATAGAACTTCACAGTACTATTCTCACGGAATTGTCTCCGACTATGATTAGCTGATAAACCAAAGTGTCGACTACCTCCGAGGCTAATGTGTCCAATAGTAGCATTCACATATATACAGATTTCCGAGGAATTTATTCGTCTCTACTGCTGGGTGATACTATTTCCTGTAAGATTAAGAACATGGGATCCGCGCGGCGTAACTGGTAGTCCTCCATGCATCTTATCAAGATCAGGTACCGGCCCTGGCCTACGCCATTTTATGCTCGGCAACACCATGATTTGGTGGTCGGAGTCTTTTTGTGCCTTTTGTGGACTCCCCCGACCTCTAGAGTAGTTGCTCAATGGCCTAATCTGGCAAATTACCCAACCAAACTGCAGACAAAAATCTCAAAGAATGGGAAATTATAACAAAAATAATAATTTAAGATATTTTCGCATAATGTTCTCTCACACATATCTTGCATATTTTACATATCTCACATACTTACATATCTCTCGCGCTCCCTAGTGAGGAACGCGTTATTCCTCTCCACATCTATTCTGTGATATACGTCTATCCTCTTATCCTCCCTCTCGTGCAGCTGCTTCATCAACTCACCAAACTGAAGATGATGCATCGATAAATACGTGATATACTGCTTAGCGTGTTCAATTGCTTTTGTGTCAGAAAAGTGGGAGATACCATGGTGATTGGTGTATACTGTATAAGCAGATTATAGAATAGAGATAAAGCCAATACCTGTGAAATTGGAATGTTTTGGTCCGGGAGAGCTGAGGGGGAAGTAGCTGGAGCCAGACAAGATCCTATCTTCACATCGTATCTTGGTTCCTGAGATATTGTCAATAGTTAGAATATACCAAATACCTCACGCTATACTACCATAATATGCCAATCCCTCTAAATAATTAAGAATCAGCAGTACACTAACCTCAGTGTCGAGGTGTTTCTTTTGTCGGAATTCGGATGAAGGTGTACTGTAGCGGGGTTCTGGTAGTATAGGTACCTGTTTTGGTGTGCTGGCTGTAGCCTGAGTGATACATACATTGTTATAATGACATCATGATACTAATATAGCTGAACAAAACACATAAAGTTGAACATAATTAACATAGCATGGGGTTTTTCCTTTAACATGTATTTACATCCTTAAAAATAGGTTCAGTTTTAATGCGTTTAAAATGCCTTACCTGTGAAGTAGGAAGGTTTATGAGGTACATGGAGTCCTGTCCTGATGTCTGGGTACTGCTAGCTGATTTCTCGGGGTCCTAATGGGAATCAATTAGGTCTAATTACAAAACAGTTAACATTTACTAATTATACAGATAAAAAAGAATGTAATTGATTGGTATGGACATTCTGATCTGTGTATCAAAATGGGCAGCAACAGCTATATTCGATAACCTATTGCAATCTGTATCATTTGTCCAATCTGTCTAATGATCACCGTCTAGACTGTGTCTAAAAATTGGGCCAAAAGATTCCTACCTCGGTATGTAGAGGACTGCTCATGCTGCTGCTTGATTTGGGTGACTTTCTCTCTCCTTCCTCCTTTCCTACATCTAGTGAGATGTTCAACTTCCTCTTCTTTACCTGGAAACACAGGTACATTTAATTGATTGGTTAATGACAGAAAACTGAATGGTTACTGACTGGCAAATGATTTGTTAACGACTTGTAACTGACTGGTTACTGACTTGTAACTGTAAACTGACTTGTAACTGACTTGGAACTGACTGGTTACTAAATTGTGACTGACTTGTAACTGACTTGTGACTGACTTGTAACTGACTGGTTACTGACTTGTAACTGACTTGTGACTGATTTTTAACTGACAGGTTACTAAATTGTGACTGACTTGTGACTGACTTGTAACTGACTGGTTACTGACTTGTAACTGACTTGTAACTGAATTGTAACTGACTGGTTACTAAATTGTAACTGACTTGTAACAGACTTGTAACTGACTGGTTACTGACTTGTAACTGACTTGTAACTGAATTGTAACTGACTGGTTACTAAATTGTAACTGACTTGTAACAGACTTGTAACTGACTGGTTACTGACACTGACCTGTGTTGGAAGGCTGCTCCCGCTCCAGTAAGCGTTATCGGCGTTGCAACCCTGGCTGGGGGACTGCCCAACCGTCACTGTTTTCTGTAACTCGGCTGCTTTCTCTGGATCACTCATTCCTGTAGTAGTGTTTAGTGAACACACCGTACTTACAGCTCCCATGCAGGGTTAAAAGAGCTAACATTGCTAAACTTCGATCTAGCAGTCACGATCTGAAGATAGAGAAGCTGCACATGCGATTCTTCGAACTACCATTCTTTGAAACACCAACCCTTGAAGCTTTCCTTGAACACATTGCACAGCCTCCATTCTTTTTTACTCGTATTTAAATTATTATATTCGATTTTTTTTCTCTTTCGTGAAATTGTAACGGGGTCAATTTTTAAGATTTTATTTTTATAGCTTTCTCTCGATTTTTAGAGTTCTGATCGTCTTTATGAATTGCTGTATTACCAGACGAGTTCGTTAGTGTTCTCTTTGGTCATTTCCGGTTTAATTCCACAGGAAAAGAACACAAAAGGGACCAAGATAGTGACGAAACTCTGCTATTTTAAACGCTGTAGACAAAATTTGGGAATGCAATATTTCCGGTATTGCTGGTAATTTTTAAGTGCCCACGACTCTTTAAGTCTTTAGTAATTTAATACCTATCGCGCGTCATTGACACCGTTTGCGTGGCCAAAAGTATAATGTAAAAAAGAATGAAGTTTGTATTGAAAACAAATGTAGCAGAACCAGGAATTTCATCAGATTACGTACCGAATATGTCGTCAATATCCTGGAAGTAAGGACATGTTTTGTACTCCTGGTTGTACTTGATGGTCTGTTTGTACTCGTCTATACAGTTCTTTACTTTGATCTTTACTTGCTCCGTGGACCGTGGAGGCCAGTCGTATCTGAGCAAGAGGTGTTGGTAAACTCAAATAATCACTGTACATTTTAGAGTGGATAATCGTCGCTGGGTTCAGTTCAAAAATACAATAGCAAAATCGTCGCTAGGCTCAGTTAAACAATATAAATAGAATAGTAAAATTGTCGCCAGTTTTAGTTTAACAATCCCCGAGTAAAGCATGATGACTGGGCGATGATGGGGAGGTTGCACAAGTTTGTTTTGTCACGTGACAGTGTCAAAACAAACGTTCACTGCTTCCATAGGCCTAGTAGGGAATCCCTACCTACTAACCTTTCATTTTAGCTAGTAAAAACTGAAATCATTTTATTGGAAATGAAATAAGTTCCTTACTTAACACAGAATTTGTTGTATTCTTCTCCAATCTCCTGCCATATAGCATGTTTCTCCTTAATCTTCTTAGCAGCCCGGACCTAGTGAATTAATATTAGAATTAATATAATCGAAGATTTGTCTTCTTTACAAATGTCTGAAGAAAAAAAAACATTCAAGATCACATTTCACTTGATAATTCAATCAGTATTACTAAGTATGACCAATTAAACTGAAAACTAAAAAACTGCATACCTGAGGGTACTTCTCTTTCCAGATAGAGATAAGGATTCTTCCGTGTTCTTCTTTCCATCTCAATCTTCTCGAGTTGTTCTCTTCGCTCTTCATAAACTCTTTTATACCAACACGAGGGTTATTGACAGGACTCATCTGAAACCGGAAAATATGTCAAATTGGGAGACGTTAAAAATTCTTATAGAGAGCCTTCATTCGGCGCAAAAACCTCGGTCAAAAGAAAAGTTCATTCATGTTTAGTTTTAATGTTCACTGTCCAGCGTTGAGACTGAAGCAGTAATATGGAATGTAAATAATATACTGACGGTGGTGTTGAATCTGGGAAGGATAAGGGAGGGTTGGTGTGAGAGACAAGGTGTTGTTGCTGTTGTAATCCACTGTTACTAAGGAAGTGTGAGGGAGACAAGTGGTTACCCAGGAGGGCGTTAGTGGTTGTTAGTTGGTTGTTAAGGAGGGTGTTAGTGGTAGATAGCTGGTTGTTGAGGAGGGTGTTAGCGTTGGAGGAGAATAGTTTTGCGGAGAAGGGATGGTTTGGGGACAGCTGTTGAGAGTAACGCTCGAGGATTTGGCTGGCGAGCTGATGTTCCAGAACTTGGGCTGAAGCGGAAAACCTATGTTACACAGCCGAATCTTACTCTTAATAAAATTAAAACACATGAAACTCAAAATGAAATAACAAAATTATACAATGAACCACAAAATGAGGTGTCATGTGACAGGTTTATGAATTATAAAAACCACCAGTGTAACTCACTGGCTAAATGAGATGCAGTATCTATCTTACACATTGAGACGGACGGTTTAGGAGATTGCGCAGCTGACGTCATTGCAGGCTGAAATAGTAAACTTAGTTATAATAGTGGAAACTTAGTTATAATAGTGGAAACTTAGTTATAATTGTGTAAACTTAGTTATAATAGTGGAAACTTAGTTAGAATAGTGGAAACTTAGTTATAATAGTGGAAACTTAGTTTTAATTGTGGAAACTTAGGTATAATAGTGGAAACTTAGGTATAATAGTGGAAACTTAGGTATAATAGTGGAAACTTAGATATAATAGTGGAAACTTAGTTATAATTGTGGAAACTTAGTTATAATAGTGGAAACTTAGTTATAATAGTGGAAACTTAGTTATAATAGTGGAAACTTAGTTATAATAGTGGAAACTTAGTTTTAATTGTGGAAACTTAGGTATAATAGTGGAAACTTAGTTATAATAGTGGAAACTTAGTTATAATTGTGTAAACTTAGGTATAATAGTGGAAACTTAGATATAATAGCGGAAACTTAGTTATAATTGTGGAAACTTAGTTATAATAGTGGAAACTTAGTTAGAATAGTGGAAACTTAGTTATAATAGTGGAAACTTAGTTTTAATTGTGGAAACTTAGGTATAATAGTGGAAACTTAGGTATAATAGTGGAAACTTAGATATAATAGTGGAAACTTAGTTATAATTGTGGAAACTTAGTTATAATAGTGGAAACTTAGTTATAATAGTGGAAACTTAGTTATAATAGTGGAAACTTAGTTATAATAGTGGAAACTTAGTTTTAATTGTGGAAACTTAGGTATAATAGTGGAAACTTAGTTATAATAGTGGAAACTTAGTTATAATTGTGGAAACTTAGGTATAATAGTGGAAACTTAGGTATAATAGTGGAAACTTAGTTATAATAGTGGAAACTTAGTTATAATAGTGGAAACTTAGTTATAATAGTGGAAACTTAGTTATAATAGTGGAAACTTAGTTATAATAGTGGAAACTTAGTTATAATAGTGGAAACTTAGATATAATAGTGGAAACTTAGTTATAATAGTGGAAACTTAGTTATAATAGTGGAAACATAGTAATAATAGTGGAAACTTAGTTATAATAGTGGAAACTTAGTTATAATAGTGGAAACATAGTAATAATAGCTTAATAGTGGAAACTTAGTTATAATTGTGGAAACTTAGTTATAATAGTGGAAACTAAGATATAATAGTGGAAACTTAGTTATAATTGTGGAAACTTAGTTATAATTGTGGAAACTCAGTTATAATAGTGGAAACTTAGTTATAATAGTAGAAACTTAGATATAATAGTGCAGTGGAAACTTAGTTATAATAGTGGAAACTTAGTTATAATAGTGGAAACTTAGTTATAATTGTGGAAACTTAGTTATAATAGTGGAAACTTAGTTATAATTGTGGAAACTTAGATATAATTGTGAAGCTGTAAACTTAGTTATATGCAAAAGGATTGATATCGACTTGTAGTATAGTTGTAGCGTGTTACATATTCATATTACAGTGTAACTGTGACATATCGATTGTGACATCTCAGAAAAATTAGATAGTTTCTCACTTGTTCGTGATGGGGAGAAAAAGCAGAAGTACAGCTAGGAACTGACCAAGTGTTGCCGGGCAACGAGGATGATGCTGAGAGAAGGATTATTGGTTAATTAAATATTCGATTGGATTGATAATCAGTTGGATAGATAATTAATTTATCTACTTTCCTTTTTGTTTAAAAATTAAATCGAATTTCAAACTATACTATTATACTACTAGCAATAAGGACTCGAAAAATTCAAACTCTTAATAAACATAGGTAAACGTAAACAGAAAACCAACGATTAGTGTTAATTCTATGAACCATGGATCGATCAGATTAAAACATTCCCAGAATTCAACAGTTACTGACTTGAAAACAAATCTTAAAACAGGACGTATTATTCTCAGGTGACGGTTTAACATATCCAGCCCGGTTATGATAATTTAGATCTTTCTTGTTTTGCCGACCAACCCACTCAAATTACCCTTCCTCCAACCGGAGGACAACTACTTAACAAAATAGGTTACATTTCAAGCTCTCTCGTGACCGAAATCCCACCAATCCGTACGTTATTTATATAACGTGACACCGGAGGAACCAATCAACATGCAGTATCAGAATCACGTGATAACGAAGCAACCAATGGGAGGATAGCAACACGTGATCCAGAGGTAGAATCCCAGCACGGAGAAACGGTGGAAGTTAAAACAGACGAACGGGGTCACGAGATGTTCTTAATGCGGACTGTTTAATAAACGATAATTCGAGAATATGCCGGCCAATCTTCGTTCGAACGGCAACTTGAGAACCAATTCTGGTAGTTTGTTTTGATCATGTGACATAACTGATCAGTGCTTTGGTTAAAAGAGTGGGATGGAGCCCCACCCAGCGTCTAGTATCGCTGCATCATTGAATTCAAATTGGGAATACAATTTCAAAACACACCCACGTTTAAGTCATGTGCCTAAAACAATCTATTCGATTGGTAGTTCTTCTAATTTTGATACAACATATCGCATCTGACTCTCTGACAAACCATAATACCAAAACATGTTTGGTATACAGTTTATAGAATGTTTTCATAAAACTTAATGCCCGGCGGTCATTGCCCGCCCAGTTCTCAGAAATTTCCTACAATTAAAATAAACATGAATAACAACACACTCTAAAGTACCAAGGAAACACATATGTACAACCCTGGTTTCAGACCACAGCCCAACCCCGGCCTTACAATTTACATCCGGCTTCAAGGCACAATATTCTGATCCAGATTCCTGTCCATATGTATTCACATGAATCAGCCCCGGAACTTATAATGCTGATGTTCGAGACAATCCCAATTGTTACAAACATCAGAGCTCCCTTTATCAATAGGCTACGCAATGTGCAGGGCCATTTTACACTTTAAGTTGGAGGTAACAAGCCGGCAGAGAGGTTCACAATACAAATGGTTAGTTTATGATATATCTTGATACATTCCTTGAAGTGTAATCGCCCGTTGGACTTCCTAAAGTTCAGTAATGTCCATGTCCATTCAGTCAATTCATCCTTACCCTGAATCCTGATGGATAATTTCCGATTATAGCCAACTACTAGAATTTAACAAGATTAAACCTCTGATTATGAACCTTTGCATTGTTAATAGAAGCAGATGAAGCTATGTTAAAACCTATATTCAGGCTCATATAAACTAATGATGGAAACTGTCGATAGTAAACATATCAGATGCCCGAAAAATGAAAATATATCAACAGAAAATATTCGTTGTATACCCGTTATCCGTATGCTAGGAGTTTAAAGGTATATTACCTCAATCATGCTCTTACAAATATTGATACTGAGATACCATTCACACGGTAAATAAAGACCAATCGCGCAGTTTAAAACGACTGCAGTTTAAGTTTGAGCTCAGAGAGCAGCGGATTGGTCGTCAGGAAGCAATGGCCGGCCAATGCAATGCCTTGAAATTATATAAAACGGATTTATGATCGACCGACCGAATAACAACATTCTGTAACTAAACATCTTTCCAGAATGACTAAAAATAGATAAAAGCGACATATTCGAATATCTTTTGTGGGGTGTGTCAATTCCATTTGAAATAATGAAAAGGATTCGCCCACCCGCCGGCTCAGTTTACAATCTTCAGCAACCAACTGTATAGTTGTTTCTGATAGTACTACTAGGAAGTGATATCTATCGGATGCTTTTGGTTCTATGGAAAAGTTATCACCGGTAAAAAATCAGCGCTTATGCGTAATTGTATTGCGTGAGCGATTTTCGATCGCGATTGCGCTCTGCAAATCGAATTTCAAAATCTATTTTCTCCTACATTTTTTGAGCAATTACCCTGAAACGTTTTGAAACGATTTTGAAAATATTACACCTCGTTTTTTTGACAATTTTTGATTGCTCCCGCTTACATCCCCTAATGTCAATAAGCGTTGACCTTTGACCGGCAATAACTTCGGCTAGGAATAGTATTTTTCCATAGGACCAAAAGCAGCTGATAGATATCACATGTGCACTTTCAAGTCATGTGCCCCACAAATACAATCCAACATTCATGTAATGCTAGTTAGTAGTTAGGTATCATTATTGGGAATCCATTTTGATATCTTTCTTGATGATAAAATCCTGAAGGCAACCCAGCAATCAGTAGGTTTGTGAAAATCTGTTTTTTAGTTTCTTAACGTTTCCATCAAACGACCGGTACGTGTAACATGAAAGAACGTTTAAATATAAATAGATGGCTCGACTGGGTATTAAGAGATGATTGCAAAACATAAAACTCGTTATTTGCGAGAGATCTAGTATTTTCGAAACGTATAAATGTTTAAATGGATCCGCTAAACCGAGTAAAATTAAGTAGCTCTGATTGAACAATAAATTGTACAACCTATAGAGTATATAGACGCGCTCTTTACTTAAAGTTAAACAAGAATTTCGCTGCGATAACACCACGCACGATCAAATTTCCCTACTGCCTACAATGTAATTGTTCTACTTTATTGTATCCCAGAGTGGTGTTTGGCGCACGTGATGATCGTTCAGATTATTCATTATATTATCATTAGGCGAATTTACAATTGCAAAACATAACACGTTATTGACGGAGATCTAAAATCGTCTGGATTTGAAACGCATCTCGTAACTTTTAAATGATTCAGGTCGCTCTGATGGCTGGCGGACCTTGGGACCTGACGCAATCTGACAAATATTTATATATTGAGCAACAGAACCAAGGTATACCATAGGTTTAAATCTCAAACCAATGAAGGTTGAGTTATTCTCATATCCGTGATCCGGTTATCTTAGAGTGAACTAAGCCAATAAACACAAGAGTTTTGCGATTGGGGTGTCATGTCTAGATGACGGAACGGGTCGTGTATTAGCCAGGATAATGAAGGGAATATAGGAAAGCAAATAGTGTTTTAATAACTGTCCCTGGAAAACAATAAAATATATTTTGTTGGCGAGTTACCTTTAGCGATCTGTTGTAAAAGTGATGGCAGCAACTTTTCACCCTGAAATTAAGAATTGATTGAGTAGAGGTAGGTACGAAACAGTTTAATGTTAAATGGGTTATGGATTTCGAGAGTATTCGTAGGTCAACGACGAAGGTTTGCAATTGAAACAGCACATTTAAAAGGATTTTAAGGTGGTATATCAGGCCAGGCTGTGATATCTTGCAACCGAGCACAAAGAAAATATTAATATAACTTGTTTAACAATTAACAGAACAGAAGAGTGCAATTAATTAAATCATTAAGTAATTACCGATGGTATGACAACGTTGGAGTCTTGCAGGAGGGACGTTTTAGGGGAGAATGAGGGAGTAGTGAGGTTTGATTTAGGAGGGTGTCCCACGAGACCGCCTCCATTTTGTGTTGGGTTTTTTGACAGCATCATCATCTGACCAAGATAAACGGGAACGATAAATTTCTCGCCTTTTGTATATTTGTTCATGTATCAGCAAAATGTACAGGTAGAAATTGTAAAGTCAAACAAACAAAAAAGGCAACGTTGGATTGAAATTAGAGGAACTGGTTGTGCTGTAAAGTATAACTATCGTATGAATTAAACTGTTTAAATTTTGATGTACCATTAACTTTACCACTACAAGATTCCTCATTATAAAGTTGGATGTAAAAATGTAATTCCGGGAGGGATAACATAGCAGCAAGCTGTCAGACTACAGGTTTAGTAATGCCGATTAAATTCTTGTAATATATTCTGTTATCAGTAAATACTTTAGTATAGAGACTGGGAGTTGGCTCTACTCAAATACAATCTGAGATCAGGTCGAGTTCTCTTAATTTCTTTATCAGCTTATCAAAAGGTTATCTTAATTGATTACAACACAAAATAAGGAATGAATCAAGGATCACCTTTAATACAAGGCAATGTCAATGTTTCAAAAGGGCGTATTTGCGAAGGTCTAGAAGGTTTCTCACTTGATTACAAAGTAGTTTGAATTAAACAGACGATTCAGCGGAAGAGTCTACAAAAACAAACTCCACCCTCTAAACCAGTCGGGTGAGAGAACTAACATCACGAGGTTAAATTGACAAATTGCGATTGGCTGAACCGTAAATCACGTGACATTCGTTCAAGGAACTGACTGTCATTTGGAGGAGCTGACTTGTGTGAAACTATGGGAGCGTACACGGTCCCGGGTCCCTTAGAGAGCAACGTATAAAATAAACCATGAGCGGATATAATTATAAAACATAACAACGTAATCCTGTTCAGCCGAGGGACCTACAAACATCAAAATCTTTTAGATTGATAATAATGTGATGATCAAATAAGAATACTAGCTGCCTGGCGCATGGAAGGAAGGGCTTGAGTATAAAGCTTGGGTACCAACAAATTACTAATTAGGTTTAAATCACAATGCGTGCCGTTAAAACGGTCCCCGAAATCTCTAATTCAATGAATAAACGATATGCCAATTGCACAGATGGCTTTAGCAAACATATATTTACCAGGTATGTGGAGAAAATCATACTGGTGGAAAATGATCGGACGAATCTAACTCCGAATGATGATCAATCCAAACACACATAATCAGGCCAGCTAACCAATGGTACCAGCCGGAGCAAGGCCACGTGATGCCAGACAGCCAATCGCACGGTAGCAGCTCGTCCCGATCAATGAACAACAATTTAATCCAAAACCAAACAGCTACCAGAATCAAAAGAAATGATCCGCCGATTGGAAATAAAATTTCATACATCGAATCTCCAGCACTAAAATGATGGAATTCCAACTTATCAGGTGGTTTCTGTTAAAATATAATATTTTTGTCAGCGATCTTTACCGGCCAATAAGGGCCGAGTATTGACGGCGGTAACCAAACTTCACGTAGATAACGATTTACTCTGTTGACAGTTGGGATTACCTTGCCCGAGGTCTGGGAGAAATTAAACCCTGTCATTTGCGGAAAATTTCCAGAGATCAGTTGGATATGGAGGGGCAAAGGATCTATATTCCCGGGATATACAGCATAAATTCAGATCAGATTGTGAGCAATGTGTTTGAAAAGAGGATCTGCTAATTGGATTGTTGTGATAGAAGGAACAAGGGTTACGTGAACAAGGTGGCCGTACCCCTGCTGAGCGGGCCCAGGGAGCCAAGTCGCGGGGAAGCCACCAAACGTAGCCTAAACCCTCCCCCATTATCAGCTGACACAACTTCGTCAAAATGTAGCGGATCCGTGCGCGGATTCACGAGATCACGTGAGGGTTTCCTGGCCGCTGATTGGGTGTTCCAGAACTGTCGGCTCTCTGATTGGGTGAAGACTCTTCCCGATCTCACATTCGATGACAGATGGAGCTTATCAAATCCTTCCAATTAATTTTTAGATCATTCAACACGTGCGATGGCCGATGTACCAATGTCGCTGTGATGTCCTGGTTATATCGGGACCACCATGTGTCAATAAATCCCCGATACCTCGAATTAGAGGCTGCCCCGATCAGGGCTGGTGGGAAGAGTTAAAAACTTTCGTCTAAAAACCCCAAATTAGCGGATTATTTTACGTGTGTGTCAGTCAGAGTGCTGTTAGTTGTGCGAGATAACAGATGGCTAAGTTTAATTTGGTTATATTTGAGTGCAATCTGCATATATTATGTGCCCTCACTCTCTCTCACCCCTACAGGGTAGCATATTATTATTTGTAGCGCCCATGTTGGGTGCCCAGGGGGCCCAACACAACAATTTAGTCACATTTAAACCATAGCTCAGCTCGGCAGATCTTGCATCGCAACTATCCCAACTTCCGGGGAGAGGGATGTGAAAAATTTGGGGGTAGAGTATCTACTAGCCGCGGGTACATGGCTAGGTGACGTGATTTTATTTCTATTTAAAACGAGGTCAGCACTAGGCAGGCGGATCGAAGGTTGGGTGACCACATGTGCATCAGTGTTTAAATAGGACTGATGCTAGCTATTTAACTTTAACTAGCTATTTAAGTTGCATTTTTTTAGGATAGCCAATGATATTAAACATGCGATAGTTTCCAAGAATACGCGCTTTTAGAGTTAGTTTATAGTAAATAAAATTGTTGTGTCTCCGGTGAATTTATCGTTAGATTTAAATGAACATTGGTCAATGCGAATAGTATTTTACAATTTAAGGGTAGAGAACTGTACAGTCCAAAGTGCTCAACTACTTTTAATGGCGATGTGAAATAAAACGCTTGAATTAGACGGACTTAAAGTTTCACAAAATACAGCCGAAGATCGCTGTATTTCGTGAAACTGTAAGTAAGCCTAGTTCAACCGTTTTATTCGAAAATCGTAGTTCAAGGTTTCGAGAAAGGTCACATACTAAATTTGTTAGAAGTAAACTTACGAATGCCATGTACTTTAAAGATCTCAAATTATCGACACTTTAAAAATCTCCACAGACCAAGTAAAAGCATTTATGGCAAAGATAATTTCAGAACACAAAACACGTAAATTGAGGATGGGTAATGAGTGCTGAGTTGGGAATGTGCCTGCGCCCTACAGTAATCGGATCTGAGAGCACGTCCCACTGGATCATAGATCTGGATTCTGGCGACTGGGAGCGAGGTTTGTTTTAGCACGTGACAGCCATTCTGCATTTCGATTAGTCATTAGTCGATGCTGCTTTGACTGGGAAAATAATTAAAAACCAAATCAGTTTACCATGTTATGTTTCAAACGAGACATCCCATGCTCCTCAAGCATCGTAAAATCCGGAGATTCGGGCCGAGGACAGGTCCTTTGGCAAATCTAAAAATCTGACCTTCGTAGAGGGCCGAAAATTTGGATGAATTTATCAGCCTAGGTGAGGTTGTCGTTAAGATTCATTGGGAACTTTTTCAAGTTGATTGGGTACCTACCCTATTAGTTGGGCGAAGGCCAATTAAAATATAGTTCACCTTCCCATCAGTATTCAGATCTATTGGTCCTGCCTAAAATCTTAAAATATCAAGCCAAATCTTTTGTGGCATGATTTTTGACACCCATAAACGCAAGCTTCTGATAATAAAAATAAGAAAACAAAATATAAGAAAACAAAATATAAGAAAAAAAGAAATTTGGGAGAAAAGTTGAATACCTAAATCAACTCAAGAATATCTACTTTTACCAATAAAGATAACTTACTAAAGTGGATCAGTGCTAACTGTAAGCAAACTAACGTAAAGGGTGTAATAAAATCTAGAAATGAAGCCGTTAAAATACTTTAAAATGAGAGAATTGAGTGCACCACAGGGATCACCCGACCGGATACCCTCATCAAGATTGGGAACAAGACTCGCTGGACCAATCAGCAGTTCTCTCTTTGATCACGTGACTATGAGTGGTTCACAATTATGATCTCTACTGCAATACGCGTCTCATCACGTGACCATGTATTTGGTAAGTAGTGCGTCCCAGCCGTAGCGCCATGATGCCTGGTCAATGAGAATAACGAACTTACAAGTAAACTATAGCCCACTCAAACTACGACCTATTGTCTTTTCTCCCTTCTCCTTCTAAATTAAAAGAGAGTGATATGGGGTAATAAGCACTTGTACCGTTACTTGAGTACCTCCCATGATACGTGGCGCTTCACTAATGTGTCTCTCAAGTATTATAACGAGGAGCAAATACACCTAATTAGAAATTGTAAAGGAGAAGCTATAATAGTATATTGTTTCAACGATGCTTGCAGTGCACCCCATGATCCATAAACTGCTGATAGGCCTCATCATTCACTACATCCTGTCACCATAGTATTAGTTTCAGAACCAAGAATTGCCCCGTTTAAATTGTGCACCCACATGCTTGATACGTTGACTCCGCTTGTTAACTGCACGGGTAACGAGAAACGTGGTCTATCATTAATACCCGGATTCACTCTTAATCTAACGAGATTCTTATTTTCTGCAGATACAAAATATCCCGATAATGATTTAACGGAATTGAAATAGAGGCCCAACTTAAACAGACAGCACGATTCAAAAGAACGAAATGACGGGGATGATTGCGGTGGTAGGCAAGAAAAAAAGTCAATATACCGCATGTCAGCCTCTGACAGACCGATCCCAGTCGCGCTTCAAAGAAAATTGGATTTAAATGTCCAGCAGCAGGCTGGTATAGTCGATCTATCTTCATAATGCAAATATTATATGAGGCATGTTCATGTCATAGAAGCTACCATAAAACGGAAAACCAGGCAATTTTCACGGATCCTTAATAATTGCACGTGGCAAGGCTTTCTTTTAGACAGCTGAATTTGCGTTTTATTGCGACAAATCTTGCAGGATGCAACTTATGAAGAGTCAGCGTCAGCAACATACATTTGAGTAATCTCATCCTTCAATAACGTCCGAATTTGAAAGGAAAAATGATTGAAGAGATAGAAATTGCATTATTTTATAAAATCTAAGCCTTTTTTTAGTTTGAACATAAGGTGGATCCAAAAATCTAATTTTTACAACTGTTCCAAATATTCATCTAAATATAATGCTATATAATAACTATATATATATATATACATCCATAGACACAGTGTTTCGTCCTATTAGGACTCATCAGTATGGCTCAAATCATCAGGGTTGGTTTTACCGATGATATATATATATATTATATATAGTATATACTTATATAACTATTCACTCACCGCTCAAGATTGGTTCAGAGGAAGGTAACATAATGCTGGTCATTAATCAGTCACACCATTTCCCTTCCGATTCTCTTTCATAAAGATTTGCGGTCGCATCTATAAGCTATCTATTTAGATTCTACCCTGAAATAAATTATGCTCCATTAATATAACCTCAAAATATCAGTTTTTAATCCGAGCCATTCAATTTCATTTGATTCATTAACTGTGCCTGTGGAGAATTGAAGTCAAGAAAAGTATAATTTGATATATTGCCTACCTTATCACGCGATTTCAGGTAGAATGTAGCGGACAGTGATCACATCAATTCCGGTGTCACCAAATTATCAATAATCGGTATACGTATTTCTTTTCTCTTTTACTGGGAGCAGAGCGATTACCGACTAGCCCTTCAGTTGTCAATCCATCTTGTTTGCTATCATAATTAGGAGTCGATAACGAAGCAACCGAAATGATAAACAATTACATATATAAATATTCGCCATAGGTTTGACTTATAGATTTGACACATCTCCGATTCTGAAAACTGTAGAAGGTTCCAGTTTGAACCAGGGTATAGGTCCCTGATCAAACCTCTTTGACAGGTAATTAGTTTATTAGATAATTACCATAGTACAAAAATTATGAAAATATGTTTCGGTCAACAATTAACTGTATCACATGAAACATGAATTTTCGGTTACGTGATAATACCGATAATGAGCTGATTGTTTAATTTACCAATAACCTGGCAAACGAGTTAATAAAAAGTTGTCAAGGATAAAGTATTTGGCCGTCAAGAGATACATATCCTGGCCCAAACCGAAACCTTCTAAGATATTTAGAACCGGAGATACAGGGTGGCCCAGAAGTAACTGCCCACACGCAACCCTTTAATAACTCACGTAATTCTTCTTAGAATTGCACAGAAATTTAGATACGTGATCTCGGCACTTAATCAGCGATTTCGTCACCCAATCAGTAATCTCATCGGGAGCTATTCGCTAGCGAGCAACAATGAGCATCATTAGGCGGTAACGAGCATGTTGGTGGATGACGATCTGATCACTTGGAGTGATTACTGATAGTGACGTTCCTTAAAACCGAAGAAATTTGCGCTTCGGTTGCTGTCCTAAAAGCAGTCTCCAACCAATCAAGGCATTGATTGAGCGAAGATATCACTGATTAAGTGCTGGATCACGTATCTGCAAGATCTTAAAAGGGTCATAACTCGGTTAAATTGTGAACAACTAACTTGCAATTTTGGGAAAGCACTTCAATTATCAAAACAAATATGTCTAGAAACTTTGAAGTTCCTAGCTGAAAGCGTTCTCACTTTATGGTGACAATAGCGAAAAATAGGGATTGGCGTGCCACATCCACTGTAATTAATTAAATTTGACGAAACTTTCAGGAAATCTAAGTTTGACCCATATCTATAATCTCTGAAATTTCTGTGCAATTCTAAGAAGAATAACGTGAGTTATTAAAGGGTTGCGTGTGGGCAGTTACTTCTGGGCCACCCTGTAAATATCAAAATCATCAAGAGCTGAGCAAGAGTTTAGCAATTGCTAATTGCTAGGCCATGAATGCCGATATTGTTATGAACAGATATATAAAAAAGCAAACTTTTCAGCTGAAGATACGAATATTAATTACTAAAGGCACTTACAAAAAAAGAATTTCACAAAAACCCCAATATCAACCATAGTGAAACTTCTAGCTACAGACCAGTTTAACTCGATTTTTCAAAAAGCTGAACGTTCGTCGAAAATAATTTGGTCCAAAGTTAGATGTTCAATATGATACTTAATATTATTGCCAAACCTAGAGGTCTATATTTCTATTTTGGTCCACTAGTAGCTGCAGTCTGGTGTTTAACTGTAAAGAGAGAGCGTGAAATATAATCAATTTAGATATGTACGTATTTTTACTTTTTAACATCAGTATAACCATATAACGAATTCAATAATAAATGTACAAACGTAACAGTTCAAATCAAACAAACACATCAGTGGTTTGAGACCACACATCAACAGCTATATCTTTTATAAACGACTTTATTTTGGCAATCGATCAGTGGCGTAACGAAGGGCCCTGCTGACCCCGCTGTGCAGGGGGGCGCCGTCTTAGAGGGGCGCCAAATCGTCGTTTGAATGTGGGACAATTTCGAAAACTTAACTAAAGTACTAGCAAAACTGCGCGTTTTGCTCTAGATACACACTTTTTTAGAGATTTTACCGGCGTATCCTCTAAAATCACCTAATTTGTTCAATTTTAAGGAGGGGCACTAAAAGGGGAGGGGGCGCCAACAGGGGGGCGCCTTTTCGGCAGGGGGGCGCCAACAGGCAACGTTACGCCACTGCAATCGATACTGCAACATGATCTATTTCAGAAGTTTTCGCGGGAAAGTATTTTAAAAACGCATATGTTCATGTTATTTGAACAGCAGTTAATATTAAAGTCACTATTGTGACGGTACATTAGAACTAAAATATAAAGTTTGACTGTATTTATTATAAAGTTTCGTGCCACGGTATTTGCACCAGTTTAACGCGAGATCGAGAAATTAAAAAGCAAGCAGCAGTCCCAGTTTTCAAATATCGCTAGCTGGCGCATCTGTTTAGAAAGTGAGAAAGTTGAAGGGAGGGGTATATTGCTCGTCTGGTAATATCATCGCGGGTCTCCTTCAATGACATCATCATCATGATTACTTCTAACAGCCTGGCTAGCTACTTTTAGAACCAGTTGTAACTCACTCTTGTCAATTCTACCGTTACCATCTGAGAGGGTCAATGATATTTTATTAAACGGTTGTTTGGTTCAATCTAGAAATTAGAGTAAATCGTGAACTTGCTAATATTACATCGAGATTCAAAGATTAATAGATCTAGATGGGTAGTTCACCCTAACTCGAAAATCAAATGATTATATCAACCTGAATCGCAGACGGCTAGAACTGCTTTTCTCACTCGCTGTAGCTCGAGAGCACTAATTTCTCCACCATTCCTTCTCATCATATCACTGATGAGAGCAAAAAGAGCAGATTCACTGTCTATGAAACCTCGACCGCTCTTATCGTAGTGATTGAACAGCATGTCAAACTCTTCAATTCCCATAACGTCAACATGTGACAACTGAAGAGCATTTCGATTAGTTCTGAAACTAATGAATATGTTTTCTAATGTTTTATTCTGTGGTCTATAGTTCGAAGGATCGAATAAATTAATGACGATTAAATTAAGTACGCTTAAAGATAAGATACCACGCACAGTTCCAAATATAGAATCCTCGACGTCCAAAATAGTGTAGAGCTCATTCATTGACAGTTGCCCATCGTTGTTTGTATCGTAAGTCATGAAAAGTTGTTGAACAGCTTGATTTACTACTTCATTCGGTACACAGCCTTTTTCTGAGAACTATGGTTATAATACTCATTGAATCAGTATAGTGAGTAGTCAGTAGTATAGAATTAATAACGCAACAACCGTTCATTGATAAAATCATTAATTTTGTGAGATGAAGTTTAAAGCGGCCTTTGATTTTGGAATACTGTGTGGCTTTAGCCACCTTTGCATGGCATCGTTCCTAACAAGTAATAAGGAAAATGAGGCAGCCAAAGCAATACAAAAATAATGAATTAAAAGAAATAGTTTAAAATGAGATAAAATCAAAACGTGACTTACAGTTAAAATTTCATTCGTTCTACTTGTTTGAAATTAGAGTCTTCGCTATTCAGATGGTCTACACGAGGGTTTTTAATCGTCGAATTCACTGTTTTATTACAAGCAAATTCGTAAAAATTGGTGGACGCGCACTAATTTCTGTCACAGTAAGTTGCGAATGGCATAAATTTTCATATACAAAACGTTCCGCGCCCTCCAAAAAACAATCGTTATGTGCAGAATTGTGGGCGAATGTTGCCTCAGTTCAGATGCAAAATTAGCGCAAAAGTTAAGTCCGTGCACCAATGCTACAATTTCGCCAGAACACCTCTAACCTGCAGTCTGATGAGATTTTGGAGCTGATAAAAGTTTTTCGACAACCAAATATTGAACAGATAAACTTTAATAGTCCAGGCGAGCAATTTACCGACATGGATCAAATATGAGTTATAAGATTCCTGCAATACATTGTTACAGTTTCGAATTCGAACCCGGACCTTCTTGCATGATGGCTGTTGCCAATGGGGCGACATTTGCTTACAATTCTGAGAAATAAACCGGGGCGACATTCTTAAAATTTCGCTTACAATTTTGCTAGAACACCTCCTGTTCTAGTACAGTAGATGTTTTCTTCTCAGAATTGTAATTATGTCGCATACAAATTTGATCCAAAATATCGCAAAAGTTAGGTGCGTGCGGGAATTCCGGGATTTGCATCGATAAATAATACTGTTCGGAGAAGACTACCCGGAGAAGGCCTTGTATTGTATATTATTTATGGTTCCTGAAAACTAGATATTAGCTGGAATGATCACACATATTGATTGGAAATTTACCTTTAATAAACAGGTAACAAATGGTGTTTTATTGAGAGAAGGTTCCCCAAGACAGCCTCTGATAGACCCTCATCGCTCAGGATATACTGACATAGTGCATACTGCATATGTATCATTATTAGGCTTGGGCGCCATGCCACAAGAAGAAGATGATATGGAAGTCCGGTAATGGTAGAGATCTCAAGGTACTGTTCCAGGCTACAGTTGAGTCCATCCTTCTATATGGCTCTGAACCATGGACTATCAGCCAGACCCCCGCAAAGCGTATAGATGGATGTTATACAAAAATGCTGAGGATGGAACTGGACATAAACTGGACAGAGCGGCCAATTAACGTGTATTGACACTTTAGAGCATCCGTCATCTCGCCGAGCACCTTAATAATGCACTGTTCGTTACCTGTTTATTTAAGGTAAACTATCAATCAATATGTGTAATCATTTGATTTAATCTGTTATTATATGGTTTGCAGGAACCATTTATTAATTTAATAAAACAAACATTTCCAGATAACTCCGTTTATCATTCTGTATGAACGAGGCCTTCTCCGGACAAGGCCTTCTTCGGACAGTCTTTACTCTTCTCTAGCTGAAGTCCTAACAGTATAATTCATCAAATTCGATGTAAATTTCCGCACGCACCTAACTCTTTCGTTATTTTGGATCCAATTTGTTCGCGACATAATTACAATTCTGAAATTAAACCTCCCGCGACATTAGCGCAACATACTTACAATCTCGCTTACAATTTGCTAAAACACCTCCTCGTGCAGTAACTTAGAATACTTATATAGATAGATATTCTTCTAGAAAATAGCTTAAATAATTCAAATTTTTATTAAAATATTTATGATGATGTTTGTGTCACTAGGGGTAGTTCACATATTACGTAATCAATATTTTAGCAATTTTTACCCCCCTCAGCTTCCCCTTCCGTAATCAACCGTAATCAAGACCCAATCCCCCCGGCCTCCGGCCCCTCCTGACAGCAATATTACGTAATCATAGCCTGACCCCCCCCCCCTTGAATTTTTTCCCTAGAAAACACTTTTATCTACGTTTCATGCTACCCTGATCATGCTATCATGATGTGCCGAAATCATTGTTATGATATCCGGCCAAGCACCTTCTAAACTACTTACTATTATAACCGGATATTCGATCAATTTCTAAATTTTATCACTATCAGAGTGAAATTGAGTGAAATTTGAATTAAAATATTGTCAAATTGTTATTATTCTATTATTAAATCAAAGTTCTAAACAAGGGATAGTTAAAAAACAACGCCCAAGTCTAATCTTTCCCTAAAACGAAAACTAAAAATCAAAAACTTCATTGCAATTCCCGCCAATATCTCTTGTCATACGCTAAATTACGGAGATAATGCAGGTCAAAGATATTATTCAAATAAATATTTCTTTTACATAAATCATGCACAATCAGCGAGAATAGATTGCTTTGAGGTCTTCCTCTTCTCCCTGGTAAGTCCAGTGTATTGATGGCAAAAATGAGGGAAGAAAACGCTGGTCCGTCAAAAGGACCCCGCAAAACATGTCCTAACATTCTCCACCGACTACGGGCCACTTTTTCTGACAATGGTTCAGCATTGCAGCATTTATACAAGTTTTTGTTGGAGATGACTCCTGGGTACTTTATATTCAAAATAGTGCGAAGATGTCTGCGGTGAACAACATCTAGTTTTTCAAGGAATATTTTGGGGACGGCCCAACAGGATGAGTTGTACATAAGAACCGATACGACTAAAGCATTGTACAGTATTAGACGTTTGTTATTATTCTAGAGGGTAAAAATTTCCACCCGGAAATTTACATCGAATTCGAGGTACATGAGTCATGAAAAGACAATCACCTAGCCTTATATGTAATTACTGTGGCCCCTCGAATGAGAAGTAAGAGCACAAGATACTATGGCCTCTCGAATGAGAAGTAAGAGCACAAGATACGGGTATGTGACCTATGTGACATAGGTCGGGTATTATGAACTAATGAACTCTCAACTGCACGTATAATAAACTCGGTTTTTCTAATTAGAGCTATAGGAAACCTATCTTAGATCAACAAAAAATGAGTAAAATCTTAGTAAGATGTTGTACCACGCACTTTAGAATAATAAAGCATGATAAAATACGGTGTCGTGTACGTAAAAATAGTATGGTTTGAATTGATAGCTGTAGTTATTATCAGAAGGATTGCAGTTATGCTGGTCATTGCACATCGTGAATCGTGATTTTGGTTGTACTCCATCTTTGAGAAGGCAGAATATTGAGTCATGTACCAGATTAAGATATAAAAGCTATTCCGATCAAAGTGCAAACATTTAGCGCCAACAAGTCGTCTTTTGATAATCATAGAGATAGATGGAATGGAGTCTGCCGTCAATCATCCTAGAATTTTTATTATATAATGTTATGCTATTTTTGTTGAAAATGAGTGCTGAGTAAAATATTTCAGAATTTAGATCAGTCATTTCAGTGATCCGATTTTGGGAATTCAGGTGGCGTAGGTTTTCAACAAAATGATACCAAATTTGGAGAAAATTTGAGTTGAAATGATAAGAATGCTGGATCGTTATATCAGCTCATCCCTCGCCCTTGATCCACATCATCCAAACACGTGACATTGATATAGAAATGGGCCACAGTATCTCAAATAGTTTACATTCCAATGATTGAACCCCACAGTTCTAGGAGAATCACATGATCATACCTATACCCATAGTGTTGACTGTTGTGAAGTAACCTATATAAGGCTGATTAGAGTCAGGATACTCATATATTTTTGTATCCCCTGATCTTTAGCTCGTCGTTTTTCGAGTTAAGAACGCCTTGGCTTCGCGTATTGTTTGAAAATTTACATTCAAGTTTTTTGTTGAAATCACTAACAATCTATTTCTAAAAATTAACATTTTTTCGATTAATTTTATAACTTTAATTGTTCATATCTGCATAGTAGATAGGAAGGCGGTGAAATCTTATAGAATCAGCTTTCTTAAACAACATTCATATCACAACATTTATTTTTAAGAGTATTATGCTTTTTATCTGTAATATCGTTCATAATTTTAAGTGCTCTTCCTTTTTATAATTAAGGATTCCTTCGCGACAGACTAATGGCACAATTAGTCTGTTTATTTTGATCACACAAATCATGTTACCACATTATTGTTAGCTCAGTCTAAAGATGAAGCGAGTCCTCCTTGGAATACTCGCCCTCCTCCTGCTTAAAGCCACTAATGCTGACTCTAATGCTGACTTACGCCGTTACAATGCTCTTAAATTTGGGCAAACAGACCAAGATTATATCATATATAAGCCAGACATGCGGCCCTCCCAAACAGCGCTTACAGTGTGCGCGTGGATCAGGAGGTTGAGAAGCACAACTAGACCAGTTTGGTTCTCCTACGCGACAAGCAGCCAAGCAAAAGAGATCCAGATAACGGATGACGGTTATCAATTCTTCATGTTCGGCGACCTCTCTGATCTGCGCAGTGTCTACACTGTTTCTCAAGGAACATGGTTCCACAACTGTCTCGCTTGGGATTCTGCTAGCCAAACTCGAAACCTGTATATAAACGGAGTACTGGTGGACAGTAAAGCAACACCTGCTGGAAGAACTCTAGGACAAGATGGGTATCTGGTGCTGGGTAACGAGCAAGACGGCCCTGGAACAGGGATGGATTCTGGCGATATCTTCGGAGGCGAGTTATATAAGCTTAATGTGTTTAGCAAGAAGTTAAGCCAAAGTGAGGTCCAGGAGATGGCGACGGAAATGTGCTCGGAAGTAGAGGAGACGTACGAGGATGAGAGGAGCATAAAATGGGAGGACATCGTACTGAAGACTAGAAACGGGGACATAACTGAAATTGGAAGTGGATGTCTCACCACGAAGCATCTCAGTGCTATAATTGTGCAGAAAGAGGAAAGGTTGAATAGCACACTTGAAGAACTAGAGCTGATAAAGCAGGAAAAAGAAACCTACAGGAACAACTTGGAGAGCAAAGCAGGGCAACTCAACACAACAGAGGAAGAACTAGCTCAGACAAAGTCCGATCTGAACACAACAGAGGAAGAACTAGCTCAGACAAAATCTGATCTGAACACAACCGAGGAAGAACTAGCTCAGACAAAGTCCGATCTGAACACAACCGAGGAAGAACTAGCTCAGACAAAATCCGATCTGAACACAACCGAGGAAGAACTAGCTCAGACAAAATCCGATCTGAACACAACCGAGGAAGAACTAGCTCAGACAAAATCCGATCTGAACACAACCGAGGAAGAACTAGCTCAGATAAAGTCCGATCTGAACAACAAAGAACAGCAACTCAACACAACCGAGGAGGAGCTGAACAGCACAACTGCAGCTCTAAATAAGACCCAAACCGAGCTTGAACGTGTTAAAGAATTACTGGAAAAAGCCGCTAATGCTACTCAAGACTGTCCTCTCAACTCGACTGTGACTAGCTATTGGGATCTGCTGTATTCCGATGAGTTTCTCGGTGGGATTGTTACCACAGAGAAACTTGAAGTCCTTCGCAAGGGCATAAGCAAGCTAGGTAATTGCATAATATGTTTTTCGTACGTGTATTATTTTATTTCGGGCGATCCACGATTGAAATATCCTCAAAGATTTTCATCCAAGCAGCACAATATAGTTTCATATAATCAACAAATTTACATTTTCAGAGTACTTTGAGGGAATCAGGATAACGGAGGGTGTAATCAGGTTCTTGAAGCTGTTCCACGACGGTGAAGATCAGTGTAACAACTAACAAATGACAGGTACAGTTTTGTCAACTTATTGATCAAGATGTATTGATTTCAACTTAGATTAGACACAAATATTAGTCATTTTTATCAGTAGCACGAATTGTCCTTTAATCTGACCACCATCGGCTAGGTTATGAGCCAAACATCAACTTTAGGTCAACATTGTGTTAACACATACATTTAGATCAAACCATGATTTCAGGTCTAAATGGAGCTAGCAAGAGACGGGAAGCAAGTGACGCGACGATCGACACGAGGGACATGAATGGAGATATCAGTTAGACAAACTAGAGGTGCTCACACTGATTGAATTTGAGGAAATAAAATAGCCGAACATTGTATTGTATTTGAAGCTTGAACTGATATAATTTGTGAATTGTTTTCAAAAACGATAAAATTAGACAATAAACATTTTGGTTAATTAATGCCGTATCTTTATTGTTAGAACCTGATAACTCTTTTTTTTTTGTTAAGCTGTTTTTATTACTACATTTAACGTTAAGTTTTAAATTTTGGTTACTGTATTCAACAATTTCATAATCGATTTAGCCATTTTTGGTGCTATCTACTGTGTTTCACTTTTGAACATATTCGATAAGAGTGAAAATAACATATTTAATACGACGGCACGTATAGTTCTCTCTCTATCTTCCCTCTTGATTTCCGTTAAGGGGGCAGGGGGGGGTCTTTATGAAATTTCTCTCAAAATTGATTTTATAGTTGTTTCTAATAGAGGGGAGTGATATCTATCTGCTACTTTTGGTCCCATGGAAAAATTTTGTTCCTAGCCGAAATTATTGCCGGTCAAAGGTCAGCGCGCCGCTCATGTGTAATTGTATTGCGCGAGCGATTTTCAATCGCGCGCCCTGAAAATCGAGTCTAAAAATCTATCTCCTCCTACATTTTTTGAGCAATCACCTTGAAACTTTCAGGATATGTTCTAAGGACCATTTAGAAACTTTTGCTCTTTTTAGAATTTCGAGATAGGCCTTTACAAAATTTTTATTTGATTTTGAAAATCTTGGACCTGAAAAAATCGTCAAAAAACGAGGTTCAAGATTTTCAAAATCGAATAAAAAATTTTTAAAGGCCTATTTCGAAATTCTAAAAAGAGTAAAAGTTTCTAAATGGTCCTTAGAACATATCCTGAAAGTTTCAAGGTGATTGCTCAAAAAATGTAGGAGAAGATAGATTTTTAGACTCGATTTTCAGGGCGCGTGATTGAAAATCGCTCGCGCAATACAATTACACATGAGCGCTGACCTTTGACCGGCAATAATTTCGGCTAGGAAAAATTTTTTTCCATGGGACCAAAAATATCTGGTAGATATCACTCCCCTCTATCAGAAACAACTATAAAATCAATTTCGAGAGAAATTTCATAAAGACCCCCCCTGCCCCCTTAATTGAGAGCCACCTTATATAATAATACAAATTGCCGAATGACGTCACTGTTGCTGTATCATTGGACCCCAAATTGTTTGATGTTTACCAACACTGAATCGCGATGCCTTTTAGCATGCTCACGAATTATTGATAATGACGTTTGTCACGGAGTTCTACTTGAAGTGATGCTTCGATGTAAGTCATATGAAATATTAATCCCAGCCTATATATATATATTAATATATCATATTATTATCTATCATGTGATTTCTAGCACACGCAAAGACAATGTGGGAAGGAGGATCGTTGGGTGCCCGCAAAACGACGGTTAACTCCGCATATGCCGTGCCGAGGTCGTGACTCCATTTCTAACACAAAAATGGAGGTAAGCCCGGGACCACAGTGCTAGTACACTACTGAAGAAGACCAAAGAATCGAGATAACTGTGTCTCTTCGAGTTCCTACACTAGTCAAAGACTCTCTACACTATGTATTACAGCTGCAGAACGAGGAAACCATCATTACAATTTGTTCTCGTCCCAGACTCAAACGGACTAATATTTATAAACTGAGACTACCTTTGCAACATCTACTTTCATCATCATTGCTCTGTCATGTGTTTTGAATACCTCAAAACATCTGTGCTAAAAATAGCGTGCATTTAAGTAAATTGTATTGCTTGTCACACAACTACTACTTCAGGTAGTTTAAACGTAACAGATCACTTACACTACGTCACCAAAAATACACCTTACTAAAATCTGTATGGTCATCTGTGGCATCTTTCTAAGTTTCATGAAGAATGTAACTTTTAAAATCATAAGCAACGACAGAGTATGATAGTCAACACCTGCTTTAATTATTGTGCACTAGATTGAGGTCAATTGGTCAAGCAGATCACGGTTATACTTGACAAAGCAGATTTCACTTAAGTATACTCATGCTGTTTTCTAGTTCAAATTAAGATACTATTAAAGTCATTAAAACTCACTCTTTTTGAAAAGGTCTGTAAGGAATGCGGTCACTTCATCTTGTTCCATAAAACCAGACCTGGAATAACAAAATTATATATTTCAATTGCCTTCATGAATCTGAATATTTTATCTCCGGTGGCCCCGGAGATATGTCCGACCAAGACTAATATAGGGCCACTGACTCAAAAGGGCCGATAGATATGAGGTTAATGAATAAACCAATAAAACATCCTACCAGATGAGGTTCATAATTTCCCCTTGTGATTCTTCATTACAGCTTTTAAAACAGGCCAAAAGAAAAGTTTAAATTTGTGATCAAATTTCACCTCCGATTTTGTCTCACTGATTGCCAACTAAATAATAACAGACGTAATTGAGACCACCAAGGTTTTAACTTTCAACTATCATCTTACTGAGCTATCTATCTTAATTATTGTTATACAGTTGTGACTGTTTGATATTCAAAATGTCTGGGGTTCGTGGAGAGAGAACGTCGCGTTTGACAACATTCCGAAGAAATAGGAGAATAGTTTGATTAAGTTGTTCGATTTAAAGAGCTTGATTTATTATCAATATCCAGTGCACATATTTGCATCCCCACGATCTTTTAATTTCTTCAGTTAACATGCAGGAATTAAGCAATAATATTATTAATACTGCGACTGTTAACACAAAATCTCTGTCATGTGCTCGATATTTATTTAATATTAAGTAATTCGATCATTGCACAGTTTAACTAATTATTTATTATTATTATCACAGTTTTGCAATAAACATTTGTTTCATGAATAATTTAAATATATCGAAACAGAAGCATCTGATACTTTGTGATGGGTGAAGAGCCACTGAAACAATATCGAAATCACTGATTAATATGATTTAGGGTGAGATATAATGTAAACATTATCACGAAGAATTCTTTCTGAATCCTTCGTATCTAGCACTCTTTACTTAACACGTCATCTAACCCTAAATGTGTAAGATTTAATGTTATCTATCTATTCCAGTTTCACCTGTCACTGTCGTAGTGCATCCAGATCTCTATAAAATCGGTACTGTGGATTTTTCCTTCAAGAGCAAAGTCAGTTAAAAAGTTATGATCCGTCCTGAAACGAAATAATAAATTTCATAATCGAGTTAATCGAGATCCAGACAGTAGTAAAATATGGATATTTAATGTAACATACATAATTTAATGCAGCTTCTCAGATTATGAAGAAATAAATAAAATAAAATCATGCTTAGAGATAATTTGTCGCAACTTTTGTAAACTTACATCGTGAACAGAGGGATTTGTTGAGACTTTCCAAGCTTTGCCTTTGCTACTAAGGTGTTTGAATTTAGTAATATTGCATTGACGTATCATTTTAGAAAAGTATTCTTGACTATGATACATTGCATATAATATACAGGGTATTCTTGAATTGAGCTAAATTGTAATGCAGCATGTTTGGCCAAGAAATTACACTTGTCCTGAAAAGATGGAAGCTCTAGCTTTTCAGATGACCGAGATATCAAGCAAAACAAGTTTATTCATTACGTGGGATCAGGGGAATCATGCAGGTCGCAGGAGCCTTATTAAGGCGTCCTATCAACCAATCAATTAATGATCAACCAATAAATTTTGCTTTAAACGAGATATACAAACTACTTGATCACTTTGTCATAATTTTAATTCCGTTCTGCATAATGTTTTCATATCATGTTCCACATCTAATATATTTATGCAAAATTTGAGTTTCTTGGTGACTTGGACTATCGACAATTTTTGTTGTTGAGAAAATACAGTTTTACTAAGCTTGAAGTAGTATTTATTTTCTGAACGCAAGAAAGAAATCAACCTTCAACCTTTTTATTAACTTATTTTGACATGACTGTTCCTGAGTCCTGATCTAAAATTGCACAAGAAGTCAATCAAATTAGGTTTCAGAACCCATAAACTAGATTATCCCTCAATTATGTTTACAGTGTAGTAGAAGTTTAACTAATATCAAGAATATCCAGAAGTCTTTTCTCCCAGAGCAAGTTATTACATATTGGAACAAACTCCCTCCGGACGTCAAGAACTCTGTGACAGTTTTAGGCTTTAAAATTAAATCAGAAAGATATGATTTCTTAAAGTAAAAATAATTGCTTTTTTTGGAATGTTTCCAATGAAGTTTTAGTAAGAATTGAGGGAGCCTGTTATGTCAGTAATAAAGAGAAACACAACAATTATCTTTGGTTTCATCCTTATGTGGCAAAGAAGCATTTTATAAATCTACATTTCACTGGAAAGTTTGATTAGGTTTTTAAAATAGGATAATGTTTTGATACATTTTTTAAGATATTGTATTTGATAAATAATTAATGTTGGTGGGGAAATATTTACTATAATATATTTTATCACATAGTGTGATGATATTTTGTAGACATGTGTGATGATGTGATGTCATAAATTTTACTTTACTTTATTAAAGTCAATACAAGCAACAATCAACATATATTTTGATCCTTTGGTTCAACCTATGACCTACGCCAGGGGGTTTAAGTAGAGCTGAGTCGTGCGGTAGACAAACTGAAACATATTTATATATTAGATCTATATATTTATTTGGTTGGACACACAGAAAGTAAACACACAAGGTTCCGGTTGAAATCTTCGTAGAAAAACTACATCATGAGATCTGAATATACGTAAGTCAGATAACTTTTATGAACTAAAACAGACCAATGTCTGAAAGTCGCCAAAACAGGGAATCGAAATTCAAATGGGGAAAATCATGTACAAAGGATCAGAACTCAATATTAAAATGCAGTAACAACACATAGAAACATGAAGATGAAACTGTTATCACTGTTCACACCTTTCTCTCTCTTTCGTGACAGAATACTTCTAACCGTGTTTACCCTTTCTAGCAATGACTACCAAAGAAGGTTAACCGATTGGACTGGGGAGGAGTGGAACATTGGCAGCACACTACCGTCCAATCGGTAAGTATTTACAATGTTTAGTTATTAGGTATATATTTGGAATTGGTTTAATTTGGTTGTAAAGTTATTCTATTATGTAATAAAGTATTGTGTTTTACAGGTTTTGTACATACGACAATTACTGGTTTTAATTGGTCAACTTAGAGTCATCTAACAGTGATAGCAGGAAGCAGGACGATCTACCCAACGACCTAACAACTGTGGAACTTTTGTTTTCTTTTGAGAGACATTGAGAGACACTTTGGGAGTTTTTTTAGTCAAACTGTAATCATGAGTCTTCGTGAGATACCTGTGTTAGACGATAGCGCTGACTACAGCACGTGGAAGAAAAAAGTGCTTATATGGCAGCTTGGAACCGGAGCATCAGTGAAACAGCAAGCAAGTAAACTTATCATGAACATGAATGGGAAACCACAGGAGGTTTCTATAAACATACCAATAAAGGTTCTAGGAGCTGAAGATGGAGTTGATAAACTCATTGCTGAACTGGACAAACTGTACAAGAAGGACGGTACTCAGTCTTTATTTAAGGCAATAGACGACTTTGAGAGATATAGAAGAGGAGATGGAGAAGATATCGACAACTACATCTTGGAATTCCAGCGGAGGTATCAGATCCTTAAACAGCTGAGAGAAAGCAAAGAGCTCTATGACGATATGATATTAGCATATAGACTGTTAAATCAGGCTAGCCTAAACGATGAACAGGCCAGATTAGTTAGAGCTACTTGTACTAGTACATTATCTTATAACTTGATGCAAGAACAGTTAAAAAGGACATTCGGAGATGGATTTACAAGGAATGAGAATCAATCCAGTCTGCCTTTCAAAAGTACTCCAATGGAGGTGGTAAAGCAGGAACCCGTCTTTCTAACTGAGGATCAGCAAATGGGGTCTGACGTGCACTGGACCAGAAATGGGGATCATCAAAGAAACTTCACTGGTCAACCTATGAGAGGGGAAAACAGATATAACCCTTACGGTCAGAATAGAGGGCAGTCTAGATTCAACCCATATGCACAGAAACGAGGACAAAAGTCTTACATGAGGGGGAGCAGTAACCAAAGGATCAGTTGTTTTATATGCCATCAACCAGGTCATGTTGTCGCTGAGTGTTCTTTTAACACATTCGCTAAATCTCATCAAAAACAAGATGATGAGTCTCGCAGAAAGGTCTACGCTTTATTTGAATCAGATTTTTCACTTCCAGATTGCGAAGAAGAGATAATTTACTTAACAGGTGAATGTACGAACAAAGCGTTGATAGATACAGGGGCATGTGCAACCATCTGTGGAAAGGAGTGGTTTACGGTGTATGAAAGCTCTTTGACTACAGAAGAGAGGAAACTGATACAGACTGAGACTACTGAAAGGACATTTCGATTTGGAGATGGTAAGCCAGTGAAGTCGATTGCTTTGAAAACTATACCTATTAACCTTTGCAACAAAGATATGTTTTTGAAAACATACGTGGTGACGAACGATATTCCTCTTTTGCTAGCGAAGCAAACCATGACGAAAATGGGTATGGTACTAGACATGGAAAATATGACCCTAAAAATAAAAGACAGCAAAACACTGGAGAAGTTGCGGAGTACAAAATCGGGTCATGTAGCTGTGCCGATTGCACGTTGTGGAGATGGGCAAGAAAGTGGAGTAACTTATCAAGTGTCTGAAGAGCAAGACTGTGGAAAAACTGCTGACTTTTATCACCGTTACTACGCTCATGCATCAGCTGCAAAGATAGGTAAAGTCATCAAAAACGCAAAGTTGAAAGATGGTAATAAGATCATAGAGGAGCTTGAGAAGATTGATCAAACATGTGATTTTTGCTTGAAGTACAAGACTAGATCTATTCCGAAGAGGAAAGTGGGAATCCCTCAAGCTTCTATTTTTAATGAAGTCGTTGCTATGGACCTAAAAATTATAAATGATGAGGTGACTTTACTACATATGGTTGATACCGTAACAAGGTATTCTGTGGCAGCTCGAGTGATCAGCAAGGAAGCTCAAGAAATACTTGATAAGGTATTTAAGCATTGGATATCCATATTTGGACCACCATCGACCTTCATATCAGATAATGGAGGAGAATTTGTAAATGATTGTTTTAACCAAGCTTGCTCAGTACTGAACATCAAGATTCAGACATCGCCAGCGTATTCACCTTGGTGCAATGGGATTGTAGAACGACACAACGGCATCTTGGGATGCATGATAAAATCTTTGTTAGAAGAAATGAGATGTGATCCTGAAATTGCTATAGCGTGGTCTGTTAGTGCTAAAAATTCTCTCAGTAATACATACGGATTCAGCCCTCACCAACTAGTATTCGGAACAAACCCAAGGGTTCCTGGAATCATGGAAGAAAATATGACTCCTGGAACATTAAACCACGAAGGTGTCCTCAAAATAGTCAGTGATCACCTCAACGCTCTCTCTTTGGCTAGACTGAAGTTTGTTGAATTAGAAGCTAACGACAAGCTCAAGAGAGCACTCCAACAGAGGATATTTACGCAAGCTAACTATAGATATTGCAGTGGTGATCTCGTGTACTTCAAGAGAAGTAAAAAGTTCTGGTATGGACCAGCAACAGTAATAGGACAGGTTGCTAATCAAGTTCTGATCAAGCACGGGGGTCACATCGTGAGAGTGCATCCGTGTAAAGTGGTTCTTAAATCTAGAGCAAAAGAACAAATTGAAGGAAGTGGTGCAACCTTGCAGGGCCAGGGGAATGTTGGTAAGCCTATTATAATCTCCGAGTCGGTTTATCGAGCAGCAGTGGAGGAAGTTAGGCCTGGGGAAAATAGAAGTCTATAGAGTTTGATGATATAGCAGTATTCTGTCACGAAAGAGAGAGAAAGGTGTGAACAGTAATAACAGAAACTATATAAATATGAAATCATCTAACAACTACGGATGATGATTAATCACTCTACACTCGACTGTCACGTGACTTTTTAAACACGTTCTCATGGTGGCCCTGAATGACTACACACACATAATATAGCAATGACCCTATATACAAATTCTGTAAAAATGGTACAAATTTAAACTTCCGTATATGGTCATATCACGTGATCGACACAGTTTTTCGCCAATATCTTGCTAGGGGATCATTTTAACCCTATGTCATGGGGGGTGATTCGGAATCAGCGTCCGAAAATACATCGATGGAAGTTGGTCTCAACTTTTAGAAAAATTTCGAAGATCGACTGTAGAGTAATTTAGCACGCTCGAACAACTACTATCCTATTTGAGCCCCAAATCTTAGTCCTAAATTTATCAATCAATCTGGCCTCTTCTCAGTGGCGTAACGTTGCCTGTTGGCATCCCCGCCGAAAAAGCGCCCCCGGTTAGCGCCCCCTTCCCTTTTGGTGCCCCTCCCTAAAATTGAACAAATTAGGTAATTTTAGAGGATACGCCAGTAAAATTTTTAACAAAGTGTGTATCTAGAGCAAAACGCGCAGTTTTGCTAGTACTTGAGTTAAGTTTTCGAAATTCAAACGACGATTTGGCGCGAAGCAAAGCAACCATCGATGACGATGCAAGAATGCGCGTCGAAGCGGCGAAGTCCTCCAACAACCTTTTCAGATCGCTGCTCTGCGAAGCAGAGCAACGAAGAATGCTAAAATGCGAAGCAAGAATGCGAAGCAAAAATGCGAAGCAAGAATGCTAAAATGCGAAGCAAGAATGCTAAAATGCGAAGCAAGAATGCAAAGCAATTGGAGGAATTCGCCGCTTTGACGCGCCGCGCGAACTAGCATTCTTGCTTTGCATCGTCGTTGTCGTATACAGAGTCCGTTGTCGTAGCTCGTGCCGTGAAGAAAGCGGCGCGCGCTACTTCGAAGAAATTTAGACTAGTAACATCCGTCAATGTCGATGCTATTATATTTTATTAAGAATGAAAAATTTAAGGAAAAAAAATGTTGTTCACCACAAAATAATAAATACATATTGTTATATTTATAAATAAATTCAAATTTCAATTTCAACCACATGCACATATACAGTACGCCGCGCACTTAATTGATGATGTCAATTCATCGCATCTCGGCGTGGCACAGTAGCGCATCTCGCCGAGAAGCCTCATTGAGTGCGCGGCGCGGCACAGTAACGCATTGCGCTACAAGCCGCGCACACAACCACAATTGTTAAGAAATTCTTAGGTGCAGTTGTAGGCGCCGCGCACAGGATTGTTTTTTACAATCACATGTCGCATTTCTTAATTATTAGAGCCAAAATTTCAAAAGCAAAATAATTAAAGCAAAATATTAAATGTTTTATATTGTTCATTATTATCACCTTCAACTGTCACATTTTTTCTATTTCATCACAAATAAGCTTGTACGGCTTCGCATGCATGCGCCCTATCCGCCAGCTGAGCTACATCGATTAGATGATGGGTCGGTAGCATCTGGAAAACATTGAGGATAGGTGGCTTTGTACTTAGAGCTCACACATTCTGTGTATGGTGTAGAAGGTTCCAAGTTCAAATTCTAGTGTCACCTAGTCTAGGGAGTAGCTAAGGATCTATTGGATTTATCCGAAATCACATCTGTGTCGAATGATCGGAAATGTGATTGAGGTTTAAATGAGGAGGGGCCCTGCCAAAAGATCAATGCAATAATATTTTTAGGATATCCACGACCTCTTCAGTACATGTACATCTACATTTTAGTCTACTGTAAACATGATACTATATTATACTATTAACTTGGTTGCATGATGCTGCATTGCAGGGTGGTAATGTTTGAGTTTCATGCCGAGATCATGCGATGAATTTGATGACATGGGAATCATGCAGAGGTTTCTGGTATTCTATCAAATACCATAATTATTAATTACAACATTTTACGTTATGCTAACTAATTCACCTTTACTTGGTTTATATCTTAACAAGGTGACTTTAGTGATAGCCTAAATATATTCAGGCTTGAGTCCTTAAAAGTTTAATATCTATAATTCTTGTCATGATTTCATTTTACAAGGCAAAACAGTCTTGATCGTGAATGATTGTTTGTAAAGTAACAGAGAGCAGGTTTGTGTGTTTGTCGCCTGTCTGGACTCTTGGAGATATGCTATCTGTGGCCATCTGCATCGTGGGCTATATTCTCCGTATGGGGTACATTGTGGCCGCAGTAGATGGACTCTGTATATTTTAGATGGACTCTTGTAGTCATGTAATTTGTATATTTTTATGAATGAACTATATTTGAGTGTGGTAACGACTCCCGGACTCTACTCCCGTCTCAGCTTTCTTGAGACTCTGTAGCATAAATTTAGGAAGCCAGTTAGACAGGACGCCTGCCTGCCGGCACTGAAGAGTGATTACAGAATGAAATAGTTATGTATTAGAAGTTACACTTAGTAAAATTACTCCCATGTCCCATTAAAAACAGGTGCTAATATTAATTAAAATGTCCTACAATTACAATTGACTATGGAGTTATTTAACCGCAGCGGCCATGGGCTTGTGGCTTAGCTCTGGCTGGACCTCATACCCCTTTGGCCACGTCGTTTCCGGTGGGCAGGCGCAGTGTTTGTTGTGCAGTGGTGTTGGAAAAGAATAAAGTTAACTTATTAATCGAATATTATTGATATTTTATGATGATGAATTATGAATTTCGATTAATTTACATTTATTTGGTCTCCAATTATTGAACTGCGGAAGCTGGTTGCCTCAACACTGTGGTATGACTGAATGGTCGAGCTGTGATAATTAAAAGGAAAAGAAATATGACTTATAATTTATGACCATCAACTGAATAATCGTTTAAATTAATAAACATTTAAACACAAACCATCATGTGCCGTTTAGCAGTAGGGTGCGGCTCATTAGGACTACTGGGCCAATTGGCAAAAAGGGGTTTGGAAAAGCCATTATTGGCACTCGAGTCCTTGATCTTGTCGATGGTGCACTGAACCTTTTGAGCTGCGATCCTTAAGCTTCTGTCGATTGAAATTATCATTAATCCAAGTTGAGGGAATCAGCCGTCACGCAGCTTTTATAGTTTAAATCTATGATATGTATAATCTGTAATAAAGATCAAAATTTAAATTTGTATTCCTTAAAATTTGTATTCCTTGAGTTGTTCCTCCATTTAATTATTTTCAAAGGGTTTCTAAACTGCATAAAATTTGCTTTTGATGCCTCTAGGAGTAGGAGGGTATTTCAGAATGGTTTTAGGGCAATATATTTCAAAAAATCTCCGCCACTGGTGATTTTGCCCCTCTGACTTGCGGTCTCCAAGTGATCGCCATTTAGGTGGACACCATGCTGCCCTTTTGCTCCGGACACATGTCAGGGGCCCTGATCATCTTGTCACAGCAAGCACATGGAGAAACCCCCAGAGAATTCATAATAACTTAAACTGATGTGGCAAAAACCTTTTAAAATTCGGTGACAGCCCTATGTCACCTGCCCTGGCTTTATCACCAGGAGAAGGTGGGATCCCGAAGCAAAAGAGTACCAGTTTACCTTACCAAGGACATAATATTTTTATCCAAGCAAAAAATCTGAAGTTGCTATGTGACAAGCCTATGATTCCAGTTTATTTCACAAGAGTATTGAACGCAACATTTAATTCAATTTCGTTTTGAATTGTTCATGTTCGTTAATATTTGTCAATTACCTTGGTATAAAACAATTTAACCTCAATTGATATAAGTTCTGCTATTCATCATGTTGATTTTCTGTTAAAAAAACTACAATATTATTCTGTCATTGTACCAATTTTACCATATCTAGGTAATTCAACATGTCGTCTTCGTCGTACCACATCACCACTCTTCTTGAGAAGGTATGCTATATTTCGGTTACCAGGTTACCAGGTTACCAGGTTACCAGGTTACCAGGTTACCAGGTTACCAGGTACCAGGTTACCAGGTACCACATCACCACTCTTCTTGAGAAGGTATGCTATATTTCGGTTACCAGGTTACCAGGTTACCAGGTTACCAGGTTACCAGGTTACCAGGTTACCAGGTTACCAGGTTACCAGGTTACCAGGTTACCAGGTTGCCATGTTACCAGGTTACCAGGTTACCAGGTTACCAGGTACCAGGTACCACATCACCACTCTTCTTGAGAAGGTATGCTATATTTTGTTTCTTGTAAAAGTTTGATATACATGATTTTGATTTCAATAATGATCTTAGATCAGCAATAATAGTTCCTACACCTACACGACGGTTCACGTAAAACTTTTAATTTTTGCTAATCACAAGTTCAAACCTAGATTAAGTTAAGTCTTTTATTTATCTTAAATTTAACATAAAATCCTGAGATAATGATGCCAATCAGTTACTCGTTTTATATTTCAAGTCCTTGCCAAAATGTGTTCGTCAAAAGTTCACATCTTGTTTTAAACTTGTTGAACATCAAAAGTCTGCAAAAGTGCCTCCTTTTCCAGATGGGTGACGCTGACAAAGACTTTCGATACATGGCACTCACTGATCTAATGAGTGAGCTCCAGAAAGAGAGTCTATCACTTGACAGTGATACTGAAGAAAAGGTATTCATTGGGTTTTAAATAGATTCGTTATGCAATATACAATAATAGCTTCCCTAGCTTTCTTTCTGCTGCTCTTTTAAAATTAAAAATTAAAAATTGAGTATATAATGCTCATAATGCATTCTATATATGAACTTCCAATATTTATTGCCAGTCCACAACTTTTATTCAATTATATATTGGGGAGGTGGTTTGTTCTGACAATGTGGCTGAAATTTAATTTGTTGATAGTTTCAGCTGAATGATTTATTGCTGCAACGTACCAAAACAAATATCCACAACCTCTTTACTATTATACTCATATCTCTGAAAACTAGAGTAAACACAGTTTAATGTTTATCCACTAATAAACACTAAAAATTTCAGATATGTGAGCGTCTCCTCGTGCTGTTAGGAGACAAGAACGGTGAAGTCCAGAACTTAGCGGTGAAGTGTCTGGGACCACTGGTGGGCAAGGTGAAAGGAAACAGAGTGGAGAACATTGTGGATGTGCTGGGGAACAACATGCTGAGTCAGAGCGAACAACTCAGGGGCATTTCAACTATGGGTTAGTATTGAGATTTGAGTGGGTACTTTTGATGTGCATTTTGTCCCTCAAACTTCCACATGATTGATATGTGAAGAGGATTAATTACAAAAATGCACGGTTTTCAAGAGCTGGTATTTTGAAGTACCTCAGTGTTTAGAGTATGATGTCACGAAACATTAAAATTATCTGATCACTGATATCATAGAAAGTAGGAAATGTGAATTATGATTTACAATACAACATAATGTGAATTATAATTTACAATACAACATAATACGCCGTCATGTCTTGTGTGGGTAGAATTTAAAATATGCGACTACAAAGTTATAAAATGCTCAGCTTATCAGAGATGATCAGATAATAATATTGTACTTTGATCAGTTAACATATTATGTACAAGCAGCTAACTGTAACGTGTTTTCTCCAACGAAACAATTTAAGTTTCCAGAATTGTAATTTAAGAAGCTCGCACTTATGGGGATCAATACAATCGTGTTACAAATTAATATATAAATAGAAGTGTAAGAGTAGATTGTAATGTAGCTTGGTCATCTCACGTTATTATCCTAATTGGTAATTATGTACATGCATAATACTTAATTAAGTAATTATGTACTTACATTAACATTGTTACTTAGCTACTACACGTGTACTCGATCTATTATTAATTACATTATTTAAATGCATGAAACTATACAATCAATATAATTGATTGTAGATGTGTGAAATCATGGAAGTGAACATTTAAACTCGAGATCTGAAACGTTAACTTTATGATTGGTGTGCCGTGTGGGTGCTGAAACGTTAACTTTATGATTGGTGTGGGTGCTGGAACGTTAACTTTATGATTGATGTGGGTGCTCATTCGTTTGGAGAATGTTAAACATTTCCATCTTTACCACAGCCGGAAAAAGCAGGCCACTGAAACAAAGAATTTACAATACAATTACATTTAAAACTTGCAATTTGAGGTCCAGTTTTTCGTTGCTGTGGAGATTCTGCTTTTATTCTTTCTACCATATATGCAGATATGCCAATCTTAGTTGGATAACCAGATTATATTAGACGGTATTGATATTTCTCACCTCAGGACTGATGATGGTGATCAGTGAGTTACACAGCTCGTCCCTTGCAGCTCCTGTCAGTAGGCGGATATGTAGCAAACTCACTACGGCACTTACCTACCCCAAATTAGAGGTTAGTAATAGCAATGAGTTTATATTATCTTATTTTGTGTTTATCTTGTAATATTCTGATTTTAGTAATCATCTTTTTATTTTAGTAATAATTCTTATTGATTTTAGTTTACTTATATTTAGTAGTAATCTGATTATGGCATTGGATAAAATCAATAGATAGGTTTAGAGTTGTAGATCATTACTGTAAATTACTTCATTTTCTGCTCTCCAGGTACAGATCCAGCTAGAAAGTCTGGACATCATGAGTGAAGTGCTGCACAAGTTCGGTAGTTTAGTCCAGTCACAGCACGACAAGGTTCAAGCAGCTCTACTCCCACTGCTCGCTAATAACCGTGTTGCTGTAAGGAAGAGAACCAGCGTCGCTATAGGTTAGAGTATGTTAGGATTTATTGGTTGCAGGGACTTTGGGTTAAATTAAACCCCAATTAAACGTTAATGATAGTGTTCTCACTTTGTTTTTCTTTCAATTTGTTTTGTTGAGGAAACTGGTTTCTGGTATCACAGCTGAAACTTTCTAATCTTGAAGTTTGTGATTGTACAATAATAAACTGTCTGCAGGGTATTTAGTACAGAACATCAGCAACTCCCTGTTTGAAGAGCTGATAAAGCACGTGATGGATAACCTTGTTAACCCTACTAAAGTCCTTCAGAGCTACATCACCTGTATCAACGTCATCAGGTACACGTTCTTACGGCTCGTTAGTTTTAGAGTTTTTATTTTTCTTGCAATATGCATTTTGTCTTTCTTAAGTCCAATTTATCCAAATATTAGCGCAGTTTTGGGATTCTTTATCAACGATTTATTATCATTTTCAAGTGAAAACTGTAAATTCCATAGTGAATGTAGCGTTATTTTAATAACAACCATACTCTTAGTCGACATGCTGGGCACAGGTTTGGCAACAAACTAAAGATAATAGTTCCTAAAGTAGCAGAGTTTGCTCATTCTGCAGGAGAGAATGATGACCTGAGGGAGTCTGCCATTCAGGTCAGCAGATAATTGTACATTGTACAATGTACACTTTACAATGTGCAATGTACAATGTACACTTTACAATGTGCAATGTAAACTTTACAATGTACAATGTACACTTTACAATGTACAATGTACACTTTACAATGTACAATGTAAACTTTACAATGTACAATGTACACTTTACAATGTACAATGTACAATGTACAATGTACACTGTACACTTTACAATGTACAATGTACAGCACAGTTAATAGGTATACAGTTTTTAAAAGACCGAAGCAGTCAGTTTATCAGCTAACATTTCGTTTGTCAATAGCATGTTCTGGTTATTCATCAAATTTACATATTACACATAAATATGTAACGAATACTTGTTCAGGTTCTAGAGTCGTGTGTACTATGGTGTCCCGGAGAAATGCAGGAGTTTACCGCCCAGATAGTAGACATCTCCCTTACTTACATCACTTACGATCCTAACTATAACTACGACAGTGAGGATGAAGAGGATGAGGAGTATCTGTACGTTTTGAAATATTTCCTTGTGTTTTCTTTGGGCTGACACCACAATTATAATCGCTTATCTTAATTGTGTTTTTATTGTGTTGTTTGAGGAATAATGCTATTTCTAAGTGATGCCTAGCCTCGAGGGTATACATGCTCTTCATTGACGAATGAGACGTAACCTTACAAGTTTTCAGGGTTTAAACTGACTAAACCAGGTTAAAATATTCACATCCCATACATTCACTCAATAGATGTTTTTATTTGTAGTTGTGAAACTAGTTTAAAATTAGCTAGTAGTCGTCAGTATTACATGTATTGTACATTATACTGATACACTCAGGGATGACGAGGACGACTACAGTGATGACGAAGACATGAGTTGGAAAGTTAGAAGGTCTTGCGCTAAGTGCCTCTCTGCTATTGTCCAGGTTATTTATATTTCGTGTTTGAAAAGTTATTCTGTTTTGAAGTTTCAGCAACAAATACAGCACGATTTAAATGAACACTTCCATCCACTCAGTACTCATCCCATTCAATACACCCACAAAATAAAAATATAACCCGTATAACTGCAGGCCCGTCCCGAGCTGCTTTGTGACATCTACACCCACAAAATAACAATATAACCAGTATAACTGCAGGCCCGTCCCGAGCTGCTTTGTGACATCTACACCCGCATATCCCCTGTCCTGATATCCCGGTTTAAGGAGCGGGAGAAGAGTGTCAGACTGGACATTTTCAACACTTACTCCTGTATCCTCCGTCAAACTGCTGCCAGTAAACATGATATAGCCCCTGAGGACGAGATGCAGGATGTCACGTGAGTGGGGGGGGGGGGGGGCCGGGGGGTGTAATTTACTGATTAGTGTTTTGTAATGCTCCGAAATTATAACGAATTAAATTTATTGATCTGTCGATCATGATGTGGTTGTTAGAAATAACTTCTGATCATTTACAATTTTATTTCATAAACTGAACCTGAATGTCTAGTACTTACAATCTATTTTGTATCTACAAATTACACACCCGTCCACCCTTCAGGCCTCTAGCCCAGCTGGCAACACAAGTAGATGCCATTGTACGTGGTCTAGAGAAACAACTGTACGACAAGAACGACAAAACACGACAGAGTTGTTTCTCCCTGTTGGGCGAGCTAGTGACTGTACTGCCTGGCTGTCTTACCTCTTATGTGGATATTCTGCTACCTGCTGTCCACAAGTCTCTTAGGTATGGTACTGGGGGTAACTGGGTGTTATATTATTGCATAATTTATTGTAAATGTAATATATGTTTCAGAATTATGTAATGTAACGCGATGGAAGTATTTTAAGCGGGCATATCCTGTCCAAACCCAGGATACATGACATAAAAGATTCGTTTTAACTTGTTTGCATGAAAAGCATTAATATTAGTGATACTACTACACTTTATACAGTAACTAATTAAGCATTGTTATATGAACAAAACAATAAACTGCTATAATATACCCTCTCCCCCAGTACAAAAGGAGCAAGTTGTTATATAAAGATAAGCTCTCTCTCCTTTCTCCGTACACTTCTCACTCACCACTCTCCTGAAGTGTTCCAGTCTAACCTCCCTGATACACTCTCCTGTGTTATTGGTGCTGTTCAGGACACTTTTTACAAGGTATCATTATTTTCACACAATATAAATAGATGATGGGACCAACTAAGGTTTTGCTTCATTTTTTATATAATTCTATATGCATTCTTTTCAGACCTCATTTTTGCAATGGACATCATTTGTTTATCGATATAATATGATGATCATACAATTCTTGTAACTCTTGTAACTCTTGTTGCTCTTGTTACTCTTGCAACTCTTGTAACTCTTGTTACTCTTGCAACTCTTGTAACTCTTGTTACTCTTGTAACTCTTGTAACTTTTGTAACTCTTGTAACTCTTGTAACTCTTGTTACTCTTGTAACTCTTGCAACTCTTGTAACTCTTGTAACTCTTGTAACTCTTGTTACTCTTGTAACTCTCGCAACTCTTGTAACTCTTGTAACTCTTGTAACTCTTGTTACTCTTGTAACTCTTGCAATTCTTGTAACTCTTGTTACTCTTGTAACTCTTGTTACTCTTGTTACTCTTGCAACTCTTGTAACTCTTGTAACTCTTGTTACTCTTGTAACTCTTGTTACTCTTGTAACTCTTGTTACTCTTGTAACTCTTGTTACTCTTGTAACTCTTGTAACCCTTGTTACTCTTGTTACTCTTGTAACCCTTGTTACTCTTGTAACTCTTGTAACTCTTGTTACTCTTGTAACTCTTGTTACTCTTGTAACCCTTGTTACTCTTGTAAACCTTGTTACTCTTGTAACTCTTGTTACTCTTGTAACTCTTGCAACTCTTGTAACTCTTGTAACTCTTGTAACTCTTGTTACTCTTGTAACTCTTGCAACTCTTGTAACTCTTGTTACTCTTGTTACTCTTGTTACTCTTGCAACTCTTGTAACTCTTGTAACTCTTGTTACTCTTGTAACTCTTGTTACTCTTGTAACTCTTGTAACTCTTGTTACTCTTGTAACTCTTGTAACTCTTGTTACTCTTGTAACAATTGTTACTCTTGTAACCCTTGTTACTCTTGTTACTCTTGTTACTCTTGTAACCCTTGTTACTCTTGTAACTCTTGTAACTCTTGTTACTCTTGTAACTCTTGTTACTCTTGTTACCCTTGTTACTCTTGTAACTCTTGTTACTCTTGTAACTCTTGTTACTCTTGTAACTCTAGTAACTCTTTTTACTCTTGTAACTCTTGTTACTCTTGTAACTCATGTTACTCTTGTAACTCTTGTTACTCTTGTAACTCTTGTTACTCTTGTAACTCTTGTAACTCTTGTTACTCTTGTTACTCTTGTTACTCTTGTAACTCTTGTTACTCTTGTAACTCTTGTAACTCTTGTTACTCTTGTTACTCTTGTTACTCTTGTTACTCTTGTAACCCTTGTTACTCTTGTAACTCTTGTAACTCTTGTTACTCTTGTATAAACTGATGATGCCACCATTAATTCCACAGGTCATATCGGAAGCTCTGCTGGTAAGCGAACAGCTAGTATTTGTAATCAGACCCCCTAACAGTAATAATCCACAAGTATCAGAGCTATGTACCGCTATTTTCAATGCCACGTTGTACAGATTGAAGGAGGCTGATTTAGATCAAGAGGTCAAGGAAAGGGCTATAACTTGCATGTAAGTACTGTACATGAAAAATAACAGAAAAAATAACAAGAAAGCTTTATCAATATGTTTATCATTTTGATGACGATTGTGATTAATTAATAAGATGATATCTGATTAAGACATAAAGATTATCATATCTAATCATTATATACATTAATCAGTATATACTTGTGATTCTCTTTATATTTGTATATCGTTTGTCTCCATTTAAAAGTAAATCTTCTTGCAGGGGACATTTGTTGGCGAATATGGCAGATTTACTGCAGTCGCAACTAGCAATAGCTTTGCCGCTGTTTTTGGACAGACTGAGAAACGAAATTACAAGACTCACAACCGTGAAAGCTCTTAGTGTCATCGCCAAGTAAGTTTGTAATTGTAATTAAAGCCTATAGTTTCAGCAATATACCAGGTTCAGTAATCTACCGGTATTGTTCCGAGTTGGGTCTTCTGCGCCGTGTGTGCCGGTCACATTTTAATTGTTTCTTTACTTTTATTGGAGCAGGTGATAAACTTTTTATTATTAAAAGTTGCATTGCGCGCATCGAGAGCAATTGCTGCACATGCTGCAAATGCGCGTCCTATGAAATGATCTTGATAGCTGATTGACTGTTGATGTTTGAAAACGGTTTTTGCTGGTATTTAGTATATACCCTTTAGGGCATCCAAGTTCAATTAATATATAAAGACAAATCCTATTAGGCACTCAAAATTCATGAAAATCTGCAATCGCCAGGGATTCGTTCTTCAGCAAATAATTTATAATACTCTGCTATTCTTGAATCTTGATAAAATTACATTTGCTGCAGTCGTTCACAATTTTCGGTTACATTATACATATCCTGGTTTTTATGAGTTTTTTCTGGTTTTCTGCTCCTTTTCAGATATATCGAGTGACAATTAGAGCTTGTTATAGCAAAAATGAAGCTCAGTATTACAATGTCTACAAAATGTTTGCCTTGCTCAAAACTTAATAAACTGATTGAGTCCGGCTTCTGCCAGACTTTTCTCCCAAATCGTCTGCAATTCTCTCTGGCTAGCTTCTCATTCAAGAAGCCGAACACTTCTATCTTGCATTGGTTATCACTGCAATTCCACGATTCACTGACAAAAAACGACTTATTATCACACAATCTTAATGTTTATTGATTTATATACTCCAGTTCGACAGGATAACATCATACAATTAACCACGGGCTATAAACTATAGTCTTAATGTCCAATCTCCAGGTTAAAGTTGTATCAAGTACATTCTCACATCTCTTGTGTTTTATCAGATGTGATATAAAATCTCTATAATCCGGTGGTAGTAGCGCTCATTATCCGCATTATCTTCAATTGTGTTACAATAGAGTCTGAGGTCAGCTGAGCACCAACTTGTAGTGACCAATTGTTTCAATCAGCTCCCGTTAAGATTCCATTTACAGAGTTTATCAACAAATGATTGGGATAACAAACTCGCATCACGCAAGTTGATGTGGTAAATATACGTGTCGCTCTAGAGTCCAGATCAGGGCGTAGTCAGGGGAGGGCGGAGGGGGCGTACGCCCCCCTCCTGATAAAGGGAAAGTCCTGCACAAAGCATCATCTTTCAATGTTCATATCATTGGTTTGGTTACATTTTTGACGTTTGGCTGCAGCTTACTGCCTAGCTTCTTACAGGTATGGAGTACTAGTGACACTGATTCTATTTTCTTAATACACCTCAAAATCAGCCTGCTGTTCATTTTTTCACCCTGAATGACTGTTTGACTTTTTGTTACAATGCCATTTACAGGTGCTCTCCGAGTCTAAAATTAACATGAAATTCTGAACATTTTCCGGCGGGCTTCGCTCCCCCGGAACCCTGCCGTAGCTCGATCGGCAGCGCTTCATGCCACCCACTCACACTACAAATCGCCGCCCTGCCAAAAATCCTGGCTACGTCCTTGGTCCAGGTACTCTTGTTCGACAGAGTCAAACTTTAGGGTTTGTTGAGCTACAGTACGTGTACCAAGTTTTGCACACAAATTTAAACCATCCTTTACTCTACTTTTTAACACGACATTTTTGTTCCTTATCAGTCACATAATGTGCTCAGTCTTCAAAGGTTTAAAGTGAACCATGGAAATTGGTCAATTGCAAATTTTTTGCCTGCGACAGTTTTATAGATTGCAGGTGGTCGGCCTGGATTAGGGCTCCAAAGGCAACAGCCGTTGAAATCGATGCTTCTACTTAATTTCCGCCGTTCCTACTTTTTATTACTTTTTATTCCCTCCTACTTGCTCAAAGCCTTGAAACTTGAAAGTTACATCAGTTCTATTTCGTACAAAGCTACAATTTCAAGATTACAGTATCCTCCGTCTCTTCCTGGGCGGCAGTCCGGGTAAGAACCAGAAGGAGAGGGAAGAATATGCAAAAAAGAGACACGGAGATAGGATGAAAAAATTGTTTAATGTAATAGGTGGAATGTTGACAAATATCCTTGCCGATAAGGCTCCCAATGAGTAATTTGCCTGTTACCAAGTTAAAATAATTTCTGTTTAAATTTTTATGTAAATACTTAGCTTCCAGGAAATTTAGCAATGTGTAATGATAATTCTGGATGGATTTTAATTTACCAGGGGCGTAGCGACGGAATGTTCGAAGAATTGACTCACAACAATGAAGTTAAACAAGTTGCAATGAGACCCATTGGGCAAAGCTCCGAAATTTGTTTTGGACAATTGAGTTCTTAGAAATGAAATTTAGGAATCAAAAATGAAATTTTTGTATCAATAAAGGGGAACAGGAGCCGAAGCCCCAAAAATGTCTCTTCAATACAGTGCAGGAATAACATGTCACAAAGATAATTTTGCAGCAACTTCAATAATTCTTTGGAAGACATGTTATCAGGAACATAGAAGTGAGAGTTTTCTTAAAACTTACGCTTTACCTTTTTCTCATAAAATTGTCCTGGTTATGCTATAGGCATATTACGAGAAAGATGCTGGATCCTTTTTGCATAAGTACATATATATTCTAGTGTCATATCCAGTCTGATGAATTTAACGATAGGTATGTTAACACCACAATTAATACTATTATACTACTATATACTTGTCTTATACAGTTACCTGCTTCTTTTACAGATCGTCGCTCAACGTTGATTTGCAGTTGATCCTCGTAAGTCTGATTGTTATTTTAATAATTTTGTTATATCCAATTGTAAAACGTAAAGTTGAACATATTGTGAGATATTCAGAAAATTCACAATATTCAAAACATTCACAATATTCACAATATTCATAATATTCACAATATTCACAATATTCACAATATTTACAATATTCACAATATTCACAATATTCAGAAAATTACTAATTTTGAACGCAAAAATCTGTTGAAGATGACATTCCTTCTTCAGGCCGAAGCATTCCCTCTGTTAGGGACCTTCCTCAGAAAAACAAACCGAGCCCTCAAGTTATCAACTCTGGAACTTTTAGATAACATTCTTATCAAATACTGTGAGTAAATATTTGGAGACATATTTGTTCAGGTTTAAAACATCAAATGATTGTGACCTGAGTATTGACAAGACATTTGCAGGGATGCCACCCAGATATCACGGAGTTTTTAACTTAAACTTCATCCTCCGTTATTTATTAGACACTTTAAATTATTGCTGTAAACCAATGGCGACACAGTAGGTTCAAGGCATAAAAGTTATACTCTTACCGCCAAAAGACGACCGCCAAAAGCGCGAAATTACAATAGAATAACACAGCAATATTATATCACCAGCAGCTCAACATTTAGGGGCCAGCTACTAAAAATGGATACTGCAGGTTAGGCCTGAGTTCAATATGAACCGGGCAGCTCAACATTTAGGGGCCAGCTACTAAAAATGGATACTGCAGGTTAGGCCTGAGTTCAATATGAACCGGGCAGCTCAACATTTAGGGGCCAGCTAATAAAAATGGATACTGCAGGTTAGGCCTGAGTTCAATATGAACCGGGCAGCTCAACATTTAGGGGCCAGCTACTAAAATGGATACTGCAGCCTGCAGGTTAGGCCTGAGTTCAATATGAACCGGGCATCTCGGGGGCAATGTTAGTAAATTAGAGCAGCCGGTAAATCATAAAATCAAGGTGGGATTCACACCCATTAGCTAAAACCAGTAATTGGGGAAAACAATCCAGTGCCGGTTCATTGAAATTCCGATAATAGAATGTCAGCGGTTTGGCTTTGTGGCGGTGTGTGATGGACAATGAGAAACCTCACCTTCCAAGGCCAACCTGTCTTGCATCTTGCCGGTCTAGTAGAGCACTATTTGGGGCAATTCTTGTCTACTTATTATTATTTTAATTGTTAAAACTTTAAATGGTCGCGATTTAAGTTTGCTGCCATCAAAATATCACCATGTGGGAAGCAACCTTACATTCAATAACTTTTGTACGGTTATATTTTACCTGTAATAATGCAGGTGAATTATTGCTCTAACTTTGTACGTTCAAAGCGTATAAGCCGGCTGTGAAAAGCTCTAAATAACAATAGAATCAACAGCTTAACATTTAGAGGCCTGCTATTTATGCAGGTTTTGGACTAAATTAAATTTGAACCGGGCATCCTGGGGTCATGTCAGCAAACCAAAACAGCCGATAAATCAAGGTGCGATACACACATTACCTTTAATCCCAAACCAGTAATTGGGGAAACAAATTCGGGGCCTGTTAATAGAAATTCCGATAGGTGGAATTTCCAAGGTGGGGCGGTCTGTGACACACAATAACACACCTGACATGTTGTTATTTCTGGCCCAGAATCTTGTCTTGTGTTTTGCCCCGGTATGAAGAGCACTATTAATAAAGACCGGGACAGTCGGAACTACCTACTAGACTAATCAAGTACCCCGCCCTTTAACTAAATCTCATAAACTAGGTATTATGTAATGATTATAATAGCTATATGATAGCTGTTATGTGATATTCTCTACAGCATCTCGTTAATTTACAGAACTGAGAAAACCAGCACAGAATACCTGCATACTTATACAGGCCACCTTACCGTGTCAAATATTGTCAATCATCTACAAAATTAGATCGTTTCACGGACTATTTAACATTGAAGCGTCAAGAAAGCATAGAGGTGTTGTAACATAATATGGTTCACAGTTAATACCGGAATACTTACTAGTAACTGTGCGTGTTGGGCAGGGGGGATTATCAGTATTGAGGCGAATAATTAACGGTGTTCCCAGCCTAGTGGGGCATTCTTGAGGTTCATCATACTTTGAGGCGTGGTGTTTTATTTTTAATCATAGAGATATTAATGAGTTTTAGCATGCATTAAAATCATATAAACTATCGGATATTCTAAAACAGGAGATGATGCTGAGCTGGGTCGCCCAATTTCCTGAGTATACTGCAGTATCAACCTGTAATAATGATTGATTGGATTTTGTTTAAATATAACCCCTAACGGTAAACGGACTGTGTTTCAGCTAATTTCATCACATTGTCCATGGTAAACGACCTGATTGATGAACTGCCGAGGTTGATAAGCGAGTCAGATACCCACGTTTCTCAACTAGCCCTCATGATAGTCTCCAGACTTTCTGAGACTATGCCACAATCAATGGAAAAGGTTTGTTTTTGTGTGTGTGTGTGTGTGTGCGTTCCCATGCCCCAGTCAATGGAAAAGGTTTGTTTTTGTGTGTGTGTGTGTGTGTGTGTGTTCCCATGCCCCAGTCAATGGAAAAGGTTTGTGTGTGTGTGTGTGTGTGTGTGTGTGTGTGTGTGTGTGTGTGTGTGTGTGTGTGTGTGTGTGTGTGTGTGTGTGTGTGTGTTCCCATGCCACAATCAATGGAAAAGGTTTGTTTTTGTGTGTGTGTTCCCTCGGACACTATAATTAATTTAAGGGTTTGTCACTTACACGTGCTAAGATGTACCTTGAAGTTACTTCCACTCATTCATTTATAGGCAGAGATAACATTTGTGTGCGACAAATGCAAATGTTCCCAAATTATGCAATTTATCATATTTTTAGATTATTACTCATAAGAAAGTAGAAAGAGTACGGCAGGCCCCCAAATGTTGTCTCTGTTTGTATGTCGTGATATTGTGCTGTATCTTGTTGTCGTGATGATAGTTACGATATTTTAACATTATCGTTTAACCCTCTTACCCAGTTTTGCGCTCTGAAATTATGACCAAATTTCAGAAATAGTAGCGGTATTTTCTCGGCTGATACGCCCGAGCTCGCGTCACGCTTATTACTTATATCCCCCTGGGATACAATCACCATAAAATCCATATACAGATGTGATACGATAATTTGTAAAACTAAATCTATGTTCCTCTGCATACTTGTCTCGAACAAAATGCACACAATATCAAAGAAATAGAATGTAGATTTACTATTGATTTTTGAAAAATATAAAATTATTAATTCTTTCATGACCATTAATAGTGCTTCACGTCTATATGTTTTAACGTTTATTTCCCCCGAAAAGCAGTGCCGACCTACTACAAAGAATAGTCGCGGAATGTGATTTATCACGCTGTTAATTTGTCAGCAGTTTCCTGATAATCCTTATTCTAGTCTGACCCATTACCTAATTACTTAACTACGTGCCATTACCGCCGCCGGGCTGATAACTCCGTTACATTACGAAACTATCTGGTTTTATTTTTACTTAAGCCTACTGAAACTTGTGATCATAGTGACGTTCTTGCTCACTATAGCCTGTAAATTTAACTTATGTCCACCCCAACTCGTGATAAAGCATAGTGACGTTCTACCCAACTATAGCTCACAACATATACTACAGCCCCTGGATAGTGGCGTGACGTCACCAGATAGTGACGTGACGTCACCCAACCCCCAGAGGTCATCAGGAAATGACACCCCTTGTCGCGGATATCTCTGTAACATCTCATGAAAATTAATCTTTGATAATTAATTGAAGTCGCCCTAATTTTGCCTGGGTGTTTGTGTAACGTAGCATGTGGTGGATATGAGTGATGTGCTGTTACGAGCAGCACGTCACGGGTTACCCCCAGATTGGAGTTACCTGCCCAGTGATTCAGAGACTATTGCGCACTTGTTGTTGTAATGTTGGGTGGTACATGATGCTAATCAAGCCACCCTGTGACCCACCACCCTGTGTCTGACACACCTCCCCTTACGTACAAGGAAACATTTCATTATTTTAGTTTCTCTTAAAAACCTTGCTTTTCCTCTACAAGTTACTTGTATCGTTGTAGTTTGTACGCTGTGGTCTGTAGTTTGCAGAACGTGAACTTTCCACTCGTTTTGGGGTAGTCAGCCCGTTTTGTAATTTCCCTGGAACTTGTTACTTGTCACTTATTTTTGTAATTATCTGGAATTATTGAAAGGTTGAATATGTTGTCTAGATGAATGTTCAGTATAATTTAGACCCCGCGCTCTCCCCAATTTCGGTGCGCCATTGTGGGGGGCCACTACAAATTGAGAGGCTAATCATGGGGCTGCACCCTCTGTTGCACAGAACTTTTAGGAATTCGGGACAGATATTTTCAAAAATTCAAATCCCACGATATATTAATGTATAGTACTTAGGATTTGTTAATTCGATACAAGGGGCCCTTTAAATACTTACTTGGAATAGAGATGACTGTGCTCAACACAATTAAACTGGCGCGGTGCAATACTCAAAGTGGCACATAGTCCGCCATTGTTACCCATCAGTAACTAGGTTTACTGTGGATCCTTGGTAAATTGGAAATGACTTGCTGGACACCTATGTCGTGATAATTTTAGTACGACAACACCACGTTACATACCAAGATTTGCAATTAAATTTCACCATTGTTCTTGAATTTAATTTTGAGACCCGTTGATTGATTTATCTTTCTCGAGTGGTTCATTTTATCCTTGTTTTGTATCTTGAGTCGGATTTCCCGACTGATGAAGATGTTACTATTAATGTTGTCAGCAGTCGAGTTGTAAATAAAATCATCATTTAATTAACTTCATCTTCCATTTCTAATTTGCCAGAGTTCTGCACAGCCACAATTAGTTTGGTTCTAAATAACTTCCTATAGTACGTCCTGGTACTAAATACATTTGTCACATTTTTAACGCGACTCTCTGGGAAAGTGTCAGATTGACAGCCACCATTTACATCCCAATAATATATTCACCCTAACACATATTCTCAGTTAACATGATACGGTTTGTAGTGTTCCTGATCTCTGTGTACCAGTTTAACGCCGCCCCTACTGAAGGTCTGATCACCTTCCCCGAGCTAGTAACCGTCTCACCAGGAGACACATTCGAGCTGGTGTGCAAATCAGAGCACGCTATTCTGGGACAGACCATCTTCCTGGAACCAAAGGACAAGGACCATTTTAACGAGGACACGCTGTTATACCAGAGCTTCAACTACCACGGCAGCACTCAAGAGATAGCTCTGAGAAATGAATATAAGAACGCGAACAAGGCCGAGCACGAAGGCATCTACACGTGCATTGTGTTCCACGGCGCTTTAGAGGAGCCGACCTACTCTGTTGCTAGAAGCCTGGTGATTGTAGAGGAGCCGACTGAGGAGCCGACTGAAGAGGAAGGACCTGATGATATGACGATGGGAGCAAATCACGTGTGTAGCGTATTTCCGGGCGGGGTCGTGGAGTCATTTGACGGTGCCGGGAGACAGTATGACTTGTCCTGTACTCACGTTCTGGCTGCTGATATCATGACTGACGGAGACTATTCCAACCCGTGGTTTATCTACGGGACATTCGACCAGCATGATGGCCACACTGCCCTCATGTCCATGACATTCTATGTTGGAAATGTAGCCTTTGAGTTCCAGAGAGGATGGCTGATAAACCTAAACGGGAACGGTAAAATGTCGCTAAAAGAAGGGGCTGATATCCGGGTGCCTCACACCGGGTGCTGGGTTAGGTTTTCAGACAAACATCTCCAGCTGCAATGCCAGTATTTCGAGGCTTACTATGACGGGGTGATGTCGGGTCACATCAGACTGAAGACCATGCGCTCCACGACGCAGCTTGAGAAAAGATTCGGGAATGTGGGTCTGTGTTGGGATGGTGAGTCGGGCTGGAGAAAGAACTGGCAGATTGGCATGACTACTGGACAGTGTGAAGTCTCTGTAGCGGACAACTCTTGTAAACTACCGGACTCAAGCTTTAACCAATACAGAAGAGACGCTCCCGCTGCCGCCCTGAAACTGGGAGCCTGGGCCCTCTGTGAGGCTGGTCCCTCCAAGTCCTCCTCTGAGATCCACTGTGGAGGAAGGAAAGCTACAGCTGCTCAGGAATGCTCTCTTCAGCAAGCTGCGCGCATCATGTGCTCCCTCAAGTACAGCACATTGTTACGCGGCTCTGATGATATGTGCCCCGCTGATGAATGTGTGTGGAAGAAAGATGTCTTTGGAAGAGGCTGCCCTCAGAAGACCCCTCCGTTTGTATGTGCTTAGTTGGACTGCAATGATGATGCCACGTTAGGTAGCGTGACGTCATTATTTATTTGCTGGTAACTGACGTTTGAGTTTTGTGAGAATGTTTTATATTCTAAAATGTTAGGAAACAGACTTTTTACCCCTTATTATTTATCTCACGATGTTTAAAGTTTGAACTTATTTCCTAGGGTTAGCAAGACTAAGGATTTATGTTTGGGCAATTGAGAGTTATTCATAGGATTAGAGTCGGGATGAAATATTGTGAGATAAAATTAAAGGTGTGAAGAAATAATCGTTTGAGCCCTCCACTTTCATGTTTACTTCAGTGCGATTTAGTTTGAAGCGATAGAAGGTAGAGCCTTCTTGTAAGAAGGCGACACGGTGATTTTCACTGATTATTAAACGGTCGTCAGCTTAATGACAACGTGAACGGAAATAATTTGCGATCGGGACCAGAATTTAGAAATTTTACCAAATGATTTATTAATAGTCGTTATCTGGGAGATTTTTGTATTTCTAATTATTATCGGCTATCGCTTTAAATTCGAGTTTCACATCCTTTGAAGCAATGATTAATGCTAATTATATTATGGTTGCTGCGAAACGCTAAAATTCGTATTGATATGAAGGGTATCATATTATTTTGTTACAACTTAAGTTAAGATATTCATTCTGTTCTTAATATTTCTAACTAGAGAAAGTAAACAAAGTTAGTAATTATTAATTAAATGATTATAATATATTAAGTTATGATATTGAGTGTGATATAAATCTTAATTTGATAACAGTGTTGTAAAAATGAACTATTTATTAACTTTAAGTATTAACTGAGTTTTATTGACTTCTTTCGTGAATGGATAAAATTACCTATTTATTATCCATCGTCTTACTAAATACATGAACTAGACGTGAACATTCCAAACAGTTATCAGTATGATGGGAAAACCCAGCAAATTTCCTGGTTCACCCAAAATTCAAAACCAAAATCGTGCTTTTACTTTTGTCATATATTCGGTTTAAACTCTACTATATACCGGTTATCTTGATTACTTGTCAAATCTAATTACCGGTATCAGCCACTAGATGTTATATTTAAGGAGTACCGATATTAAGAAACTTACCCCGTTGTGATCTGTTTAAACCATGATTCGTTTCACGGCCCTACTCCTCGTCCTCCTATCTCCCTCTCTCACAAGACCTCTGATCTCTAAAGAAGATGTCCCCGCCAGGACATCCAGGTCTACTAAAGATGTCCCCGGGCCCCTTAAAAGGCAGTGTGATATTCATGATATCTACTGTCTTGCTGTGTACGATCCTGTGTGTACACAGCTAGACGAGACGTATAGTAACGGGTGTGAGATGAGGCGAGCTAGCTGCTTGGAGACGTATAGTAACGGGTGTGAGATGAGGCGAGCTAGCTGCTTGGAGACGTATAGTAACGGGTGTGAGATGAGGCGAGCTAGCTGCTTGGACGGGATACACAGATACGTGGTGTACCGTGGAGCATGTGGGCAACACATGTGAATCATACTCTCTCTGCATGACCCTTTATCATGTTCATGATCGCTTTATGACTGCGCATTACTCTTCATTACGTTCATTTTAAATTTTACGATGTGACGTCAAGTCTCGTGACGTGGAACAATTCAATTCGGAACGAAAAAATGCGATTTTACCAGAGTTGAAAAATACGTATTTTACGAATTTTATAAAATATCAAAAATACGTTAAATACGGCGTATTTTATTTTCGTTGAATAAAATACGTAATAAGTGTTATTGTAACATTGATAGCTCCAATAAAGTAATAAGTACTATTGCTTTATATAAATTTACGATTTTATCAAAACTCGCGAAGCTCTGTCGTTTTTCACCTCGCATATGACTTCAGAGTACTGGGCACGTGCTATACCAAAGCATTAAAGCGTTGAAGTTAAATAGAAATGTGTCTGAAAAAAATGCAAACGAATGACATAACTTTAGTCTTTGAAAGAAAAACGTATTTTAACGTATTTTTGACGTATTTTATTTCTAAGCAAAAATACGCAAAATACGGCGTATTTAAAAAATTATCTCACGTTTTTTTCAACTCTGGATTTTACATCTTATTTTTCTAAGAATTTAACTTTAAATTAAAAGGAATGGATGGTTACGAAATCATGACAGTCCCACAATTTGTTTAATTATATTTCAATATCTGAAAGATTAGTAATAATAATATGTTGTGGTTTTTTAGCTGTATTGCTGATTATTTTGGGAATATAACGTGCGCATTTTCCTTTCTGTACCACCCTAAAGCTCAAATCAATATTATCTAAATACTTATAAAATATGAAAATCTAACAACCATGCGGTTAATTATATCTAAAATATGTGGTGCCCGTCACCCTGCACTAAAAGTTTCTAAGTTATGCTTGAAATTTGTATGACCCTATGGTCGTGTTAGGGAAGTTAGGGTTTGGGTTGTGATCAAGCGAAGCAAGGGTTAGCACAAAGTCATTATGTGGGGGAGAATGATTAATATGAGAACTAGGATAACGGTTAGAAGTCACCAAGTACTATGGCTGAACTTTCTGGAGCGACGTATCATATTCTAGAACTCCACGCCACATGTTATATCAAATGCCGTCCCAAGAGTTATAGAAATAGTTCCCGTCACAATCAATCCAGCTCCAACTAGGGATAGAACATCCAACTCAGCTCTAAATATGAATATCTGGACTAGGTAAGCGAGAACTGTGTCACAGTTTCTTACCAGACTGCCCGTTCCTGACTTCTCTATCGCCAAACCCTTATTCAAACACGCATACTGTGAAGCTGCTAAAACTGAACAGAAGAGAAGAAGTGCTCTGTGGTCGTAGCAGGAGGGACTCACATATCGTGTTCCACTTGCGGTTTGAAAAGCTAATCCCGCCAGAAACTGACAGACCACCAAGTAGAAAGAGACAACCACAGTGCTGACAGCGTTCCCAGCTTTCCGCACACAGACATAAGCCCACCCCATCAGAGCAGCAGTAATGAGAGGTACCACCACGTACCATTCCTCTGTGTAGGAACCAGAACTAGGAAACACGAAACTAGGTCTAGCAACCAGAACTATCCCAGCCAATCCACAAAGTGTCGCCAGAACGTGTACCAAAGTGTATTTCTCCTTCAGATAAAATCGAGCTATGATTCCCGCGAAGAATGGTATGGTGAAGATCAATGCGGTGGCATCCCCGAAGGGTAGGTTGTGGAAGCTCCATATCTTCGCCACGTAGGACGATCCCCCTATCACACATCTCATGAGAATGAACTTTTTGTAGGGGAACTGTATAAGGGATATGTTGTAGTACGCAGCTGCAACTGCTAGGAAACATATCGCGTGACCGCTCACTATCATTACTGCCTCACCCGTTGGAATCACGTCGATGTACTTGATTATTGCTCCTTGGGCTGTACTCTGAATTGAGCACATGAAAATCAGGAAAATACCGAAGACTTTTCTAGAAATTGGTATTCGTTCTTTGGTCTCACTCTTACCTTCAGTTTCGTCCTTCTTTTCATTTTTCAAACTTGATTTAACATTGTTTGCCGGTTTTAACATTTCGGAATAGTCATCGTTTACAGGATCATTATCAAGTCTCAAATTTGGGTTGATGATTACTGTATCAGCCGCAGTAGCCATATCTGTACGAGATCGCTCAACTTCCCTAGTCCCTAATTTAGAAGTTTGTTATCAAGAGCAATGCAAGTTATATTAAGGGGGGGGGGGGAGGGGGGCATGGGTATTGCCCCCCCCCCCCCCCTGGTCCTAGTTTGTTATCAAGAGCAATGCAAGTTATATTAAGGGGGGGGGGGGGTATTTGCCCCCCCTGGTCCTAGTTTGTTATCAAGAGCAATGCAAGTTATATTAAGGGGGGGGGGGGGGGGGGGGTATTTGCCCCCCCTGGTCCTAGTTTGTTGGTCTGACTGCTATCTCGAAATCAAGTTTCACAAAAAAATACCCATTGAGAAAAACAAAATTAAACGATTTACATCAAACAGCGGAAGTACCGAGTTGCCTGCGCCGTTTAGTTTTCGTATCAGAATTACCGTATAACGTTGTAGAATGTAGGGTGCTTTATTGAGTTCCCATGAGGTTCCAATTAGTCATTGGTACCACAAATGTAGCAACAGAAGAAGGCCGTCTAATATAGAACAGAAACTATCGTTTAAAAAGAATTAATACCTCGTACTGCAGAGCGCAAGAGTCTAGCTAAGGTCTTAAAATGTTTATTAACTTCATTTTTAAATTTGTTCATATTCGTTAAAAAATCCTTCAAACAGAGGAAAAGAACTTGGGACACAAATAAAAACGAATTAATGAAATATAAATCATTGAATGCGATTCACGTACTCGAGTTCGACACGCACTATAGTTCGACAACTTGAGTTCGCCAGATATCACCCCTGTCGAAATTCTGTACGTGTCGAACTAGAGTCCAGGTAGCGTATTCTAGTTTGACAAATAGTTTCTGCTTGTGATCCAACGGCTATTGCCGGGTCCTCATCATAGGATCACAGGGTTCAATGGCAGATAAAACAATTTTCTGACATCTAGCAACCAGCGGTTAGAGATTCCAGAACCTTTCAGTATAGTATAATTTTTCTGTTTGCCACTCAGTTCTGGTCTAGCTAACAGGAAAATAGATTGATATCCGACTGATTCTGGGTCAGCAGCCAAATCTCTAGACCGGTACTCGGTTACTAGTCGTTTGTGATAATATCAAGTGTGGTACGTGGTAGATATTTATATAGCGTACTCTACATTATACAATCTAGATCTATAATACAGAGTACGACTTACCACGTTAGTCTTATATATATCTCTCAGCTACAATCCTGCTAACTAACAATTGAGTATGAAGATATACAACTGAAACTTTTTTGACTGGGTCAAATGCTTTAATGGCCTTCAAATCAGCATGAAAAAATAAAAAATTGGTCAAGAAATAAGAATTTTAGTGCCAAAATTTGGACCGCCAAGTGGTGTCAAAAACGCGAATTAAATAGGTAATAATTATTTTAGTCTCTCGAGTCTTGACACCACTTTAGGGTTAGACGGGTTCCTGCTAGTTTACACTCAATTGTAGAGCTATAAGTAATTGTGTGGCAACCTATTACAGGTCTAGACTGAAATGAATATGTTTCATTTACTTGCTCAAATCAACAAACAATTCCAAAATGGAAAAGATATGAAAACATTTCTATTAAACATGTAGAGTTAATGGTAGTGTTAATGGTAGTGTTAATGGTAGTGTTATCAGTTATAATATGTAAAACTAAGAACCCTCTTTATTTCAGATCCCCGACGGAGTGCTGCCTGCCGCTCTTACTCTGATAAGATCACCACTATTACAAGGAAATGCTCTTATAAGTATGACTACATTCTTCTGCAGTCTCGTACGATCAGGAAACACTAGTAAGTTCAACAATTTATTGATTTTTTAGGATTTTCTTTTGATTCTGGAAAACATTGACTTGTCTGTCCTTGCTCTTCATAACATACCATTTTAAACCAATTCTATAACTGATTCTGTTATCTGATAACCCCTGGTTACCCCTGGTTACCCCTGGTTACCCCTGATAACCCCTGGTTACCCCTGGTTACTCCTGATAAACCCTGGTTACCCCTGGTTACCCCTGGTTACTCCTGATAACCCCTGGTTACCCCTGATTACCCCTGGTAACCCCTGGTTACCCTGGTTACTCCTGATAACACCTGTTTACCCCTGGTTACCCCTGATCACCCCTGGTTACCCCTGGTTACCCCTGATTACCCCTGGTTACCCCTGGTTACCCCTTGTTACCCCTGATTACCCCTGGTTACCCCTGATTACCCCTGGTTACCCCTGATTACCCCTGCTAATTATTCCCTACAGGGTTAACGTTTGTTGAGCTAGTCCAGCACCTAACTAACCCAGTATACAACCCTTCACCGGCCACCCAACCAGCCAACTCACCTCTCTCTGTCCACAAACAAGCATTCTACAGCACCTCCTCCTGCATCTCAGCTCTCGCACTTAACTGTGCTTCCCAGGACGGTGAGTGGTGGCCTAGTTTACTGCCTTGTGGTACGCCCTATTTCAGCTATCTGTACCCTGTTTTATAAATCAACTCATATTGATATGAAGGTGTTGTATAAGATGGTGCTTACTTTATTTGCGTTTTCCAGAGTACCAGTCGGTGATAACCAAGTTGTTAGACAACCTAAAGAGTAACGACATGTCTTGTAGTGTTAGGTTGTTCGCTCTGCTCACTCTGGGAGGCATTGGTAAACACAGGTATTACTTTGAAGGGGTGTGTAAAAACATTTGCAAGTATTTTTCTAATTGAGAATGTAGACCACTTTTCACCGTATTGATCCTGGATGCACGTGAATGAGATTACTTCAGAAAATAACTTGTGTACCGTTGCCATAACGGTACTACTACTGTCAACTAAGCCTTTCACTTGTTATAAATTATAAATGGAGGGGTAACCAGGGGTAATTATAAATGGAGGGCATGTTTTGTTTCAGAGATCTGAGCGAGCACAAGAATCTGCAGAATGTTATCATGTCATCCTTCAACAGTCCCACAGAGGAAGTCAAATCTGCAGCTTCATATGCTTTAGGTTTGTAAGAAGTTATAACCTGATTCAAATATGTAATTGTTCGAATGTTCTTTATGATGTGGAAGAGCATGTCGTTGTGAGCTGTACACCAGGATAGTGATCATAACACTGCTGACCTTGTTTCCAGGTAATGTGAGCGTAGGTAACCTGAACCTCTACCTGCCCATCATCCTCTCCGAGATACAGAGCAACTCAAAACGTCAGTACCTCCTCCTCCACTCCCTTAAAGAGATCATCACCTCCATGTCGGAGAAGGAGGAGAGTATTCAGCTTCTCAAGGTGACTCTTAACACGACATTATTATATGAAACATCAGCTCTTTGGCGCTATTATTAGATGATTTACGTGGCACAATAGTTGGAGTGCAAACCATTTATCCTGCCGATCTCGGATATAGGAGTTTCAATCAAGCTTTTATTAAACTGCAATATACACAGTCTTACTGTACCTCTTCTAAAATAAGTTTCCTCGGATCTAAATGCCAGCTCCCACAGAACTACGTGCCCGACATGTGGAACCTCCTTATCCGGTACATGGAGTCCTCGGAGGAAGGTTCCAGAAAGATCGTAGCAGCGTGCCTGGGTAAACTGATGCTCATTGACCACGAGAGTCTCCTACCCAAGCTACTAAACTACACTACCTCCTCCAGCCCTCACGCGCGCAGCACCGTCGTCATGGCAATCAAATACACGGTGAAGGAGGAACCTCAAGCTATTGACGTCATGTTAAGGCAGTACATTGGGCAGTTCCTCAATTTGCTGAAAGATGAGGATTTGCACGTGCGACGGATGGCGCTTGTTACACTGAACTCTACTGCTCATAACAAACCTGCACTTATCAGGTGATCCATGATTGCTTGCGGAGATGTGGTGTATAGCTAGTCTGTGGTCATGATTAACTCTTGTCGATTCAACCCGTTACGAATAATCAAATAGATATTTGTTGCTGATGTTTAATTTTTGGATTAGATAAATTACCTTAACTATATAAACTAAGTCGAAAATTTGATGAAATCCGTGCAGGGACCACATGGAAGATATCCTACCTGATCTTTACAAAGAAACAACAATAAAACTGAAGAGAGAGGTGGAGATGGGACCGTTCAAGTACCCAGTGGATGACGCGCTGGACAACCGCAAAGCAGCATTTGAGTGCATGTATACCGTCCTCCAGAGCTGTATGGATCGAGTTAACATCTTCCAGTTCTTGGATCACATCGAGATAGGACTAAAGGATGTGCCTGATATCAAGATGTTGACCTATTTGATGGTCCTGAGACTCGTCCATATAAATCCAAATGCTATAATGCTAAGTAAGTTTACTTTGTATCAGTACATTATTAGTGTGTCATGGCTTACACGGCCCAGCAATCAGCATTACAATTTACCCAGCATCATTATGTTCTGCTAATATAATAATCTACTATCACGTTCTTCTACCACACTTTCAGAGTGTGTATTCTGATTGTTAACGATAAATCTTCAAAAATGACGGTCGAACTTGCCTCATCTAATAGAGTAATAACATTTTAATATTGTGCCGAGCTAATTTGTCACTCAGAGCTAAATATTTGAAATATTCATAGAAACTTAACTTCTAGAGCTGGAGAGTATTCTAGAACCTCTGCGTGACACATTCCAGTCCAAACTGAAGGACATTTGTCCCATTGGTCAGGAGGTTGAGAAGGTACAGGAGCTTAAGAGAAGTGCTATGAGAGCAGTTGTGGCGCTCAGCAAGATCTCCGATATCGGTTAGTTTTTAATGGAAATTGAAAATATTTTAAAATTTTCTTGGTTCTGCACAAGGTCAACGACTAAAAAGGGAGCAATTATTATGGGCCAAGTCCTTTAAAACAATTGCTATTATAGTTGTAGTTATGATATTGCTTTTCTTCTAACTTAATTTAAACCTTTTTACAGAAAAGCATCCAGTATTTATTGATTTTATGAAGAAGTTAAGAGCGAATAAAGAAACCGACTTACTTTTGGAACAGGTATGAACTATAACAAAACCGATTGTACCACAATATGTATCTTGAATCGGCTTAACTTAAACCGGCTACTTTTCGCCCTTTTGTGGGCTACTGAAATGTCGGCATTTGTAGGCTTTAGGTCGATTCATCCTGATAATAGTAAGATGATCTAAGATCTCAATACACTAAACAGTGATGTTCAGAATTAACAGTTAACAGATACACTAACACATCATTTGTTTCAGGAGCTACAGGCTAACCAAGCATCGTATGATGATATGGTATTCTCCATGGACCACTGATACCGGACATTAGTCATTTAGATTATTTATAGTTAGCTTGTAATCTCTGACTCGCTTCTCTCTCTCGGAGATTTCCACTAACCGAGAATTGATAAGACAGTGGAGTGTCGGTTTATTCAGGCCTTCTTTATAGTATAGCTGAAACTTGTGCGTATGAGAGGAAGTGAATTTAGATCGTTAAGGTATGAAATTTGAAATGTTTGAGTTGAGTTGGAAAGTTAAAGAAAGAGAAAAGGTTTGGGTTGCTTAAAGTTAAAATACTAGCAGGGTAGCTGTTTTTCAAACTTTCCTTAATTTGATCTTTACTCTTTAATTTGGATCGCATTTATTACTTTTAGGAAGTCTCTGTGTATCACAGGTTGGAATTGTAAATTTTACAAATTCGCTTAGAAATAAACCCGCTTAAGTTTTGCGATCAACCTTTCAAATGTTGGCCTTCTTTTTCTCATGAAGTATGAACAATTTAATATCCCTCCTGGCGCAATTCAGTATGCTTTTTCTAAACCCAACTCTCCCCTTATGTTAAATAGAATACGGAATAAGAAAACAATTACAGTCACAAAGGGACCACCGACCATTTGTGGTTTCAAAGCTTTTAATCGCCATCTTGCATTTACGATTTGCATATTTTATTAATTTAGGGAAAAATCCTTATAATGAAACTAACATTTGAAGTACATCATTTATTAGTTTACCAGTCCAGTTTAGTCTGTGCGCTGTGGGATATTTGACAAATTTTCTCCTGAGCTTGTATTTAATAGTTATGAAACACTTTCTATATATTCTACATTATTGATTATTGTACCCAGTTTGCATTGTGCTTTGCAATCCTAACCTTTAGCTTTACGAATGTAAAATGCTCTCTTTAATCTCTATTTGTTCAATTATAATGAACTTACATGTTTGTAGATTTCGTAACGAAAGGATCATAATCATATTTTCTAAATTCTCATTCTTCTGCCAGTAGTACTTCGTTCGAATAAAATTGGAATTTATTTTGATTTTTAGTGTATGATGTACGAAATTGAAAATTTTCACAAAATGTCATGGTTTTGATATTAAAGTTACAATTCGCAAAATTGATTTTATTTGGTACGCGGTAACCTTACCTAGGTTGCTAGTCTAATAGTATTGCTCGCGAGAAGTTTGAAAAGAGCGCCGCGCATTGGGATTGGCGTGCCATGTAAACGTCGCTACACGTTGTATACCTCTCTGATCTCGTGCACTCCAGCCGGCCTTTTGTGGTCGCAGCGCGCTTTGCACGCGAAAAAGGGTTGAAACAATTGTGTCAACCCTAACCTTAAATGAACCCAACTAATATGAATAAACTGTGATGATATTGGCCTTGCCTCACGTTGTAGACTTAGCTTAATTGACGATGTCAATTCTTCGCAGCTCGGCGAGGCTCAGTAGCGCATCTCGCCGATCTAGCGAGGTGGTTTCGAGAAGCATAATGGAGTGCGCGGCCCAGTAACGCATCGCGCTACAAGTTGTAGACCCGCCGCACACGAGGACGCGGCTGTATCGTGGAGCTTTCGCCCCGATACTGGGGCGATTTCATTTCACTAAATGAAATGGCGATAAGGGTCACGAAGTGAAACAAAATGGGCCTATTTTAGTGTTTACCTAAAAAATGTGTTCCAAATATGAAATACTAGACGCGCGTCTTGGTAGGTTATAAACCTACCAAATAAATAATAACTCTACTGCCTACGTTTGACGTTGTACGTTCATTTTCAAAAAAGCACTAATGATAGGGGGTGCACGATTAAAATAAACTTGCTCGGATTTTTAAAATTTTTGTACCACTCTTTTATAGAGACTGTGAGAATTTTAACAATAACAAATTTGTCATACCTTTTTGTAAAAATCAGTGAGTTTCGCCTAGGTGCCATATTTGATGCTGCGCGGCTTTTGTGTTTTGGAGCAAAAATAGCTATATACATTTCAAACTAATTTATCTCGATTCATGAAGTTTGAGAGAAGTTACAGCAATGCGTGCAATTTGGGGAGTGTGCTTTTGGTGGAGATATAATAAACTGCGCCAAGTTTAAAAGTCGCGTTATTTGACAAAATTCGTTGATTTTTATTGTATTATTTTGTCATATCTTCGGTTCCTGGCATGGAATGAGATTATTTTGAAAATTTGTAAAAAGCTTCTAATCGGATAAAAATTTTAACACTGTCCGGATAGGACTTTCAACACAGTCCGAAAAACTTTGTGGCTATCGGAGTTGGTATAGTGATGAAAATGGAGCAAAAGACGTTACTTTGAGCTCAAAGCACAACAAATGTGTGCGAGCGTGCTAAATCACTCTACAGTCAATTTAAAACTAGTGCTCGATGCAGATCCTACGGGGAGCAAATCCTGGGCAACGAACTCTACAGAAAGGAGCATACTAAACCCCTCTTCAACACTCATGAAATCATGAATGTGCATAATCTGTACTTCTACCATTGTATTAATGACATCTTCAAGGTCTTGAAATATAGAACCCCTATTATATCACTATACTACCTCTTTGAAACATCTGGCAGAATTGGCAAAGAGATATTTATTCTCACACCTAAACCACCAGACATCTACATATACAGAGCAGGGACAATATGGAACACAGTACGACAAAATCTTATGCTAACTATATTCACCTGTAAGCCCAATCACCTCAAATCATCTATAAAAATAACCATCGCTCACACTCAAAAGGAAGGAGAACCAAATGACTGGAACTTAGCCTTAAACAGTGTTCAACAAAATTCAAAAACTTTAAAATTGACCTTGCCTAGATTACTTAAGCTTGCAAAAGCTGTAATATCTTAGCAAAATATAACTTGCAGCAGCCCCATACCTTATCATGAACATAATATCGAAACTACCCCTGTGATATAAATTATTATTAGGTTAATGAAACCCCAAAGGTGAACTGTAATGGCCAAAAATGTGCAGCCCACCGATATGAGGAGGAATAACTCTGGATTTATCAGTATAGAATGAAAGCAATCTCTAACAAATTCAATAATTTTATTTACTGCACAGTTAACGTGCTAAAACCGATGTTGCTAACAATAATAAAACCTTGTAGTCATGTCTCTAAACCGAGTCAGGTGCCGGCTTTCCTTCAATTCTTCACCTAAAGAACAACCTGCTAATTCTGAGGGACCAAGTTCCAGCTCATCAGCCTCCTCAGTTGCTGCTAACACAGCTGTAAAAGAACAGGTCAGATCAATGAACAAAATTCCTTGTTTTACCCTTTTAGTAATACTGTACCTAACTTAGAGCTTAGATTTAATGATGGTCACAGATAAAATATTAAAAAATATTCCTTTCAGAAAACCATATCTTCCACGGAAGCTCACAAAAGACGATTAGATTATATGAGAGGTCTAGTAGACGAGTTAGAAAAGACCAAATGGATGTATCCCCCATTACCCAAAGAACTGTGCAGAAGTAATCAGTGATAGCTTTAATAAATAATTGCTGTTCTGTAAACCTCTATTTAAGTGTTCAAAACTGCTCCAGTTTGATAAAAAGAAGCTGTTTTGAATCTACAAATAATCGTCATATGGCCGGCCTACAGTGTATTTTCACTTCTAAGAAAACTAGTTAAGTGTATAATTTATATGTCCACATTTATTGGATGTAAGATCTAATACCTACCCTAAAAGGAAAACTAAAAATTTAGACAATGGCTGAAAACTAAAGATTCTGCTGCTGACATTGCTTTAGTTTTGCAGAGTATTTTAGTCTGTTTTCGTCAGTATATTAAAAAATACTGCGATCTACAAGACATATTGTGTTGGTCTTAAATGATGTATGAAATCAAGATGGTGAATTTACTTTGGACAGATGTTAACGAAGTAATTTGTAGTAGGTACAATATAATACCTCTGTTTTGAATTACAAGTGAGTTTTAACCATATGGTGATGAATTTACATTTTTCAATGAGGGACATTATTTCAGCATAACATATGCCTTGAATTGGTTTTAAATTGTAAATATTTCTATGTTGCACGTTTACAAGGGTGTTACCTCATGACAATCGAGAATTAAAGCATCCGAAGTTCCTTTATAAGTTTGTTCTTGCATTCAAGTTTTTCAGTTGAACTGAATCATTTCATTGGTTACATTTTCTTAAAGCCATGGTTTTATTTCACTGTGATCATGTAAAATGTCTATTATTTGTATATTTTTGCAAGATATAATTTGGTTTAATGACATAGTTCAGATTGGTCTTGGTGAGTTAGCCATTGAATTGTTGTTATTGGGTTGTTACTTGTTGAATTTCTGGTGAAATTTGTAAGATTATTAACATATTTGTCAGTATAATAATTATTATTTATATATAAACTGTATTAGGAAGTTTTGTTTGCTGAATTATACTCGACTTGACTCAAGTTTTTTCACTTTGTCGGACGGTTTTCAATTTTCAATTACTGAAATGGTGTTATCCTTAGCCCAAGTGATGATAAAGTATGATGTTATTTTTTAAACTTTTGGCGCATCGATTGCCACCTATTCTGGTTGTCACCAACAAACCCAACAAAAATTCAACAAATTAATTACATAATAATGCCCAGTAGCAAGATGTTGAAGATTGTAGCAGTCTTAGGATTGCTGTTAGTGGTCAGCGCTGACAATGAAATGTTAGCTCCACCCAGCGCTGCTGTTGTTTCGGTTAGTTTCAACTTTCATACACTACATCTTTTCTAATATAAAATGGAAACTAAAGTGATTATGTAAACTAGGTGGTTGTCGAGGAAGTTTAAGAAGATGTAATATTTCCACATTTTGTCTGCCCTGCCCGATGTAAAGGCATCTTTCAGATATTTAAGATGTAATTTAAATTCATGTGATAAAGAAGAAATGTTTCAGCAAGAGGATAAGTTGAGCAAGGTTGTCCTGCCCAAGATGGAAAATAATGGTCTCCTTCAGTCGGTAGACGCATCAAAATGTTTGGACAAGAAAATATACAAGGATCAAGACACACTTTTGAAAGTCAAAGAAGAAAGTAAGATAATCTTTGTAAATTATAAAATTTCGTTTCACAGTAATGAAATTGGTCATTCGGTATATCAGCGTCGATCCCGTTTATTCCAAATTAATGACGGAAAGATATTCAAGCAATATTCGTTTCAGAGGATTATCTATGTGCTTTCATCGCCTTCCAAGCTAACAAAGATGTCGAGGATGTAAGTAAAGATAATACTATCTCAGCTGTTGTTCGTAAAATGCTGGTCCCACTGTAGTTCCTACAGTTGAGTTTACATTATATATAAGTTTAACAAGAAACATTAAATAACCAACAAACTCAGGGAGTGGGATTATACACCAGCCGGGATGAATCGACTGACAGATACAAAATTTTCAAAGAAACCGTTAAGATGGTAAACGACATCAACAGTCAGAATCTGTCTTACACTACTGGTCAGTAATTATTAGTGGTTCAAAAAATTTGGAACTTTAACCCAAGCGACATCAATTTATCACTGTTCAGCTGCTGTTCATATAACTTCATTTTAGGGTATCATAAAATTAGTTTTCAATATATAGCTTCAGGACTTTCAATGTTTAATTTGTGCAATTCTGAAAGCAAATATTTCAGAGGTAAACAAGTTTGCTGATATGACAGAGGCAGAGAGAGCCCAAAGGCTTGGTTTTGGACCCATCCCCGGATCTCCAGGAGGTGCCAAGCTAGGCTCTTCTGGAGGCCTTGGAAGTTCAGGAGGTTTCGGAAGCGGCTTTGGTAGCCCTCCTGGTGACAACGCTGGCCCCCCATCAGGCGGACGAGGCCGGGGCCGGGGCCTCGGTATGGGAGCTCCTCCTCGTCAGGCTCACTAAGTCGTGGAAACTGGATGCAGCTACTCAGGGACACTTCAAACAATAACACACCCTCAAACTAGGGCTTGAAGTTCATTTTAATTTTGGGTTTTGATTAATGATAAGATATGATTATGAATAGTGGAAAAAAATAAAATGGTAAAAAGTATTCTCAACTATATGATATGCGCGATTCTTTTTCATTGGTTAGTTTTTTGATTTGTCATAATTGCAATAATTATCATTGATTGTGAATAACTCATCGCATGTCATTTATTTTAACCATAGTATTTGATTACAGTTATTTTCATACAATGTCAGTTTTGGGACTTATTTAAAAATTTACAATTTTATTTAATTATAACATATTACGTGGTTGCTTCATGATATTTTCCTTAATCAGTTGTAAAATTAATTGATAGAACATCACTAAAAGCATTTTTCAATGAAAAATGTATTTTTATTCAAGTTCTTCGTACCACGTAACATAAATTCTAAAATGATTATATATATAATATTTCCAAGGAAGAGTGCGATACAAATTTGTGTGAAATAATGAAAACTACTGTAACCTGTTCAAACCGAAACAAGCCCTTCGATATTCTGAGATCAAAATTCTTCTCACCCTCAATAAATGAACACAATAACTTTACTTTTATCCATGATAGTTTAATGAAGGTATTATCACCCTTTTAACAACGTTTAGAAGCTTAATGAGATCAGGCAATGCCCGATCAGAAGATAGGGACAGATTATTCAGAAGTGCTAGTGAAAATGATAATAGAAATGATCTGGACGCCTCGTTCAGATCAGTCCTCTCTAGTAGTCAGGTGATTAATAACTTATAATTCTGCTACTCCTTATCCTGCTATCTGAACCCAATACCTTTCTTAAACGTCTAAACGTTTTAAAGTTTCGAAACTTGATCAACTCTAAGACTTTGCGCTCAGAAAATAACTAGCGGTGAAGCAGTAGAAATGTTTATCTTCTCCTTCTCTTCTCTTGTTGCCGCTAACTTCACCCCCACTGCAGCTAGTCCCGCGTGAGGTATTCAGAACCACACCCGCAAGATGGTATATTCTCTTTACTCTTTGTTGGATGGGTCTGATACAAAACTTCATCGGTACGTTTATAATTTACTCGGTCAGATTTATGGTTTAAATCGTCGTCATTAGTTTTAAGTCGTTCATTTCGCTCAGCTTATAAAATAATGCTTGGTGATTTCTATTGTGCGTGTAGATACAACATTAGAATTTTACAAGTTCAATAAAACTCGATTTTAATGTTTGAATTAGCCCCACCATAATAGAGATTCCTTGTTTTGGCTACAACTTAACAGTTAACTGGTAATACAAAGTGATGTAACTTAGACATTGTTCAGGCAACACATGGGGGCCAATAACTGAGGTTATGAAGAAAGTATACTTTTGGAGTGACGAGGTAATTTGAAACTTGTACATTTTATATGATACATAATTAATGTATATTATACTATACATAATTATTAATTAATGTATATTATACTATGCATAATTAATATACATTAATTTTACATAATTAATAAACATAATAAATATCAGATCTACATCCCATAATATCGTAAAACAGTTTTAAAGCAAATTTTCGTACACGAATACTATTATAGTTGCGGAAACATTAACAAGAAACTGTGATAATCCAATCCCTGTTTATCCATGTACAAATTTAGTTATTAATATAATTTTCTACAGAGAGTAAGTTTGTTGTCCCTGTGGACGCCAGTTTTCTTCGTCCCCGGAGCCCTCCTCTTCCCCTGGCTGATGGCTGCTGCCAACATGAGATTCGTTATGCTAGCTAACTCTTCTCTTCTTGCCTTCTCCGGTATTATCAAGGTATTTCCCCTCGTGGCCTTCACGTGATCAGTTCATATCAAATATGTGTTTAATTTTCTAAAGCTGATATTTATCATTGAGTTTGATTCTGTAAGTAACAAGTTCTAAAATTTAATATTTTAAAACACTGTTAAGTGAACGACACGTCGTAATCCTCAGATTCTATCAGTAACTGTGATCCCCATGAAGTACCTTATCTACACTGCACACGTGACCCAGATAATTAACGGGCTCTGTGGAGCGGCCCCCTTCTCTTCCATCATGTACATTTCAGGTTAGTTACTGAATAAGTTAGTTACTGATTTATAACTATAGCTATGACTAACTTCAATTTCCATTAAAAATAAAGTTATAATTATAGATTGCGAGACGTAACTGATTTGATTCATCTCTTAAAATATCCAGCGGAGTCTCAAATTGTCTTGATTAATATGCTGTAATTGCTAAGAATAAACTTTTAGCAGCAAAACTTAAATTTGCATTGATATGAATAATTTTTATCAGAATCTTGATTTGAAATGCAAATTTGTTCATAACTGTCGTTTTTTCAGTGAACTGGTTTCCATTGAAAGAACAGTTGTTTGTAGCAGGAATAATAATATCATGTGTGAACGTAGGTATGTAAAGTTTTCAAGCTTTATCTTTACATAGTACATACTTTGCATACTTTAATTTGCTAGCCAACAACCCCTGGCCCTCATGGACAGTTTGATCATGTTTTGGGTGCTGAAAAAGTATTTTTGGGGATTTATGTCCGAATGATGGTATGATAAAAACAGTTTCGGCTAAACTCCTTTTTTACTCTTTAACATCTGACGCCAAGGTCGGATCATTTTTGATAAAATGTTAATCGCACAATTTAAGCTCTGAAAATTAATAAGGAAAGTCGATCACATCTCCACCATTTTCCATTTAGTAACATTGGGTGTGTACTGTGTGCGTACACAAGTTTGCACCAAGCTGTAAATCATTACAGAATTGTACAACCCTTTAAAATTCACTTCGTACAGTGATCTAATGATGTACAGTGTCCAGTCACTGTTTCATTTGTCCAGACGGCCGATAGTTTCAAAGTTCCTCATCGAGAGATGTCGGATTAGAGTTCAAACTAAAAGTTTTAGTAAACCTTTTAATGTTGCAATTTGAACTTATAAAGTCGATAAAATGGGCTGCAAATAAAAAGTTACAAACACATTTATGAACGTTGATTCGACTAATGACCTGCTGATGCGTGTTTCTATATTATTGGTGTGCAAGAATACTAGAGTAAGAACAAGAAATTAATTCTAGAACTAGAGCTTAAACTTAGAGGACTACATATTTTCTTGGTCTCTCTCACTTAAATGCTGTTTTCAGAGGGTTTATTGTAGTTATGTATTTTATTTCAAAGTATCTAGACAATCTGTACAACAAAGAAACTGGTACCTTATAAAGTATTATTATCACGTGATATTTGCAGCCAGACTGCCAAACACTCAGCCCTGGCTTGTGGTACTTTGCTCTTTATCTAAATCAGATCGATAAAATCCTGACACTCTGAGAAGTTTCCCTTTTCTTTTATTACACAGCACATCTCCTAATGCTAGTTTAAAATCATTGAAAAACATTTCATTCAAAACTTAAAAATCAAAACAATTAACTACAAGTTCAGTGGGTACTACTGAACCAGCTAACTAAACTAAAATATAACGTTTTTAAGAAAGTCTCTCTTTTTTCACCCTACACTTCCCAATTGTCATAACAGTATCACATCATTTCAGTTAGATTGTCAATCATATCGTAAACATTTCCATTCTCAGAGAAGTTTCCCTCCCATCACACAGTTCATCTCCTTTTCTGCAGTGTTGGTTATAATCAAACCTCCTCTTGAGTTTGGACTTCACTTGTTTTACCTTCACCGTTGGCTGCATACACGCTTCCTCTGTCTTTTGATGGAGAAGATTCTTCTTTTTTCCTCTTTATTCTTTCGTAGACCAGCAGACAGATAAGAAATGCGAGAGCAACAATGACGATGATCAATACCACTGAAAACCACGCAATACCGGAACCTTTACATAAACCGACCCCCAGACCATCCCACACCCAACTCTGACCCTCAGGGCAGATACATACCATGTCCTCTGTACTTGAAATATAGTTTGGAGGACATGTACAATAAGAAGAACCGGGTTTTGATGTAGAAGAACCGGGGCAATCAGTACAATATTCCTCAATTCCCTCGGGAGACTTGTAAGTGTCGGCAGGACATTGCCCACACCAGTCTGAGTCGTCCTCTTTACGTTCACGTTGAGTTCCGGGGGGACATGGTGTACAGCTAAGAAATACGTCATGATGTCGCTGACAATAAGGATCAGGAGTAGTGGGATTACAAGAGCTAATACTTTCTGGACCGCTACATCTCATGTTACCCATCAGTTAGAATATCGTCTCTGTATGGGCCACTTATCTCCAGTGCTCCAAGTGTTAAAGGTAAGATATCCCATTTCTCTACAGATAACACTAGCTGCGTCATCATTAAATCTATCGTCACATACCTTTCCATATACATAATCATATGCATAGCCACGTGTCTTTCCACTGTCATACAGCACCAGTCCTTCCTTATCACCTGTTATCCTGTTCCCAAACCTGTCAACCCGTGTAAAACTGGAATCTGAAAATTGCTAGTTTTTATATTTTTCAAAAGATACAGATTACAGAGCAACATCCTGAGATTTAAAAAACATCACTGTACTTTCAAAATATGTAATTCTCATAAAAAAGTCTTTATAAAGAGTTGTTATAACAAAGTGTTAACATACCTCCCGATCCTCCCGGTACCCAGAACACCAGAGCTAGGACAATCTCTATAAACATTGCAGAAACAAAAGACACGATCAGAAATGAGAGAAACACACGTTTGAAAAGGGTGTGCAAGATATATGATCAGGTCATTTCATTGAATGAGATGTCTAGACAGGAGAATTGCAACGAATGTAAAAGAGTGTTGAAATGTTGAAGAGTTTACATCTCGCCAGTAATTCAGTTCGTTAGTCTTTTACCTCCCTGAACAATGAATGTGCCCAGAAATTCTCAGCTATTTATGGGCAAATTACGACAATTTGTGAACTTTAATTTAGTGAGCAGGAATATTAACGGTCTGGAACTACGATTGTAGATTGTTGTCTCGTTACCCCACCGACCAGTGCGTGGTTAGATTCTTCATATTTTAAAGTGAGCTATTTTTGGATATTTCAGATCCCCTCCGTAAGCCGGTGGCCGACAATTAGGCCCCCTGAGATTCGGGTTAAACCAATCAGTGAAGATTAATTAATTAATTTAAGTTAAACTGCAGATATGATTACCTGGAATTCTAGTTGGTTGGTTAATACGCCAATGTCATTAAGTTTATAAAAATGTAATGTGGACAGTATTGCTCCGTTATTGACTCTTTTTTACACCCCTATAACACGTGTATAACAGGTGTTGCAGTACCGTTCATACTGGGACCCAGTCTATAACACGTGTATAACAGGTGTTGCAGTACCGTTCATACTGGGACCCAGTCTATAACACGTGTATAACAGGTGTTGCAGTACCGTTCATACAGGGACCCAGTCTATAACACGTGTATAACAGGTGTTGCAGTACCGTTCATACTGGGACCCAGTCTATAACACGTGTATAACAGGTGTTGCAGTACCGTTCATACTGGGACCCAGTCTATAACACGTGTATAACAGGTGTTGCAGTACCGTTCATACTGGGACCCAGTCTATAACACGTGTATAACAGGTGTTGCAGTACCGTTCATACTGGGACCCAGTCTATAACACGTGTATAACAGGTGTTGCAGTACCGTTCATACTGGGACCCAGTCTATAACACGTGTATAACAGGTGTTGCAGTACCGTTCATACTGGGACCCAGTCTATAACAGGTGTATAACAGGTGTTGCAGTACCGTTCATACTGGGACCCAGTCTATAACACGTGTATAACAGGTGTTGCAGTACCGTTCATACTGGGACCCAGTCTATAACACGTGTATAACAGGTGTTGCAGTACCGTTCATACTGGGACCCAGTCTATAACACGTGTATAACAGGTGTTGCAGTACCGTTCATACTGGGACCCAGTCTATAACACGTGTATAACAGGTGTTGCAGTACCGTTCATACTGGGACCCAGTCTATAACACGTGTATAACAGGTGTTGCAGTACCGTTCATACTGGGACCCAGTCTATAACACGTGTATAACAGGTGTTGCAGTACCGTTCATACTGGGACCCAGTCTATAACACGTGTATAACAGGTGTTGCAGTACCGTTCATACTGGGACCCAGTCTATAACACGTGTATAACAGGTGTTGCAGTACCGTTCATACTGGGACCCAGTCTATAACACGTGTATAACAGGTGTTGCAGTACCGTTCATACTGGGACCCAGTCTATAACACGTGTATAACAGGTGTTGCAGTACCGTTCATACTGGGACCCAGTCTATAACACGTGTATAACAGGTGTTGCAGTACCGTTCATACTGGGACCCAGTCTATAACACGTGTATAACAGGTGTTGCAGTACCGTTCATACTGGGACCCAGTCTATAACACGTGTATAACAGGTGTTGCAGTACCGTTCATACTGGGACCCAGTCTATAACACGTGTATAACAGGTGTTGCAGTACCGTTCATACTGGGACCCAGTCTATAACACGTGTATAACAGGTGTTGCAGTACCGTTCATACTGGGACCCAGTCTATAACAGGTGTATAACAGGTGTTGCAGTACCGTTCATACTGGGACCCAGTCTATAACACGTGTATAACAGGTGTTGCAGTACCGTTCATACTGGGACCCAGTCTATAACACGTGTATAACAGGTGTTGCAGTACCGTTCATACTGGGACCCAGTCTATAACACGTGTATAACAGGTGTTGCAGTACCGTTCATACTGGGACCCAGTCTATAACACGTGTATAACAGGTGTTGCAGTACCGTTCATACTGGGACCCAGTCTATAACACGTGTATAACAGGTGTTGCAGTACCGTTCATACTGGGACCCAGTCTATAACACGTGTATAACAGGTGTTGCAGTACCGTTCATACTGGGACCCAGTCTATAACACGTGTATAACAGGTGTTGCAGTACCGTTCATACTGGGACCCAGTCTATAACACGTGTATAACAGGTGTTGCAGTACCGTTCATACTGGGACCCAGTCTATAACACGTGTATAACAGGTGTTGCAGTACCGTTCATACTGGGACCCAGTCTATAACACGTGTATAACAGGTGTTGCAGTACCGTTCATACTGGGACCCAGTCTATAACACGTGTATAACAGGTGTTGCAGTACCGTTCATACTGGGACCCAGTCTATAACACGTGTATAACAGGTGTTGCAGTACCGTTCATACTGGGACCCAGTCTATAACACGGTGTATAACAGGTGTTGCAGTACCGTTCATACTGGGACCCAGTCTATAACACGTGTATAACAGGTGTTGCAGTACCGTTCATACTGGGACCCAGTCTATAACACGTGTATAACAGGTGTTGCAGTACCGTTCATACTGGGACCCAGTCTATAACACGGTGTATAACAGGTGTTGCAGTACCGTTCATACTGGGACCCAGTCTATAACACGTGTATAACAGGTGTTGCAGTACCGTTCATACTGGGACCCAGTCTATAACACGTGTATAACAGGTGTTGCAGTACCGTTCATACTGGGACCCAGTCTATAACACGTGTATAACAGGTGTTGCAGTACCGTTCATACTGGGACCCAGTCTATAACACGTGTATAACAGGTGTTGCAGTACCGTTCATACTGGGACCCAGTCTATAACACGTGTATAACAGGTGTTGCAGTACCGTTCATACTGGGACCCAGTCTATAACACGTGTATAACAGGTGTTGCAGTACCGTTCATACTGGGACCCAGTCTATAACACGTGTATAACAGGTGTTGCAGTACCGTTCATACTGGGACCCAGTCTATAACACGTGTATAACAGGTGTTGCAGTACCGTTCATACTGGGACCCAGTCTATAACACGTGTATAACAGGTGTTGCAGTACCGTTCATACTGGGACCCAGTCTATAACACGTGTATAACAGGTGTTGCAGTACCGTTCATACTGGGACCCAGTCTATAACACGTGTATAACAGGTGTTGCAGTACCGTTCATACTGGGACCCAGTCTATAACACGGTGTATAACAGGTGTTGCAGTACCGTTCATACTGGGACCCAGTCTATAACACGTGTATAACAGGTGTTGCAGTACCGTTCATACTGGGACCCAGTCTATAACACGTGTATAACAGGTGTTGCAGTACCGTTCATACTGGGACCCAGTCTATAACACGTGTATAACAGGTGTTGCAGTACCGTTCATACTGGGACCCAGTCTATAACACGTGTATAACAGGTGTTGCAGTACCGTTCATACTGGGACCCAGTCTATAACAGGTGTATAACAGGTGTTGCAGTACCGTTCATACTGGGACCCAGTCTATAACACGTGTATAACAGGTGTTGCAGTACCGTTCATACTGGGACCCAGTCTATAACACGTGTATAACAGGTGTTGCAGTACCGTTCATACTGGGACCCAGTCTATAACACGGTGTATAACAGGTGTTGCAGTACCGTTCATACTGGGACCCAGTCTATAACACGTGTATAACAGGTGTTGCAGTACCGTTCATACTGGGACCCAGTCTATAACAGGTGTATAACAGGTGTTGCAGTACCGTTCATACTGGGACCCAGTCTATAACACGTGTATAACAGGTGTTGCAGTACCGTTCATACTGGGACCCAGTCTATAACACGTGTATAACAGGTGTTGCAGTACCGTTCATACTGGGACCCAGTCTATAACACGTGTATAACAGGTGTTGCAGTACCGTTCATACTGGGACCCAGTCTATAACACGTGTATAACAGGTGTTGCAGTACCGTTCATACTGGGACCCAGTCTATAACAGGTGTATAACAGGTGTTGCAGTACCGTTCATACTGGGACCCAGTCTATAACACGTGTATAACAGGTGTTGCAGTACCGTTCATACTGGGACCCAGTCTATAACACGTGTATAACAGGTGTTGCAGTACCGTTCATACTGGGACCCAGTCTATAACAGGTGTATAACAGGTGTTGCAGTACCGTTCATACTGGGACCCAGTCTATAACACGTGTATAACAGGTGTTGCAGTACCGTTCATACTGGGACCCAGTCTATAACACGTGTATAACAGGTGTTGCAGTACCGTTCATACTGGGACCCAGTCTATAACACGTGTATAACAGGTGTTGCAGTACCGTTCATACTGGGACCCAGTCTATAACACGTGTATAACAGGTGTTGCAGTACCGTTCATACTGGGACCCAGTCTATAACACGTGTATAACAGGTGTTGCAGTACCGTTCATACTGGGACCCAGTCTATAACACGTGTATAACAGGTGTTGCAGTACCGTTCATACTGGGACCCAGTCTATAACACGTGTATAACAGGTGTTGCAGTACCGTTCATACTGGGACCCAGTCTATAACACGTGTATAACAGGTGTTGCAGTACCGTTCATACTGGGACCCAGTCTATAACACGTGTATAACAGGTGTTGCAGTACCGTTCATACTGGGACCCAGTCTATAACACGTGTATAACAGGTGTTGCAGTACCGTTCATACTGGGACCCAGTCTATAACACGTGTATAACAGGTGTTGCAGTACCGTTCATACTGGGACCCAGTCTATAACACGTGTATAACAGGTGTTGCAGTACCGTTCATACTGGGACCCAGTCTATAACACGTGTATAACAGGTGTTGCAGTACCGTTCATACTGGGACCCAGTCTATAACACGTGTATAACAGGTGTTGCAGTACCGTTCATACTGGGACCCAGTCTATAACACGTGTATAACAGGTGTTGCAGTACCGTTCATACTGGGACCCAGTCTATAACACGTGTATAACAGGTGTTGCAGTACCGTTCATACTGGGACCCAGTCTATAACACGTGTATAACAGGTGTTGCAGTACCGTTCATACTGGGACCCAGTCTATAACAGGTGTATAACAGGTGTTGCAGTACCGTTCATACTGGGACCCAGTCTATAACAGGTGTATAACAGGTGTTGCAGTACCGTTCATACTGGGACCCAGTCTATAACACGTGTATAACAGGTGTTGCAGTACCGTTCATACTGGGACCCAGTCTATAACACGTGTATAACAGGTGTTGCAGTACCGTTCATACTGGGACCCAGTCTATAACAGGTGTATAACAGGTGTTGCAGTACCGTTCATACTGGGACCCAGTCTATAACACGTGTATAACAGGTGTTGCAGTACCGTTCATACTGGGACCCAGTCTATAACAGGTGTATAACAGGTGTTGCAGTACCGTTCATACTGGGACCCAGTCTATAACACGTGTATAACAGGTGTTGCAGTACCGTTCATACTGGGACCCAGTCTATAACACGTGTATAACAGGTGTTGCAGTACCGTTCATACTGGGACCCAGTCTATAACACGTGTATAACAGGTGTTGCAGTACCGTTCATACTGGGACCCAGTCTATAACACGTGTATAACAGGTGTTGCAGTACCGTTCATACTGGGACCCAGTCTATAACACGTGTATAACAGGTGTTGCAGTACCGTTCATACTGGGACCCAGTCTATAACACGTGTATAACAGGTGTTGCAGTACCGTTCATACTGGGACCCAGTCTATAACACGTGTATAACAGGTGTTGCAGTACCGTTCATACTGGGACCCAGTCTATAACACGTGTATAACAGGTGTTGCAGTACCGTTCATACTGGGACCCAGTCTATAACAGGTGTATAACAGGTGTTGCAGTACCGTTCATACTGGGACCCAGTCTATAACACGTGTATAACAGGTGTTGCAGTACCGTTCATACTGGGACCCAGTCTATAACACGTGTATAACAGGTGTTGCAGTACCGTTCATACTGGGACCCAGTCTATAACACGTTTATAACAGGTGTTGCAGTACCGTTCATACTGGGACCCAGTCTATAACACGTGTATAACAGGTGTTGCAGTACCGTTCATACTGGGACCCAGTCTATAACACGTGTATAACAGGTGTTGCAGTACCGTTCATACTGGGACCCAGTCTATAACAGGTGTATAACAGGTGTTGCAGTACCGTTCACACTGGGACCCAGTCTATAACAGGTGTATAACAGGTGTTGCAGTACCGTTCACACTGGGACCCAGTCTATAACACGTGTATAACAGGTGTTGCAGTACCGTTCATACTGGGACCCAGTCTATAACACGTGTATAAGAGGTGTTGCAGTACCGTTCATACTGGGACCCAGTCTATAACACGTGTATAACAGGTGTTGCAGTACCGTTCATACTGGGACCCAGTCTATAACAGGTGTATAACAGGTGTTGCAGTACCGTTCATACTGGGACCCAGTCTATAACACGTGTATAACAGGTGTTGCAGTACCGTTCATACTGGGACCCAGTCTATAACAGGTGTATAACAGGTGTTGCAGTACCGTTCATATTGGGACCCAGTCTACTCCCTGAACCTAACTCTACAGACACATCGCTAGTCTCGACGCTAGGACTTGTAACTGATACAGCGGAGGACATTGACTACTCAACAGGATTAAGGTTATTTTACAATTTACATCTTTAAAATGCTCTAAAAATTGTATATCAACAACTTACAATTTGAATGACATGATTTTGTGTGAGAATGACAATCAACAAATCTCTGGTTCAACATTGTTTGTTACATTTTGCTGAACTCTTTGCTCTGATGTTATTTCATCATTTACACTCAGTATCTGGTGTTCTTTCATCATTAACACTCAGTATCTGGTGTTATTTCATCATTAACACTCAGGTGGTATTTGGTGATCCAGGGAGCTTGTATGATACTATGTTTGGTATTTTCTGTCATCTACTTCCCCTCTCGACCTCGTTATGCACCCACCGCTTCCTCCGTTACAGCCAGGCTCGACATCAAAGAGGTAGCATCCATTCATTTATTAATTTATTAATTTATTCGTATTTTATCTGTATTTTACCAGGGAAATAAATCACTTATTTACTAGAATGTTTGCAGTATGGTTGCAAATACGCTGATAAGAAATATGGGCGCAGATCCCCGTTGAAATTTGAAACCGGTTCACTAATCACTCTCATCTGATTTAACGCTGGAATCTGTCTCGCACAGACACGATTCCTTCCCAGATTGATAATTAACAGTCATATTTCTTCAGGGAGTGAAGATTTTACTGAAACGTGGCAATTTCTGGCTGGCCGTTCTCATGTTCTCATTAACAACGTGAGTATTATCAAGTACCTTATCAACCTTATCAAGTCCGGGCCTTCTTTTTCTAAACAAAAGAAAAATTGTATTACGCTGGTGTTACTTAAGCTAATCTAATGAAGATACGTGCACCTGTTTCATTCTCATTATTACAGCGGCACATTCAACGGGTACGGTCTCACTTTAGACACGATCGTAACAAAATGTGGTATTTCGCAAGCAGAGGCAGGATACATAGGTTTCGCAGCGCTGCTGTCTTGCGTTCCAGCAAATCTTATTATTGGTGGCCTGGGCGGAATGTTTCCCAGACGCAAGGTTTGTTACACAGAATTGGATCCTTTTGTACATCCTATTTTATTGTGATGTTGTGGTTGACGATAACAACATTATGAGCTCATCTTTAACAGCTGTGGCAAGTGCTATCTATAATTAGAATTATGTGTACTAAAATGGAACACGCTCTTGAATAAATATCAGATGTATCTGCGCGAAATTGTACGCGCATAGTGCGCGCGCATCCCTAGTTAATTTTTAGATTGTTTCGAGTGTGCTTCAGCGGGCTTGCATGAATGTATGAGACACAACCTGTCATGAGTAATGGAGCGATGAGCGATATCATCTTCACTAATATCGTAATTTACTTACTGCCAGTTTGTAAAATCTGGACTGCGAGAAAGTGTGAGCAGTGCACGTTGCCGGTTGCACAGTGACGTTACTATTTGCATCGACCATTGACGCCCCTAACATTTTTTCATATCCTGAATATTAAGGGGTCGTTCACATATAACGTAATTAATTTTGGCCAATTTTTAACCCCCCTCCCCCGGCCCCTCCGTAATCAGTTTTACACATTGTGTCAAAATTACACTAGCGTAATCATTTGGAAACCCCCCCCCCCCCCCCCCCCTCGGCCTCCGCCCTCCCCCCTCAGGCTGTTTACGCAGCTTTTTGTACCGTCAATTTTTTTCCACGTCGACCGAACGCCAAGTTGGCCGTGATATGGTACATTTTGCTGCCAAGTTGGACGTGTGCAGGTCGCAGGTCGCTTTGTTACGCCACTGCCGTTGCGTTAAAATGTCTAGTGAATATTTTATTCTATCATTTATTTATCTGAGGTGAACTTAAAATGATTTATTTGCATGAATACGAGTGTTAGATTGTGAAGATTCCCCCTCTAATTTCTCTAATATTTCAGAAAATAATGACAATATTGTTCCTCGTGACAGGAACTAGTACAATGACAGTGTTTGTAGCACAATTAGAGAACTGGCTACCCCGTAACATGACTGTAGTGTGGGTTACTGTTATAGTTGGGGTTATGTGTCTTACTGGTAAGTAATCTCATGTCATATATATATATAGTTTATATCATCTCATCTAGACTGAGTCTTACTTACAAAGAATCCCAGTTAAATTCTTGTATTTCTGCAGCTACGTTACCTACGTATAACATTCAGGAGCTGCACCACTGTTCTTTGACATGAGCGCAGAATCAAGTCATCCAGTAAGTGAGGACCTGAGTTCGACAGTTATGGTTCTGGGAAATCAGCTGATGTCTCTGTTTTTCATTGCTCTTATTCAGATTCCTCATTTAGGTAATGTGCAAATAATATGTAGTATTATGTAATATTATGTAGTATTATGTAATATTATGTAATAATATGTAGTATTATGTAATGTGATGTAGTATTATGTAATATTATGTAGTATTATGTAATATTATGTAATATTATGTAATATTATGTAATATTATGTAGTATTTTGTTATGATTTGCTGATTTACATTAATGTATTGATGTGACTGCCACTTGCAAACTTTTGTATCTTAAAATTAAGTTTTCATTAACTGATACAAACTGGTTCATTAATGAGTGTAAACTTGTTGCACCATGACGAAGTTACCACATTGATTTCCCTCAGTTGATGAAGCACACAGAGATAAGCTAAATTACGTGCTGATAGGCTCGTTCACTCTGTCCGTACTGTTCTCCACCCTGTACCGTCCTACTACCGTCAGGGAGCACATGGACTCTAACTCTGTAACTGTGGACCAACTTGATTACAGGAGCATTCAGCAGGTGGAGAATGCCGGCTACTCCATTGAGGTGTCATGTGATTGAGAGAATAAAATGTGGAATATTGTGCAATATACATCATCCACATTTTATATATAGTACAGTGTGGACAACTTGCTTACATAAACTAAGCGTAGATGTTAACTGTTAAAAGACAATTGTTGAGTTTGAAATAATGCTTGTTCATTTGTTAGGACGTGTTAATGTTAGTTTTTACGAGATCAGAAGTTTTCAGTTGATCCCTGCTGTCGGCAGGATGTTTTGTAAATGATAATGTCAAACCTGGAGGGTTTCTATTTTTTAGTACTTTACTTTTTATCTTTGTGTTTTGAAATGTGAAATGTTTTGTAGTATAAACATTTTTGTAATATAGATTGTAATGTTAGATGTATCTTAAACGATGCTGGTTTTCGTTACATCACTCAGAACAGTATGATACATACTATAGTCTATAAAGACCTCGGCATCGCCTCAATGTAGATTGTAGACATAGCGATAGTAAACTCGAACTTTTCCCTCGTGGCTCGTGGGATTCACCTACTTTATCGGACGTTATTTTGGCAGACTTGATTATGAACTCAACAGTGAACAGTCGTAGAACGTTAACTTTGGCGGACATTACGTCAGTGCTAAGCCCTCCCAAGTCCAACGCTCACGTTATTATTATATACTTTCTTCGTGATGTAACTTTTTTCTCAGTTTATCGTGTGAAATAACTTCAGCTTTGTAACGAGAGATTGTTAACGTTGAATGGCGTGATTGATATTTTTAATCTTGGTAACGTGTATTGAAATGTTGAGATATGGACAATTTTTCCGCTTAGGTCGAGGCAATGTGAATTATGAAATGATGTATTACTTAACAAGTTGTTTCAAGTGATTTTACTGAATCTGTAGTTTTTTCTTTTGATTATAGCATGAGCTCAAATCAACAACTTTAGTTATCGACCTCGAATCAGTAAGGGGGGGGGGCCAATGGCATAAATGGAGAAAATGGAGAATTACTCATAGGTTTTTCCATTTTCTCCATAGAAATAGTCTCCATTTTATGCCATTTTATGCCATTTTATGCCATTGAAAACCTGAAAAATTTAGAATTTCGAGAAAAATTATTTAAAAAAAAGATATTTTCGGCCAATAATGAACAGAGTATCATGAAACATGGAGAAAAGTGGTTTTCAGAAAAACTTTGAAAAATGTTGACTTAGAAAATTTTCGGTCCGAGTCATTTTCGATACGTACATCCCGTATCGAGAGCTCCCGATTCCGAGCTCGTGTTGCAAAGGGGAGGCCTGCCTTCCGAGATCGCATTACCTCGAGTCCAAAATTGTGCATCGAGGGGAAAAAAATATTTTCGGCAAATAATGAACAGGGTAGCATGAAACGTGGAGAAAAGCGGTTTTCAGAAAAAATTTGAAAAATGTTGACCGAAAAAATATTTTCGGCTTATAATGAACAAGGTAGCATGAAACGTGGAGAAAAGTGTTTTTCAGAAAAACTTTGAAAAATGTTGACTAAGAAAATTACCCCTCGGTACACAATTTTGGACTCAAGGCTTCCCCCTGGTAATGCGACCTCGGAAGGCAGGCCTCCCCTTTGCAACACGAGCTCGGAATCGGGAGCTCTCGATACGAGAGGTACGTATCGAGAATGACTCGGGCCGAAAATTTTCTAAGTCAACATTTTTCAAAGTTTTTCTAAAAACCACTTTTCTCCACGTTTTATGCTACCCTCTTCATTATTAGCCGAAAATATTTTTTTGGTTTTTCGGTTTATCGAAGTCTGCACCTACCCCTCGATAGTCGATACACAAATTTGGACTCGAGGCTTCCCCCTGGTAATGCGATCTCGGAAGGCAGGCCTCCCCTTTGCAGTGCGAGCTTGTTTCGACTTTCGAGGATGTAGGTCTCACTTCTCAGTGCCTATTACTCTCCCCTATTACTCACTCCTGCTGTAGCCTGTAGAAATAACTTTACACTAGGCTTGAGTAATTATGAGTTTGCCTGAAGTGTGCCTCTACTAACCTAGTATAAGCATCTAGTAGCCTACTATGAGCTTTCATAAGCTTGTTACGCCCCTAGTAAGCGTAAATAAACATGTTAGGATGTCCAATTTAGGTGTTAAATGGTGTTAAAGATGAAATTTCGAAGACAAAATTCATGGCATAAAATGGAGAAAATGGAGAATTACTCATGGGTTTTTCCATTTTCTCCATAGAAAAAGTCTCCATTTTATGCCATTTTATGCCATTTTATGCCATTGGCCCCCCCCCATCAGTAATCACCTTCCAAATCCAATTATAAATATAACATTCATAATTTAATTACAAAATCTATCCTGCTGCTATAATAGTAGTCGTAACTACGATAATATGAACAGTAATAATGAGCGTTATTATATGTAAATAGCGTTATTATATGTAAATAGCTGACTAAGGTAGACAAGTCAGTAATGATGGTATTCAGCAGCAGTCGCTCCACGACAAACCAGTGTAGAACCTTAAACAAGCGGGCCGCCTCGAGATAGGGTCCAACTTCTTAGGATGTCCGGCAAATAGGGAGGAGGGGGGGTGGTTTTGGAATTTCGGACAAATCCGGACAGGGGAGGGGGGGGGGGGGGGGGGGGGGGGGGTTTCTGAAAAAACGAACGTCCGGAAATTTTGGCAGAATTAACCGATTAACGATAAAGTCCCATTTATTTCAACTCTTTGAATTTTATTAACAATGAATTTGAGTTGGTTTTATTTGTACTCTTAAAAGTAGCTGGAAATCCGGACGTCCGGGGGAGGGGAGGGGGGGGGTTTTGAAAATTCGGACACACCCGCAGGCACGTAGCCAGGATTTTTCTTTGGGGGGGGGGCCTCGGCGAGCGAAGCGAGCCGACGCGTCCTACCCAGCGAGCAAGCTCCGGCAGGGGTCTGGGGACGCAGCCCCCAGCGGGGTCCAGGGGCGGAGCCCCTTGGCGGGGGGCTAGGGGGGGGGGGGGGGGGGGGCGCAGGCCCCCGGAAATGTTTTTGAGAAATAGGTTGTTTCAGACGACATTTGGCATTAAAGAAATTTGTAGGACAGCAATAAACTGGGACTGAAAAGAATCAAGTACTCATGTAAATTAGGTAACTTCACAACAGCAATCTGCATTCTTCAATCAGAATTTACGACTTACTCAGGCCTTATCGTCTTAAGATTTTGACATTTCCTACGGTCTATAGGGGACAAGAACTCTGAATGGAATAAGTACATGTATGGAATAAGTACATGTATAGTGGGATGTACGGAATAAGTACATGTATAGTGAGATAGTGGGATGTATGGAATAAGTACATGTATGGAATAAGTACATGTATAGTGGGATGTATGGAATAAGTACATGTATAGTGGGATGTATGGAATAAGTGGGATTTGGGAATAATTTACGAAATGCTGAAGTCAATTGCCTGCCGTTCAAACAGTACAGACTGCAGTCATAAACACAGCCCAGTTTCCAGGCGACCATTGGGACTAGGGAGCTTATTTTTTTCCGGGGGGGGGGGGGGAGGGGGGGCCTGCCCCCCCCCCCTGGCTACGTGCCTGCACACCCGGACATGGGGGAGGGGGGTGATCTTAAAATCTGCGATTTTGGTGGACGTCCTAAGCACTAAGTAGATGGCCCCATACGTCTTTTAATGTATAAATACCATCAATATAAATATAAATGTAATGCATAATGATATACGATGTACTATTGACTTCATATAAATTCAATGAGGGTCGCTAATATTTATTGTGAGACTCATTTCACAATTACGAAACAGTTTGCTTGTACAATACAACGGAGATGCTCGTTTTGCGTTTGTTGTCGGTGCTGCTTTTATTTTAATGGACATTGTTCTGCGTCTTCTTACAAATTACATTCTCTTTGGTCCGGGGGAAAATCCGGAGATTATTTTCTCCCGATCTATGGATTCTGACCGAAGCTCAAAGAGCCATATATCAGGAGTTAGTGAGCATAAGAAGTGCCCGGCCGAGTGTCTTAAAATAATATGAAAACCGCTATAGATCGAGATACTTTTCTATATTTCTTATCAGCCGCAACTAGAAAATTTAAAAGAGATAATAGCAGCTTTATCACTCAGAAATCATCCGAGTTGTAATACTTATAATAACAAATAAATTGAATAATTGGGGACCAAATTTGAATTGTCAATCAATTTCACAATCCGATATATAAATATTGTTGTTGTTGGTGACATCTCTTTGCGCGGTAAGGGGTCGTTCACATATTACGTAATCAATAATTTTCCCCCTCCCCCCTCCGTAATCAAGACCCAACCCCTCTCCTATATTACGTAATCAAGATTAGACACCCATTTATTTATTAAAAGCTATCACAACGGATTAATGAATGGAATAATCGCAAAGCACTTACTAAACGAAAATTGGTTTAAAAAACGAAAATTTTGATTACATAATTAACGAAAATTGTCCAATTGGTATTTCGAAAATCGGTAAAAAATAAAAATTTTGATTACGTCAAAATCAACGACCAAACCACATTACGTAATATGTGAACGACCCCTAAGAGTAAGAGTCATAGTGGTTTGGGGTCTTTTCTTTACACTGCTACTTCTGATAGTTAAACTTGTTGTAAGATGTTTTTCTTGTTCGTAACTTTTACCGATTTTTTACTTCAACCTTCCCCATTCTTGATAAAATGGTGTCTATGTTTGGCGTGTTTCGAGCTTTCTCTTTCAATTATGCTACTAAGTTCCAATATTCTATTTGCTGCAGTAGATTTCAATCAGGTTTCAGAAAAACATTTTCAAATAATAGTCGCGTCCTACTTGATCCAATCTACACCCAAACTTTCAAGCAATGAGCTATAATACATTCCTGCAGCATTCTACGTTTCTCAATTGTTATTCTCTTTATTAAACTCAACATTCAAATTCCTTGTTCAATATAAATGAAGCACACTCTCTTTTGTCTTGATCTGTTTCACTGCATCTTGAAAAAGGGTACACACTACACACTACACGACACACGTACCCTTTATAAATTTATATTATATTATACTGAGGGTATAATATATATATATATATATATATATATATATATCTTTATTAATATATCTTTGCTCTGCAAGCCTTATTGTGAACATCACTGAGTTCTACATTTCTTTGTCTTACTGACTTGTTAACTGCAGTGACTTGTTTAACAGCTTGCGTTGCGAATCTTTAGACTTTCATGAGCTGTTCATAATCTACTGGGTGGGCCAGAGAAAACTGATCATTATGAATTGCTTACCATTTCCTGATTTCTACATTTTGTGTCCGATTTCCACATTCTTTGACTTATTTTGTAAGTCAGACAAATATTTTTAGGATTTCATTTGATTGGTTAATTTTACACAGTGGGCTCATATAAAAGTTGACATCCAAAATCTTTCTGCGCTATTTTATTCTAGATGGTATGATATGCATTATGCGACGATTTTGACTACTTCATTCGTCACCAACTCAACAGAGCTGTAGCGGTCTTATCTTGAACCCCTCAATAATACAGTGTTCATAATTTTAATACCTTTTAGCTTTTCTATAGTTTACCGTCCAAATAATTGCTAATAACTGGAAGTTATTATACATTATTTACAGGTTAGATGCTCAATTCTTTGTTTACAATTTTACGAGATGAGTTCAGACGATGTCGACGAGAAGAGAAAGTTAAAAGAAGATTATGATAATTCTGGTAAAGAAATGGAGCTAGATATAAATGAAGCAATGGACGGTTCAACATGTGGGTGGGGCACTTTACTCTACACAATTGGAACATTCTTCTTCTGTGCGCTGGAGGGTGCAGAGATAGTCCTCCTCACAATAATAGGACCAATACTGAGGTGCGAGTGGAACCTCTCCTCTGCTGCACTCTCGGGACTCCAGACCAGCACCATCATCA